ACATGATTTTCTCATTGCTAGTAGCTCTATTTGTATTTTATAGTGCATGACTATGTTAGTTTCTTTCTAAACTGACCAATCATCATCATATTCTAGAACATTCTTTGCCCACTTTCTCTTTTTCTAAAAAAAATCTCTCTATTAAAATTATTGCCATGCATTCACTCACATGAACGATGAAATATTCATTTAGTCAAGAGAATAAAAAATATTTTACCCTTATTATGTTATTCTTTTTTAGAACAAGATAAAAAAAAAACACACACACATACACAAAAAATGTCCTCTGCTGACGCTACAAACAGCAATAATACAAGCAAAACAGACGAATATATTAAACTTAGAGTAGTTGGTCAAGACAATAGTTAGTTATTATTGATTTTAAAAAAATTCGTTTTTTTCATGCTAAATGAGAATTAATTTTTTTTTTTAATAGGTGAAGTTCATTTCAAGGTAAAAATGACAACATCAATGGGGAAATTAAAAAAATCATATGCTGAACGTCAAGGTTAGATTAAAATAATTAACTTATATTTTCAAATTTATTATATTTATTTAGGAGTTGCGGTTGGTAGTTTGCGGTAAATGGGTTTTTCTAAAATGAAAATAAAAAGATTTTTATTTTTAATATATAGGTTTCTATTTGATGGTAAACGTATAAATGATGATGAAACACCTAAACTTCTAGAAATGGAAGATAATGATACAATTGATGTATACCAAGAACAAGTATGTTTGTTTTCGTTGAAAAAAAATATTTCAATTGATTTATTTCATAGGTTGGTGGTTCATGTTAAACAAGCAAATCTTTTCTTTTTTTGATTATTATCATCATTCTAACTCTCAACTCTATCTCGAATGAACATTTTCTTGTTTGTTTGTTTTTTTCTTTGTACCCTTCTTTCTGTTTCTTGTTGTTTGTCATTGTTTGTATGTATATATTAGTACACTGACTTATGTATTGTCAAGGTAATTAAACTCGTATTTGGTTATTTTTCCAGCAAAACATTAGAGAAAAACGAAAAGATCGTAGCATTTGGACTTTTTGTTTTTTTTTCTTTGGGGAGTTTTGGTTTGGAAAATAAAATGTCTATGTAGAAGATTTGTGTTTCTTGATTTTTTCTTGCGTTTATTTTTTATTTCTTGTCTTTTTTTCTTTCGATGTGTTAAAAGAAATTCGAGTTTTCCTCTTTTTTTTCTGTGTTTATGTCTTTGTTATCAATGAGCTTTTGTGATGATGAAAACAAAAAACAAATAGAGTCAAACTAAAATTATGATGAAGAAACCATGTTGAGAAATAAAAATTAGATCTTAATAATTATATAATTATTCATTTCTAAATATTTTACGTTAACAAAACAAGTAATGATAATAGACCAAGATCTATCGGACTGAATAGTAGATGATTCATGAGTAATAAATAACAACCATTATTTTTTGTTAGAAAACGAAATATTCAGAAAGAAAAACATTGCATCGTCGAATAATCGTAAATATATCTGTTAATAGCTTTGTGTTTGGAAAGGATAAATAGTCATAATTTAGTTGCTGATAATTTAAAGTATCGACCAGGGTTATCGATAGAAAATACTTTCGTTCTCGGAGTGCTAGAAGTGGTGACTGGGAGGCAGGGAGCAGAACAAAGCCCTCTGTGACGTAACTCCTCTCACAATCTGCCACCAGGTCGTCCCTTTCTCGGAATCTTCCAAATCGTCTTCAACCCGACACGACATTTTCTGCTTACTTTTATTTCACCGTTTGCCAGAGAAAGGCAAATGGTGTTTCAAAATCCAGTTTCTGTCCAAAAGTACCATAAAGCTGTAAAAAATTGGCAGAATTCTGATATTGACTTACGAGAGAATTTCGCCAACTCATAAATCGCTTTTGAGTCGAGACTATGCTCATTGTATAGATCCAAATGAGCTGTGAATATTCTGAAAAGAACTTTTGTCTTAAGTTTATTGCTGCGAAAATACTTCTCTTTTATGGTACTTTTTAAACGAATGCCATTCTCGACAACAATAAGCTAAGAACACGAACTCTTTTCAGGCTATTCATAGCTCATTTGTGTTTACATAATGCACATAGTCTCGATTTAAAAGCGATTTATCAGTTGAAGGACTTTCTTCATTAATGATACTGACGATAGTGTTAAAGAGTTGATTGTTTTATTACAATTTTATTCTCTTATTTTTATTTGACGATGAAATTTAAGATTAGTTTATTCGAAATTTAATGTTAGCGACAAGTTCATTGATGTAGCACTTGGTTTAAAATAACATCAAAGTGCTGATGAATGGATATGATAGTTACTTTTGATATACTCGAATGTGATGTGATAAATCATTGTCACTGTCAATACTAAAAATGTCTTTGTTGAAATCTTTCTACTCAATTATTTGTTTCTAATGTGTCCATTTGGCTTCCTTATCGTACTTCTGATGTATATAATCTAGAACACAACAATTCAGATGGATGGATCGAAAATGGGATATTATTTATTCTCCATAATTTATTTTTTTTCATTATCCAATAAATGATTGGAATGAGACTCAAGAACTAAGCCAGATGCTTGACAGTGATCTCGACTATTATGACAAGTATCCTGCACGGGTGCAACTCTTTGTACTAGACGTGCTTTCGGTAAGGTTATGGATCGCATCGCCGAAACGAACATTATCAAAAACTACATTTCTCGAAATGCATATCACCAGTATGAAGATGATCAAAATCATGATCGGCGAATTTCTTTCGATGATCTATATCAGCTGTCATCTTTTTCTTTTGCTTTTTTTGCATATATACCATATAGAGAAAAACTACAGATATCATTTCAGTATATCGTCAATAGGCTCAGCTATCAAAATGAAAATCACTGAAAATAGAGATTGTTGACAGTCACATCGCTGAAGTGTGAATAGCCGAATTTCAACGTTCTTCGTCTTGGCGAAGTACATACTGATGTTCAGTAGTAACGTACACCTGACAAACTTTTCAGTTATAATTATGTTTTCAAACTTTCATATCTCGAAAATATTCGATATAGTCAATGACACAAACAATACCATGTAGAAAGAAATCATGTGCAGCTGCACAAAAAAAATACTAAGCGATTGTCTTATTGATTTTAAAATTTCTTTATTATAATTGAACATACTTGCTCTTTTTGTTCATGATGCTAAATATGATAATATTAGTACATATGTTTATCAATGTTTGTTTTATCACTTTCGTTAGACAATTTACCAAAACTGTTTAAAATAACCTATCTTTGCACGAATGCTAGTCATTTCCAAGTGCGCCAATTTCGTTAAAACGTGAGTGAATAGTTTTTACATTAATATCAAACAATAGAAAATACGTTGAAACAATTAGACGAATCGTAGATTATCAAACTGTACGGAGCTTCAAGATTGGGTCGAGTATGACATTACACTCTGGTTCGATCCTCCAGTATTTTTCATCACCAGTATCCAAACCGACCCGGTTAGTCTGCACTTGGGCTCATGCTTCGACCCATGTTGTGTACGGAATATTCAACAGGATTGCAAGACACTAATTACGGTCGCGTATCCGACAACTATGTACATTCTCACACTGAATGATAGTCTTAATTGTTCTAAAATTGCTATTTATTTATAGTTTATAGAAGTGAAAAACACTTCCACCATATCGTAATAGTTAGACTTGGCATACTTGAGAATCACTAACATAATTACAAGGAAAGATTGTTTTTTTTATAAGCATGATGCATATATACATATATTCATATTTATAATGTTTAGTCTCAATATAATCATGAATTTGAGTGCTACCAACAATAAGTGAGCGTATATTTTGTGATAAGAACAGAATTTTGGAAACAAAAAGTCAATGATTATATTATGAATCACTTAATTCACTCAGTTTTCAATGTACTTTCAAATGATCTCTTTCTTTTTATTGTGATGTATCTATGTGACTAAATTGAATATGACGTAAAACTTTTGTAACTTTTTATAAAAGACAAAATTTTACTAGATAGTGGGTACTACTGAATGCGTCCAGGATACTGAAACCCAAGTGCGATATGTGCCCAGATGTAAGATCTATACTTTGGATTGAGTCCGAGCATTAAAAAAAAAGTTACCAACTCTGGTACGACTACGAAGATTTACGTCTAGGCAAAACAACAATTGAAAGATAAATATGTAAATGTTGAAATGTTTTTGCATGCCCGTCGATCAATCATTCACGTTACTGTCATAGATATATCTACAAAAACAGATGCCCCATTTTTCTCTCTTGTCAAATTTCGATTTATCGTACTACGTCCTCTATTAAAAATTTGTATTACGAAATACATTATTTATTAAGTTTTATATGAATGTATAACATTTGATTAGTTGCTTTTGGTAACTTCAAAATGAGGTGGTCCAACAAGTGGTGTTGCCCGTTTACCACCTAAATGAAACGCAACTTCAGCAACTTGATCATTAGGCAATGCGATCTTAAAAATAATCAATAAATCGTTTTATTATTTCAAAGCAAATGTGAAATCATACCTTGTAAGTATAAAATGTACCACAACCGAGTTGTCGACGAATGCTCAACGGTTTTACATCATAATCAACAGGTATGAATGGAAATGTTTCATGAATTCGAATATTGATTGGTTCTTTGTACTACGCATAAGATAAATTTAATATTTTTGATGAATAAGAATAACTTACAGTATCAAATAATTCTTTTTCTTCCTCTGTTAGTGGGTTAAATAACGATTCACTAGAAGACATTTGTAACATGAAACTTATGAAGTATTGTGCGCCATCATCAAGATAGTATTTGCTTTTTATATGCGTTCTCTTATTTTTGCTTTTTTTTTTATGACTCAAAACTATCATCATGGGTGAATCATATAAACAATAATGATTTGATGTCAAGATGAATAATATATTCTCTCAGATTGACTTCACTTTCAATTTTATTTATAATTTTTTCTATATACAATGCGAACAAAATTAAACAACAGTAACACGATAATCAGGAGTATCTTCACTGATAACATGTTTATTTGAACGAGTCTTTTTCGATTTCGATGTTTCACCTGATGATCTTTTTCTTAATGTCCATTTCATTTCTTCATAAGTGTTACGAGGTGATGAACGTTGTCGATTTCGATTTAACATACTTGCAACAACTGATGCAACTGAACTTTTTTTCGCTGGTGATTCTGGTGCTGCTAAATTTGCTCCATGACGTATTGTAGGCGGTGATCCTGAAGGTACAAGAACTGATGAACGTTGTCCTTCGGATTCAGGTGCTGAACTTTGATAAGGAACTTCCATCAATTGTATACGACGTAACTGTCGACGACGTTCGCGATAATGCCGACGAATCTATTTGAAATACAAATTTTCAATAGAAAGTTAATTACCAAATAATTTTACCTCATCATTAAATAAAAAAAATGAAAGAAAAAGAAAGCCACCCTACAATTAAAAAATTAATTATCCTAGATGAAAAAAAAACAAGTAAATTTTTGTACTTGTAAACCACTAAAAAAACCATGTAAAAGTCGAAGAATAGTTTCATCGTAAAAATAAGGAAGTATTGCGAAAGACCAACTAATTGTTATTAAAAATAATTGTGACCAAATACCACCAGTATATGTTCTATATATTCCATAATCAATTATTCATATAAAAAGCTTCTACTTTCTTAAAACTTACACAATAACTTCATTGGCTTTTTCATTTTTCGTATATGAACTTTCATGATGTTGTTTAGCTGAAAAAATCATTACCATTATTGTTATCTATTACAAACAAAAAACAAAACGAATATCTTTACAAGCAAAACAAAAACAAGCATTCTATTATATTTATACATACAAATATAATAGCTGATATTGGTATAAAATATATTTTTAACCAATCATCAAGATCAATAAAACATAGACGCATTTTTATTGGCATAAAATATGTTGATTTTTTTATTGATGCAAGTAATGTTACAATACAAAATGGTAAAACTAGAATAAATATTTAAATAAAATAAATCTTAAACTAAATGTTCACTTACTATAACCCATTCCAAGAAAACGATATTTTGAAGCCGCATCTGAAAGTGCTGTACTTGCACCAGCAACAGCTGGATGTGTTGTATATGTTATTTGTATATATAAATTAAATGCTTCATTCATTAACCAACAATAAGATGAAAGTATAAAAAAATGTGTTGTACATGCAACTGCACGACAAAGAAATGAATGATGATATGGTATACCATTAAATGCTAAAATTAGAATTATTTGTGAACAACATAATACAAATGAATAATGTTTATGAATATATGCAGCTGATGAATGAGTTCTAAACAAAAAGAAAAAAAAATGTTTTGTTTTTGTTAATAGAAGAGTGTTTTACCGCAGATAATTCAACATAATTAATGTAGTTAATGCAAAGGATATATGAATAAATGAGCCCATATAGGAGAATATACCTAATGGATATAATCGAAATTCTAATGGACGCCACTAGATTAAAAATTTATATAATAAAAAGAATAATTTTTGTTCAAAAAACCGTCACTCACATTTGGATCGAACATATCACTTGTAATAGCAAACGTTCCATTGGAGATTACACATGAACATGTAGTTCTATCAGCAATAGTTATTTGACTTGTATCACATATATTTGGCGAACTTAGCCACTGCCATTGACGAAGAAGTGTTGCTCTAAAATATTAAATAGATTTTCAATAAGAATATTTCATCTATTAAGTTTGTATTTTTCATTTACTTGTATTGTCCATGTGTAAATGCATTTGTTGTATCAAGATAAACACATTGGTTACCTGAGATATTATCATACTATTTAAAAGAATTTTTTAATCATAGAAATGAGTAAAAAGAGAAATTTTACATTTAAATAACCCATTGTTATCAGTATGGGTATTTTATCGGCTGATACAAGTGTTGAAAAATAATTTGATTGTTGAATTGGTTTACGAAGTTTAACATCAATTGATACGACATGACTATTTATATTATCATATTTTGAAATACTAAAATTAAAACATTTTTTTCGATAGTTTCTTCTATAAAAACTTTTATGCTTGGTTACCGTCCTAATCGAAGATTTGGTATATAAAGATGAGCTGTACTTATACTTGTGATAGACACTGAGTACCATGCAGAACCTAATTCAAATACTTGTTATTATAGTCTATATTATTAAGTCATTCTTACTATTAGTTTTATCATCATAAATCAATGTTGTTCTATTATTATTAAGATTTTTCTTTGTATTAATAGAAGCAAATTTGATTTGTGTTTTTTCATTTTCATAAAAAAATGAATTTAATTCTTGTCGATTTAAAATATTAATTGTTTGATTGATATTTTTTGTATATACACTAAATGAACAACCAGGAAATTGATCACAATTATTAATTAACACCTGTGCAAGAATCGTTGTTAAACGGTTCAGTGAAGTTAATAAACGTATAAAATCATTTCCTAATGGATTTGTACCACTCCATAAAGATGAATATCTTTCATCAATTAAGTTTGATATAACTTCAACCAAATATCGATGTATATGAAGAGTAGCATTTATATCACCTAAATATAATGATTCATCGGATGATGAATACCATTGTGTTAAACTATCAAAATGACTTGTCTGAAAAGACAAAGAAAAAACAAATATTTTTGTTTTCTTTTCTTTTTTGAGAATATTAAGAAATGAAAACATACTAAAACTTTTGTTAATCGTTCAATCTGTGCAATTAGTAAAATAAGATCAATTGAACTATATAATTGTGTTGTTGTTAAATTCATTGATGTTGTTTCAGCTAAAAATGCACATTTATCACGAAGTACAAGGATTTCTTCTTTATCTGATACAGATATATCTAATTCTTGATCAATTGCATTTATTAATGGATGAGTACATTCACTATAATCGACATACGTCCATCGAGCTATTTGTTCAATACGTTGACATGTGCGATAGACACTACCTAAATTTTCTATGAATATATTTACTAATAAATTGTACAATTTTTTTTTACCATTTTTTACATGTCCTGGACAATCTTTAACAATTGTTTGACCAGCTAAAGCTTTTTGCCAAATAATACTTAATTGACTTTCATTTTTACAATGAGGTCCTAATTAAATAAAAATATTTCAATTTAACTAAAGTTCAAAATAATGAAAAGAAAAAAAACGAAAAACTGTACCATCAAGTTTACGACAATAATTATCACATGATTCATGAAGCCATTGTGGAGTAGGACAATTACCTAAATAATAAAATAAATAAAATAAAAAAATTCCATTTCTTCATTTATTTGTGTTCGAAGAAAATTTTACCAAACACTGAATAAATTCCTGATGGCCAATGTATATTAATTTCACCTTTGATATCATTAACAAAATCCATCCATGTAACTGCATCTCCACATTCTTGTCGTTGTGCATGGCAATCATTTGCTAATTGATGTAATTCACGATCAGATAAAATTTTTTGCCATAAATTAAGAAATGCAATTTCACCATAAAATGCTCGTTGTGTGTCAAATTCAAAATCTCCTGTCATACTATTGCTTGTTAAATTTGTTGTACGTATTGCTTGACCAACAAAAAAATCACCACCACTATCAATAATTGTTTGATAATTTCGTTTTTCATATCGATAAGTTTTTGATGAAACTAATACAACAACACGAGTACCATTTATCATAATTTTTATATTTTCACTGTGAGAAAGATTATGTGCTATGGATATATGATGCCATTGTTCCAGAGATAATGGTATAGATACATCATAAATACTATTTAATAATTCTACATGTAAACGAGAATTCTCTATTAATGATACAAGTAAAACTGGTTGAGTATCATCTATAATAATTAAAGATGTATATGAATACATAATAAGAAATATTATAATACCTGTTTTATAAAAAAGAATTGTATGTTGAGACGAATCAACTTTTGACCGTATTCGAATCCAAAATGAAATAGTTAATTCCGAAATACGTGGGAATGTTTTACTATCAAGTTCAATATAGGATGGAACACGACTACCATTAAAAACAAGTCTTGAATCGACAGCATCCGCTAGAATATAAAAATCAATATTTATCTAATTATTTAGTTTTTATTAATAATAATTTCTATTTTCATACCAACACATGTATATCCATTCCATAATTGACCTTGTCCACAAATACATTCATAATGATCAAGTTTATCAAAACATTTTGTTGGTGAATAATATGCAGAATTACAAGTTTCTATTATTAACAAGAAAAATTCCTTTTTAACCTTATATAGAAGTGCTTACTAGTTAAAGAAAATTTATTAATAGTAAATATGACGATGCCATATAAAAAAATAACGATTCTCATCTTCGTTGATCGTCATCGACAACTAAGCTCAGTAACAAAGACGATATTTTTTTTCTTATTGAACATCGTCAAATGTATGTTTGTCGATCTTTTCTCTTTTTTTTTGTCCTTCTTATTGCCGTCTTTTTTCCTTAGCTGCGTTCGAGTGATTGCAAAAAAAAAAAAGAAAGAACAAACACTCTTCTCTCTATGCTTCGGGAATTTATGCTATTACTACGATTACTTGTAGTATCTGAATACAACAAATCATTTGTCGTTTATGTTCTAGAAAAAACGAACCATCGACAGCATTTTCTTTTCTTCTTATTAGAATGAATAAATTAGTATCTTGTCATGAATTTCAATGTGATGATGTCAATAGATAGATATATACGTGTAATTTCTTGTTTTTCCTTTTTATTATATTTGGTCACTTTAAATAAACTAGTATACAATCGATAGCTGTGTATCTTTTATTAATATTGATTTTTCTTTGTAATTCTAGACAATGAACAATTACTCTTTGATCTCAATGATCTTGACTGGTGGGTCATCCATCCAACATATAATTAGTTTTTACATTTATTAATGATCATTGACTTAATCATATAATTATTCGTCTATCAGCAATCGTCTGAGATGGCACTTTTATAATGTCATATGAAGCTTTGTTTAAACTTAACTCTATCTTATAAGGGAAGTCTCCCGACTGATTGATTGCTTGTTAATCGGGATAATGTGCATTGTGCAGGCCCTGATGAACTATGAATAATTTGAGAAGGGCTTGAATCCTTAGCTAATTGATGTGAAGATATTGCATTTTGAGATTATTCTTTAGCCACATACCGTGATTATCTCCAGAAATACTAGAAAAAGTGATTTTTAAATTTCAAATTGAAACTTTTCACATAGACAGACGTTGATCGGTAAAGTTATTTATAATGAAATGGTAAAGTATTTTTCATGTTTCTATCCTAAGATAGAACTGCGCTAATAGCGTGTCTGTTACATCGATTATATACACTGGCAGATTCGATGTTTTTATTTCAGAATAGAAGTAAATTAAAAGTTTTGAAACTTTCACAATAAACTATGCTACTTCAGACCTGTCTTGATGCAATGTTTCAAATCGAAACTCGAAACTTAATTTCCTTGATGTATTTGCTGAGGGAAATCATGGCATTGAGTTAATAATAAATGCAATATTTCGATAACAATAAGCTAAGAGCCCGAACTCTTTTGAGGCTATTCATAGCTCATTAGGGTCTGCAATATGTAAATAAATCCGACTGCAAAGTGATCAATTAGTTGGCAGCATTTTCCTCGTTAGATGAATAAACAAGAAATACAATATCACAAGTATCATATCCTGTTGATTCTCTAAGAAATAAACTTGATAATATTTATTTGGCTGATCTTAGCGAACAGACTTCATAATGAATTGATATATGACCATTAAAAAAACTTTTTATTCAATCTTAAAATGTTCCTATACGTATATCAATAATTAATTATGGCTATACTTGATTGATATAAGAGAATGAATCAACATTTTAATATTTCAATTAGATGTTCATGCTGATGAAACAAATTCATATATTAATATGCATGCTTGAAAAATAATATAAAACAAATTTCCAGAAAAGAATTACAATAACCATAGATTTATTGAACTTGATCGAATGGCATTATACCTTGGTCGACATCGTATTTTAAATATCTTAACCATTCAAAAAAGTCCAATAATTCGTATGCATCAACCAAATTATTATCAATTATTAGATAAATTAATCTGTAGTCAATTATTGAATTTTAAACAGAAATAAGGTTGATTAGAAGACAAACCACGATGAATCAAAATAATTGAAGATATCCATAAATCCTACATAGTTGAATTATTAGGACAATTATCTATACATTAATACGTTTTAAATGAAACGAAACAATATGTATTAAATTTGAGTTGATCTTTCAATTGAGATTTATTGTGAAGATATTATTCATAGTAAATAAATGAGTGATACAACAAAAAAGAAAAAACCTTAATAAAAATTAAATGAAAAAAGCTTATATTGATGTTTATATGAATCAATAGTCATACATTGATTGAATAGTAATGTATTTAAATATAATGATTTAGTAAATTAGTTGGTCAAAATGAAAAATTATTTCCATCACAATGTATTAATGGATTTTATGTAAGATTAAAATTTTTTTCTTACAGCTCAAAAAGAGATCTTTGTTTTAGAATTTATTATTAAATGAAACCATTTTTCCTGCTGATATTCTGCACGAATCCTTCTTTTTTTCTATTTCATGCTGATGATGCAATTAATTCTGGTACTATGAGTTCTATAACTGATCCTGATTTCACACATGATTTCGATGATCAAAGAAGAAAATAGGATGAAAATAGTAATCTTCGTTTGTAGCCGACATCAAAAGAAGTATATAAATTTATTTGTCGTACAGAAATTACTGTTGAATAATATAATGCTTATATATTAATAAATACAAATGCTAATGGACTTTTAAGTTTCGGAAAAAACATCGCTGATGTCGGCAGCGTTGCAATAGCATTTCAGAAGCATTTTCTTATAGACTTAATAAGTAAAAAATTGAGAATTAATTGATGGTTTTACACCAAAGCAATCGCTTTTTCATGGTGCATTGAAAATAAAAATGACTGATGCAAAAATTCTCTTTATGCTTGCAATTTGTCTACATATAGCTACCAGCTATTTTACGAATAAATACATAACTATTGAATGTGAATTAGGTTTCATTAGATATTTAATGTAACAAAAGAGTAATCAAATTTTCAGAAAATCATTAAATTGTGTCCTTATTTTATTGAGAAAAATGCTTCTAAAACTAAAGAATAAACATATCGAAGAGAATTTTTTCAAATTCTACTTAGTTTTGATCAATCTGTTCGATTCTATCATTATATTTCATTGAAACTAAAGAAAGCAAAGTACCGAACACATTGAAATTTATGGTTTTTTAAGAGACAATCTTACCAATTTTGTTACCTATTTTATCTCTTTAAAGCAATTAAGCTATAGCATTCAGAGTTGATCGATGTTGGCATAAATTACCGACGAAAACTTGTAATTCTGAGTATCGAAAATATATTATCTTTGAGTATGGATTTACGAGTTTCTAGAGCTTAAATTCAAAAGTAATATATATATAGTATTGAGAACTCAAAGCTTGATATCAATCATGTTTAGATTTAAATAATTCTATCTAATGTTCGAGTTTGATTTTTTTGAGTAGTTGGGAAAAAGCTACAGGATTGGTTGGGTTTTCTCTTAGAACTCAAAATTTTCGATCAATACGGAACTTCGTTTTTTTAGGCTCGGTGAAATCTAATGGTAGTGTCGAATACAACAATCAAAACAGAGCAGAATTGCTATAAAAAATTAACAAGACAAAGAATTTTCAATACTAAAAAAGTCATTTTTGAAACCACTATCCTTGGTATTGGTGTATTCCTATTATATGTTGGAAAGCAGAGTATGCATTTATGATTTCATATTTATGATATATTTTCAAGTCAATAGATAATTATTTTATCGCTCATTATCTTAAATTTGCTCGATAAATCTTAAAAAACAACCTGTTAAAGGTATTGTAAATGTCCATTGTATGAATGTAAATGTTTAGTATATCTTGTCGTAAATGAATTTTTTATTAGATTCTAACTCTAAAAATGTGATACTAATACACCAGAAGAAAATTTTCAAATTATAAAGCACTCTGGACTTTTACACCAATATCAATATCTCCTCTTTGCCAAAAATATAACTGTAATTTTATGTAGAAAACATGTGTTTTCTTTCACACATATTCAATTTATCTCGCAATCATGATAAACATTTGAATAATCCAACAAGTCTTCGGATTTATTTTGTAGTTGAATGAGATAAATCTTATTCAATTGATTGGAAGTAGTGCACGTTTAGTGTTAATATGCAACACATTACACAAAATATTTTGTGATACTTAATCACGTAAATTAAAACCGTTCCATAACAATAGAATAAAGATCTACAAACAGCTCAATTGAATAACACTGCTCACTAATTAATAGACGAAAACATTATTATTGCTTCTAGACTTTATGTTGCATATTATGTTCTCTATCTATTCGTTGACATCTATTTTCAATATATCTGACACATCAATACTTTAAATAACATGTTTCTCCTAATCAGAATATGAAATAAGTTTATTTTAATAAAAAAAAAGTGTTTTATGCAATAAATAGAATGCTGAATTTTATTGCCAAAAAGAAATAGAAAGAAACACCATGATCACTTAACCAGTAAGTTGAAATGAGCCTCGAGCTGTATCATAAATGGCTGAGTGTGGATGTTTCGAGCCACATTCACCATTGCAAACTAGAACTGTTACATTATAAGTTCCTGGTAACCATTGTTCACATGGTTCTATTGAAAGAAATAGAAGAAAAACGTTTTAAAAACTACTTGAAAAATAATTTGAAAAATCTTACGTTGTGTTGGATCACATTCTGGATCAGGTTCAGCCTTGACAGTAATTCTGTCACTGTATGTACCCGCTTTTTTAGCTTCTAATAAGAAACCAGCACCAAGTGGAATATGATCAGGAGTGTGAATATCAATGTCGAGTTCACCAGTACCAGTTCCATTCAACGATACAAAAGTGAAGTCAATGGCAAATGTTGTTCCTTGACGACCGGTTGTTGGTAAAATTGTAAATTTAGTAATTTTAGCATCACCATGGTCATTAACTATACAGACAAATATTTCATTTTTTTTAATCAACATAAAAAAAATATATATAATTACTTGGACAAAATCGAGCAATTTCACAATACCATATTGGATCAAGATCAGCTTTTTCGATTAATTTGATGAATTCATCAATGCCAACAACATCACAAACTAAATCACAGATTGTACCAATCAGTTGTGATCCAGTCTTTTGAGCCAAAGCTTGACATAATGTACCACATGTACCAATAATACCAGAGTCCAAAATTAAGTTGAGTAAAATATTAATTGATTGATCAGCAACATTGATACATGTTGGGCAAAGATCAAGACGTACCTCTGGTTGTGGAAATAATTGAATACGTCGAATATTGTTTGATTGAACTTTTTCAAAGAGACGAGCGTTAGCAACGCCAGCAACGACAATAAGAATGCAAGCAAGAGCCTTGTACATGGTTTCTATCGATGATTTCTACAATACACAAAAGCATACAAATACAAGAAATACAACGCAAATAAATATTAGTTTGATGGAAAAATAATCAGCTGGTCCAGATGTACAAATGCACATAGGATTTACGGCGATATTACACAAATGGTCAAAGTTTCGCATATTCTTTTTTTGTTCTTCTCCAAGATTCTCATAAAACTAACACATCATTCGACGTCATTTTGTTCATTTTTTATTCTTATCTTTTGCTTTTTAGAAAAAAAAATAATATTGCTAGTTAAACTAGCTGAAAGTTGATCACTCATTTAAAAAATTTTAAATCCACTTTTTTTTATTTTATCGGTACTATTGCAACTATGACACCTAGAATAAACTCAAATTTTCAGGTTAAACTAAGAAGAATCATTAGTTTTTCTTTAATTGATTATTACTCATTAATATTCATCTATTTCTTTTCATCAACTTCGATATTGTTCTTTTTTTTTTCGTGATAGATGTTATCAATAACTGAAATAAGCCTGCTTTACGATGACAAGAATATAAGTGACCTATTTCATGCCATACGACGCAAAATAATTGGGTCAAAAACGATTTTGTTCGTCTTTAAAGGACATTATAATTTTTCATTCACACTTTAGTCGACTTTTGCTGACAATGTTAATGAGCATAGTATGTACTTTAGTATGTGTCTTTTTATGAGAGGAAAAACAATAGAAGAAAACCGATCAATATTTTAATAAAGACAAAGCAATTTAATAATGATACGGACAAAAATATTAATTATGTCATTCGATGATCATACTGATATACAGGTTGATTACATTATTTTTAATAGTTTTCTTCAGTTGACTGTGTTTCTGCAAAGCATAATATGTTTTTTATTTATATATGACTGGATAGAGCATTCATTTCTCTATCGAACTGTATATTTTTTTAATCTGATTTATCTCTCATCTTGACCAAGAATTTGGTGAAGTTCTCAAAGCTTTCAAAATTTTTTTCCACGGCGATAATGGGTGTTTCAGTGAAAATGAACCGCAGTATTTTAAAGATTTCTTCGCTATTGTCCCTGTGATTAAAGCTATTTTTATTATCAAAAGATAGCACTGGAAATACTCTACAAAACCATATATGACTAGGCCCAAAAACAGTTTTAGATATATTTGAAAAAAGACGAAAACTAAAGACATACAAACAACTGTAAAAAGTAAATAATGAGTGTCCCATAATAAATGGCCGCACTTTGCATTTCATTTTTTAATCTCTAACTACATTTTATTAAAAAAACAAAATATACCACAAGATGCACCGTGAAAAGCTCTACAGTATACAAAGAACAGATCATTTTATTTGTGTACTTTTTATGTTAAAAAAAACTCCAAATTCTGTGAGGTTGGTTTTCTTATCGGGGAAAGTTGGTCGCACAGATTTTTGCTTGTTTTTGAAAATAAAAAGTGTGCAATTAAAGCACACTTTAGTTTGTAGATTATAGAGCTTTCCACGCTGCATCTTGTGGTATATTTTATTTTTTTAATAAAATGTATTTAGAGATTAAAATACGAAATGCAAAGTGGGGCCATTTATTATGAGTCACATATTTACTTTTTGCAGCTGTTTGTACGTCTTTACTTTTCGTCTTTTTTCAAATATATCTAAAACTGTTTTTGGGCCTAGTCATATATGGTTTTGTAGAGTATTTCAAGCGCTATCTTTTGATAATAAAAATAGCTTTAATCACAGGGATAATAGCGAAGAAATCTTTAAAATACTGAGCCTCATTTTCCCTGAGACACCCATTATCGTCGTGGAAAAAAATTTTGAGAGCTTTGAGAACTTCACCAAATTCTTGGTCAAGATGATAGATAAATCAGATAAAAAAATATATAGTTCGATAGAGAAATGAATGCTCTATTCAGTCATATATAAATAAAAAACGTATTATGTTTTGCAGAAATACAGTAAACTGAAGAAAACTATTAAAAATAACGTAATCAATCTGTATATACGATTGAAAATAGCACAAAAATAATGATCGGAATAAATAAAACATAATAACGTAATTTTGTTTTGTTCGTGATTCAACACTCAACATTTGTTGTCATGAGAGAACCTTCCCAAGTTGAAAACTGCTTTTGACTTCAAACTCGGTTCATATGGTAGACCACAATCAGATATTAAAAAATTTAAAAGAATAAGGTCTTCCTTACAAAGATATAGATGTTTTACTGAAATTTGAGTCTATAACACAGGTTGCATAAAAGAATCGAATGACGATATTTTAACCTCAAGTTTTACCTATAAGTAGACCTAATTGTAACTAGAACGCTCTGAAAATCTCAACTCAACAGAATTTTCTACTCATGATCTATAGAATTCCCAAAAGTCACCATATATTTCACGAGAAATTCGAGGATTTCATGTTTTTTGAACTTCAATATCTTGTGATGGGAATAGTTTTTGAGGTGAAATTTTTCAAGCGTTTTAATTGCACGTAGATTTATTTAAAATCAAAATTTTAGGTCAAAATATCTTCATTCGATTCTTTTTTACATAGTATTCTATCAACTAAAACTTCAGTAAAACAGCTATAACTTTGTAAGAAAGACCTCATCCTTGCGAATTCAATAATGCAAGTTTTAGCACTCAGTATCTCAACTGTAAACAACATAGAAATAAACATATTTATAATGAAGAAACCTGTTGTACTGTTCACCAACTTGTCATCCAATTATGACTCTCAGTATCATAACAAAATGAATATGACTATTAAAGATTGATTGAATGTTTGTCAACTTCTTTCGAATGATAATTGTTTATGATCGCATACTACGAAAATCTTCAGAATGAAAGTTCATTTTTAGTTTAATAACAAGAAAAGTCTCCAACTGGTTAATCATTTTTAAGCTAGAAGCATGTACATCATGTAGACTCTAATAAATTATGAATACCGCAAAGAGAGTTCGAATCCATAGCTTATGGCTGCCGATGTATTGCGTTTTTACGGTCTTTTTTTGATACAATTCTGTGATCTCCTTAGAAACATCAGAAAAACTGATTTTCGAATTCTTCCCATAGAAACAAGTCTTAACGAGCATAATTAATCGTGAAAATATCAAGCTATTCGATCTGTTCTTATCTTGAAATAAGAACATTGAATCTGCGAGTGTATATGAGACGAGCTTTTACCGTGGTTGTTTATCTTGAAATACGAACGACGACAATATCTGAAGCTTTCCCAATAAACTATTATCACCAAGGCTTGTTTCTATGCAAAGAATTCGAAAATCAGTTTTTCTGATAATCCTAAGAAGAATCACGCCATTGCATGGAAAAAAACTGTAAATATACAGTATCTTCGTATCAATAAGTAAAAGGCAAGAACGATTTCGATCTATTTACAACCGATTAGGATCTACATGATGTACATGCTTTCGACTCAAAACTCACCAAACAATTGGAAGATTTCTCTCGTCAGTAGATGTTGTATTACAAAACAAAATATTATTGAAATTTAGTAAGAAATTTTTTCTTTTTTCTTTTCTATTATTACTTATGCATAAAATAAATAAGCAATATTACATTAATTCTTTAAAAAAAAACTTTTTTTCTTTGTAAGTTCAAATGAGCCTTTAGCCATATCATAAATAGACGTATGTGGATGTATGGAACCACATACTCCATTGCATACTTGTGCAGTAACATTATAAGTACCTATTGGCCAACCATCACAAACATCTATTAATGGAATTCGAAAAAATAAAATAATCAATTTTCAAAAGCAAATAAATCTTTTCTTACCCGTTATAGGATCACAATTAAGTTCAACTAAAGTTTGAAGACCAATTTTTTCTGGATATGTTCCAGGTTTTCTTGCTTCGAACCAGTAAAGATTAGCAGTTGTTCGATTTTTAGGATCAACTATTTCAATATTAATTGTACCTGTACCTGTACCATTGACACTAACAAAAGAACAATCAATTACAAATTTAGAACCATCAGGAGCACTTTTAGGTGTAATAGCAAAATTTGTAAATTTAGCATCACCATGATCATTAACTAGAGAAATATTGTTATAAACTATCTAAGAATAATAAAATAATTTTTTTGTCTCTTACCTGGACAAAGTTTAACAACTTCACAATACCAAATAGGATCAATATCAGCTTTAATGATTAGTTTAATAAACTCGTCCAGACCAAATGCTTCGCATGCAACAGCACAAAGATCACCAATAATTACTGAACCAGTTTTATTAGCAAGAGCCCCACATAAAATATCACATGACTGAATAATTCCTTCGTCAAGAATCAAGTTAAGTAACATGTTAATGAGTTCTACAGCTTCTTCGATGCATGTTGGACAAAGATCAACGCCCACTTTTGTTGGATGAAACCTTGGACTTAAAGGTTGAAGTTTTTTTGGCGGATTATTAAATGACCGGGAAGCTGAAGCTATTCCAATAGTAACTAAGATAATCAATATAATAGCTTTGTACATTGTTCTTTTTACACTTTAATAAAGATAATTAATAGAAGACGCAAATCACATAAATATATTTTCTTATGAGAAACGAGCAACCTGTTCGATATGATTTAAAAAATGTACTATTTGTATTCAAACAGCACAAATGGTGAAATTTTCACACAACTTTTTTTCCCTTGGATTATAACCTTGATTTAATTTTAATTTATTTTAGTGTTTGACCTTTACCTCTTTTTAGTTTTTTTTTAGCTTTTAAAAGTGCATTGTTAGAAGAAATTTTATTGATTTAGCAAAATGAATATTGAAGAGAATGAAGTTAGTTTTGATTGTTGAAAATTATTCAATAATATCGAATTGAATTATAAATTTTGAATAAGAAATTCATTCGATTCAAATTGTATTTTTATTAGTCTGCATTCAATCTGTATCGAAATATTTGCTTATGCAATGTTTGGCTAACAAATAAAAAAAAGGTATTTTGTTACTTTTGTTTATAATGATGTTAACGATATGATGTAGAAAAGTCGAAAGAAAAATTGATGTAACTAGTAAACGCTGATTTAGACTTGTATAGCTTATTATTGTTTTTCTCATTATTTTATCGGTTTGTGTTTCTAACCAATAGTAAAAGTGATGAATAAGATCTAATAGAGATTAATTTAAAAGTATATCATCATGCTCGCAACATTCTTTGCAAATAAATGAAATTTTATATATAGAATATTATAATAGAAAAATATGATAATGAATTTATTGTTTTTTGTGTTTGTAATAACAAAATACGTTACTCCAGCATCACAAGTGGTTATGTAAGGATGGCGAGAACCGCATTGCCCATTACAAATTTGTGCAGAAACATTGTAAATGCCGATTAGCCAGACATCATCAACCTCTGACCTGTGAAATAAGAAAAGTTATTACGAGAGACATAATCGATTTTTACCTTCTGAATGATAACAATTCGAAAAAAAATTTCTAGAAAGTGTTTCATGATATTTACCACGTGTGTTTTTCGCTTTTAACCAATACAAATTACTAGATGATTGATTTTTAGGATCAATAGTATTAAAATTAAATGCTCGGATACCATTAATATATACAGTCAAAAACCCAGAAAGATCAAATATAAATGTTGTTCTTTGAGTATCAATGTTTGTTGGAACACCAAAATTTGTATATTTAGCATCAGCACGATCATTAACTAGACAGATAATTCTTCAAATCTATGTAATATAATTATTCAATAGGTTTTTGCTATTTGAACATATATCAACAATTGATAATAATAGATAAGATCAATATCAATGATGATGATCAATTTGATACATTCATCAATACCATGGCCATCAAAGGCTACACTATAAAGACCACGAAAAATATTTAAATCAGTTTTATGTATGAAAATTCCTCTCAATAAAGCACAAGACTCTAAAATTCCCTCATTAAGAATAGTAATTAATTCTACGACTTCATTGATGCACATAGGACAGAAATACATATTGACTTTATTGGAATCTAAAATGGAACTAGGATATTGAGATTCATGTTTTGAATAAGTATTGTGTAAATGTGAAGTGTATGCATTTTCAATTATAGCTAGAATAATCAGAGTAAAAGCTTCATAAATTATTTTGCTATCATTTCTCTGACTAAACTGAAGGCAAACACTCAAGACTTCACATCTCATAAATGTACATTTTTTGCAAGAAACGATCAAGCTATTCAATGGTCTTTGGATAATAGAGAAAATTTTACCATTTCTCTGTTAATTTCATACAAATACATCAAGTGCGAACAAATTATCATTATGTATTTGGTTGCTAATATGTTTCAATACTGGAAAATAAACGATTGCAAAAAGAAAACTCGTATCTAACTCACTTTAGTGCTAATGGTATTATAGAATAAAAAGTTTTCATCTTTTTTTGTTTTCAGTAAATCTTGGTAAAGAGACTTTATAGGGTACAACATCCAAAATAGATGTTTTGTGTCTTTGAACTGGTTCATTCTTAGCTGCTGAAACGTAACTCTAAGCATTGGATTAGCTTTTGAGGGTACTTGACTAATGTTTTGTTCTTGTTATAATTCTTTTTAGAATATTTTAGAAAAATACTATGCAAATGTTATCAAGAGGAACATATTCTATTTTTCTTTTTGACTAATGCCAAATGTTATAATATCATCACTATCTAGTGAAAAAAAAACAATTCAATTCGACTAATAAAAAGACTGAAATGTATAATTATTAAGTAACATTTGAAATAAAAATGTGTCAACTAAAGTTATTCATATAGCTTAAAATTTCTTTGAATTTATAGGATAGAGAGAAATCTTTCAGAATTCAAACATCGGCATACATTGCATGGAAAAATTAGATTTACACTATTCTAGAATAAAAGAAAACAATTGTACAAAATAAATTTTATTCCACAGTAGCGAGCAAAGCCATGAATGTTGTTTAAGGACAAGAAATATTTTATAATTTTGATTATTGATCCTGATAAAAAAATGAATATCGAAGTAAAATGAAATATTTTTTGAAGCGACTATTTAGTCGAAGTTAATGGATAATTTATCACTTGTTGTATCCTTTAGTATCTCAGAAATATAAAAAATTATTCATAAATAAAACACAAACCGTTTTACGAGAGATCATCTTCACTTATGAGTCTCCGTTTGCAATCAGTTTTATACCAGTTTGTAGAGCTAAATCAGCTGATCACAATTAACATTATGTGTTCTTCTCCATAGACTGTCTTTGAGGAGTAAGGTTGATTTCAACTACAGAAAAATGATCCTAAGCTGTTATTTCGGAAATTTTTATTTTTATTTAGTTCTCAACATTCAAAAGTTTAAGATGAGATGCATCGTTAGTGATTGTGCACATTTGCAAAATCAATATGGATAGAAGTTATAATTATGTCTCTACTTTGAATATTACAATATGATTAATATAAAAGCCGTAAAGAATTGAACTATTTCGAAGACGTAGTGATAAAAGCCTTGGCAGATATGTTGTTTTCAATATTCTGTATATTAATTAATTATCTTCTCTTACGTCTATGCTGAAAACGTGCAATAGACAATGCAGCTTATTGAAACAGGATCAACATATCTTTTTTATACGTGTCCGAAAAAGATGAACACAAGATTAGAATTAGATGAATTTTGAAAAAGTAATTGACTTACATACATTCTTAATATAACTGATATTGAAATATTCAAAGTATAGATGTAGTTCGAACTTCAATTCATGTTGGTTATGTGGATGGGTATAGTCAATTAAAACGTATCTAGCGTAAAAGTTTTGAATGCTGAGAACTAAAAACTCACATAGAAATTAAAATTTTCGACACAACAGTTTCCAGCCATTTTTTTGTAGTTGACATCGACCTTACTTCTCAAAGATAGTCTATCGGGAAGAACATATTATGCCATTGTAATCAGCCCATTTAGCTTTACAAACTGATATACAGACGATTGAAAATGAACATTCACACTTGAGTATTGTTCTTCGTTAGTGATAAGAATTGAATAATGTATTGTCTGATGAAAAACACTTTGAAAGTTTTCATCATAAAACTAGGTTATTATCTTGTCCTTAATTTAGTTGACTTCTTTTCTCCCAAGAGAAAATAAAACACTACGTTTAAGGTACCAAACGAAAATTGAATATTTATGCTGAATAATAATACAACAATACATAGAAGGAGATATTTCAGTAAATTGTTGAAACACAATAATGAAATTCATATGAAATGATTCACAAAGATATTAAAGAAATAAAATCAATGAATCTTTCTCAATCCTAATGAATGATGGAAGATATATCATGTCATGCAACATATGTGCGAAGTTTGATATTGATATGAAGATAGAAACATGTTGCATGTGCTAATACACAATCAATTGATAAATTTCTTCACGCAAAACATCATCATTGAAATAGACTTCTGATTGACATAAAACAAAAAACATATTCGATTATCTCTCTTTCAAATACTTCATTATAATACAAAATTAATGTTTTTTTTTTATAAATTTTCATATATGTATGAAAATAGATCATTCAAATATTTTTATAGACAGAGTTGTGTCTAATTCTCATTGTATAAAATAATTATTTTTCGAATCAAAAGTAGAATAAAACCTATCAATAAAATATTCGTAAAAATAGGTAACCAGCTACTGTTGCGGTTATAGAAAAAAAATCCTTCATTTATCCTCAGTGTTCATACAGCAAAATAATTGATGTATAATATTGCAGAATTTATTTTTAAAATAAGCAAATATACATAATTACTCTTCGTAGAGTGTAAAAGAACCTCGACCTGTATCATACAAAGTCGTATGAGGATGATGTGAACCACATTGTCCATTACAAAGCATAACTGTAACATTATAAGTACCTTCTAACCACAATTCACATTGTTCTATACAAAAAGAAAATTTTTTTTTTTCGAATGATACTATTTATATAAGTATAATCAGAGAATAGAAATTTTTACCTCGACTAGGATCACAATCTGGATCAGCGGTAGTATCAATAGTAATACGCTCACCATAAGTACCGGGTTTTTTAGCTTCACTTAAGAAACCAGAAGTAAGTGGGATTTTATCGACTGTTTGAATCATAATAACCATTTCACCTGTACCGGTTCCATTTGTTGTTACAAAAACCATGTCAACATCAATTGTACTACCAGTTTGAGCACGTGATGGAAGAATAGTAAATGATTTAAATTTAGCATCACCGTCATCATTGACTATAAAGTAGAAATTTTCTTTTATTCTCAATATAAATCATTTAATTTACTTGGACAAAGTTTGATTGTTTCACAATAATAGATTGGATCAATATCTGCACTTTGCATTAATTTAGCAAACTCTTCAATACCCAAAAAATCACAACCCACTGTACAAACAAGTCCAAGAAGTGCTGATCCAGTCTTCTCAGTTACAAGATCACACAAATGACCACATGTATCCATAATACCAAATTGAAGAATAATATCAAGAACAACTTATATTAAATCATCGAAAGTACTAATACATTGTGGGCACCAATCAAGACTGTTAGTTCCATGAATTAATGATGAAATAGCACGTTCAGTATGATTTGATCGAATTTTAAATTTGTGTACATTAGCGACAACACTACCAACAAGAATAATCAGTAAGAGAGAAAATATTTTATACATTGCTTTTCTTCATAATAGACAATCAGACGACAGTTCTTTAAATAGAATATCTATGAGAAACGAACAATCTGTTTCTTTTATCGTCAAATACACGATATCGATTATCTCAAGGGACTTAAATTAAAGAAAACAACTCGTAAGATAATATTCTTCACATGATTATTTCCTTTCCTATTAACAAAAAAGCGAAAACTTTAATATAAATTAGTGTTTCTCTGGATGACTATACAATGAATATACCAAATATTTTTTTTTATTATCGTTATTCATTCCGGAAAATTAATGCAAATAGCTGAACTTCCATTCTGGACTAAAAATAATATTTTTTTTAAAACCATTAAATCAATTTTAAAATAAACTTTATTTATTTATAAAGCATTCACTAGTGTTATCTTTTCTCGTTTGAAACCATGCATTTTATTTTTTTGTCTTTATAAACAAATACACAAATCATATATATATATATAGATAGATAAATATTTCAAGCTGTTACGTGTCCTGTTGTTGTAGCATTAAGAGCAAAATTGTCTGTATCAAAAAGATCACCAAAGTCATTAAAAAAATCTGCATGAACTATTTTTTCGGTTGCCATTAACGATAAATGATGCGACATATAACCAGCAGTTGATGATGAATCAATACGCATCATTGCTTCACCACTACCAACGCCCATATCATCATCGTAATCATCACAATTTCCACCGGCTTCATCTGCATACATCCCTTCATCAATTGGTTTTGTAAAATATTGATTCATTTCTTATTGTTTTTTTCTATCTGAAATTAAGAATTCTTAAATCTATTGTACTCTTTACAATTAGAAAAGAATAAATCATTTATAGAGCAATAAAATATATTAAAGAATCTAACCTATGGCTCAAAAGTCTTAGTACAAAAGATTTGCTCATTTTTCGACCACTAAAAGATAACTGGTTTGAATCAAAATTTTTCCATATTTCCGAAAATACCGTCGGTAACAAAATTATTGAACAAGATTTAGTTTCAATTGTTTTTTCGCTGTCGTAAGCACTAGAAAGAATTCGAATAGAGGAAATTGTTTCGAAAAGGAATAAAATGAAATAAAAATTATTATCAGGTTCCCAAAAAGACAGAGGCTTCAGAAAACCAAAAGACTAGTCTTTCAGAATCTAGAATGAGTAAACATAATTCTGTATAGACTAGATAGAACGACAGAAAACAATGCTCTACAAAATGAGATGTCTTCGAGTTTTCTACGACGGTATTTAGTTAAGACGTAGCAATCTTAGTGAAGCTTCTAAAGTCGATTTTTGTTCGAATTTCCTATAGAAAGACCACTTTTTGATCGTCAATAAAATTGCTGTATTTCGGCTAAAAAATGTCGCAAAGAAGTCGGTAATGTCCATTTTCTAGACAATGGTGTACTCTATTGTTCTTTGAAGTCTAAACAGAATCATATTTATACGCTCTACATGTTGAAAAACTAGAATTTCGATTGTCTGAAATCTATCTTTCCAAGTCTGATTGTAATTTTCAATTACTTATATGCTTGCTGAAAACCATTTTCTCTATCCAAATTCTTTTCGACTCGTACGGCAGCAGAAAAAGAATCTTGTTGAATAATTTCGATGTTCATTGTATGATTAGATGTGTCAGCTGGGATAAGATGGCACAACTATTAATGAGATTTTCTGAAAAAGTTCAAAATTATGTCTGTACAAAGCAAAACAATGGTTTTGGCATAGTCTTTAGTTTGTCTTACACATCTTCAATTCAAATCTTATTGTAAAACACTAGATTTTGCATAAAATGAAATATTACAATAAGTGAAAGCACATCTATGCGTTTCCACTAAAGAGTTAGTTTTTATGGAAATCGGCATCGGTCAAAAATTGCTATAAAAATTCCAAAGTTTTAAAATCTGTCGTGCAAAAGTAGATAGCACTCTTTGAAGAGAAAACCAAACTGAGCTATGAAAAACTATTTTGATTTTTGAAGTCGATCGATGTCATGATCATCAATCATGACACATGTTTAGTTAGATAGTTTGTTGTTTTTTGTGTGTACTATTCAGTCTAGTTTGTTCTTATGCTATATATTGCACTCTTTTGACTTTTCTATGTCTTTTCACCTGTCTCGCCTCTGTCGACTTATGCCTTGAAGAACCAAAACATCATTGTTATGTCACTGTATGAGAGAGATGCAATGCTTTCGAAAATACATATATGTATATGCACATGATATACTTTTTTTGTCTGTGTGCATTTTTTTCTCCTTCGTTTTTGTTTCGAATAAAACGCGTGATATGCCAATGTAAAAAGTAATGAGAAAGTTATTAATAATAAATTTCAATAAGGAGATAAAAATGGGCAAAATAGTACTCTATACAATCACTATTTTGCATCTGTTGAAATAATTTAATGATAGTTGTTCAATCTTACCTCAGGAAGAAATTCTGAAGATATGTTCGGAAAGAACGAAGAAGTTTCATTCTAACTAACTTTAAACGGTTGTCTTTAGGTAGCCGAAAAGTGACTGAATACTGTGTCAAGAATTTCACGCCACAAGTTAAAATTCTCTTTTCATTTTGTCCTACAATAAAAATATGAAAACAATATAAAAATATTGAATGAGACAAGTATTTGAAAGTAAATTAAAGAAACAATTTTAGAAATAATGAAAATAAATAATTCTTCGTCTTTTTTTCTTGTAAATCTTTACTTAATAGTAAATGTTGTTGTCTAAAGCTAAAACTCATCTCACATTGTAGGAATTAATGCTAATCGACTAATTGTAAATCATTCATGAGCAGAAAACAACGTATAATGTAATAAACTTCGTCAGCGACTCTAATCTTGTCGATACATCATTGAATATGTCAAGACAATGAATAATAAATTTCATCATGCGAAGTTTTTGTTTGCATTACTTTTGATTTCTTTTACTTATTATCAAAGGACTTGAATAATATTTTTAAAAACATCTATTCGTTAGTTCGTTTATAGCTTAAGCAAAACATTCACGACGTGAAATCTGATAAAATAAAGTTTGAATAACTATAAAAGAAAAACGCAACAATAACACTTGAATTATTGGAATAGAATTGTGAAATAACGTTTTATTCCGATGATTAAATGAATTAATATTTCGATATGAATTATTATTCAATTGAGAAAAGTAATAGAGAAAAAAACGTAGATTTACAAAATCTTAAAAGAAATTATTATTTCGTTAAAAGCAAAACTATTAAAAATGTCATGTACATTTCCAATGAAGCAAAAAACATATTATCATTCAATGATATCGAAATCAATAAAATCAATGTTACGCCTCAACACGAAATAGAAAATTTTCCTTTTATTTAAAGATGTCATTGTGAACAGCAGCATAAAAAACTAATGGTTGTGCGCATTTTAATTCTTGCGCAGTATGATATATTATCATTACCTTATTATTTGATGCACATAACCATATAGGAAAAAAACTATGACCTTGAAAATCATTAAGGAATGATTTGTTTTTAAGTGCTTATCATTCGTTTCTTCGCTCGATGTGTATGTTATTGACAAAAGTCATGCTTAAAACATTCTCCTACTGCACACTATAAGAAAGCATTCAAGCGTAACTCATGACGATATGTCACATATTCCTTTCCTTGCCTATTTTTTTTATAAAAAGGTCCGACGTATCTCAAAAGTAATTGTACAGGACATATAAAGATGGCTTATTGGCAACATCCAGTCATACCCTACAAGCCTTATAAATTTCAATCACAGTATGCTGATCCGTTAGCTAGATATGATCTTTCGTATGGAATCAAACCAGCATCAATACGAGCGCATCGTTTACCACCAACTGTCGCTCATAGTTCAGTTGGTACAGTATCAAGAATACGGACTGTTGGTCGTCGACCGGCTGTCCTAGCAACAACAGCACCACCTTTAATACTGACTACTACGGTTCAACCTGGTGTCGCTTCTCATCCACATGCTCGACGACATCAACCTCCTGTAGGAGGTAGACCTATGGCACCTCGTCGACATCATCATCATCATCATCCATTGCAGCCAGGTGCTCCAGTGGCACCAGCTCATCGTCATAGAGTTCCTGTACGTCGTTACTAAAACTAATTGCAACTGTCTTTTTACTTTCATAAAAAGAAAATCTTTTATCTATAAAAAAAAATTCCCTTACATACAATAATGCGATAAATGATCATTCTTTTTGAATTCATAAGTTTGAATATTCTTCACATCACTAAATAAAAAACAACATTGATTTTGCATATAAAAGGAAAAAGAAATTCAAAACAGCACTTATTCATATTACATAGTCGATGCCTAAGAAATTTCAACACGTGTGCTTTGCCATGATAAACATAAAGAAGTTTGCACTATACGCTTCTCATTTCATACTGAATTCAAAAACAAAACTTATCTTGTTTTACGCATTAATAATGTACTCAAAAGATGTTTGCATATAAATTTTTCGTCATGAAAATGACATTTCATTGCGAATTAATCTATCTTAAAATTATCATAACACATTTGTTTTGTTATTTTAAAAAGAACGAGACAAGGGAAAAGAAAGTTTTTTTTTCTTTGTCCTTGAAATACGAGAACTGATTTCATTTCTTTCCTCAGTAATCGGCATTCGCTGCTCATTTTACTTTTTAACAGAAAAAACAACAACAACACACATAACTTTCATTCATTGCACTACGCTTTAATGGCTACATTTGTTACAAATAATGTTCATGGTCAAATTAAAATCAAAGGTGAACAAGTCGATTTTAATGGTGACGAAATTCTTGATGTATCTGTTCGTGATACACTTCGATATGATGCTGAATGTATTATATTAGGTTCAACGAATATACGTTTACATAAAGAACAACAAATGCCAATTAAATATCAATGTTATTATGATCCAAATAAAGCACATATGAAATTTGAACAAATTAAATCAATACCAGGGGGAATAACTCTATCAGCAAGTATTGAACGAAATGGACAATTATTATATGCAAACGATACAGATCTTCCATTAGCAGAAGAAGTCAATATTGAATTAGTTAAAATTGAATAAAACTTTAGATTTTTTTCTCTTTTTGGAATAAAATTGTACAGGTATTAAAATTAATTTGATTTTTCTTTGAAATGAAAAATCGTAAGTTTAAATATTTCGGAATCCATTGTTTATGTACAACTATATAGGTTATTTTATTATCCAACATGTACTTAACAATGAACATATTGAATTATTTACTAATTACTTTTTATGGATAGAATTGTATCATTTCTAGTGCCATGCATATGAAAACACTCAATGTTGCTTTTTATTCTAATGTGAATGGTCATCGAAATTAATATGATAGATCAAACTTTTATCCTCTGACACTAATTCACCAGAATTAGTGTTGAGTCCACCACAAAAGCTTTTCGATGGACTAACTATGATAAATGATGTAAAAATTACATTTACGATTAATTTGCCGTTTTTTATGCTTCACGGTTATGTTGTTAGTTTATCTGTATAAAGCTGCAAATCGATTTTACACAAATTATTTGTTTTTAAATGAGTTATTTCGGAAGGAATAATAGGTGTTTTTCATTTTCGTTTTAAAATATGGAATCATTAGTATTGATTTCAATCCTACATCTCCCACTCTTATTATTGTGACCTCACTCAAAATGAAGGCCATGATAGAAACTGTAGGGTTTCTACCTTTTATCGATAAGAAGTTATTTAAAAACAGTAGCGAAATGCTTTTTGACTAATTATTCGTTCTAATAAAGTTTTTAGCATGAATATCCTATTATTTATGAATTTATATCGAAGATAAAAAATTCAAGGAAACTATATTTCAGCAACAAATACGTCAAAAATCGTCCAAGTTACCATGAGAAATACTGCTTTCACATCTGCAATGAAGAGATTTCTAAAAACTACTCTGCAAATCATCTATTCCCATAGTAATATCTATCAACCTAATAGACAACAGAATAACCAATTCCGTATTACTAAATAACAGATCTTTTTTACTTTTTTGAAAAAATATCGTTTTTTGACTCGTAGCCAAGGGATGATTAAAAGACGTTTTCTATCATTCAAAAATAATCTAACAAGTAGTGATGTTATAGTAGAATTCATTATATAGGTGATATAACATTAGCTTTCAATAACTAAATTAGATCATAAGAACTAAATGTACAAATTATATTTAGGCGTAGTTTCATTTAACAATTGAGCTCGCCCGGTAATAATCCGTCTATTATTCTTGCAAACAAGCGAAACCTATTTCCAACATAAGACTTGGAAAGGTTTTAGAAGTTTGCTAACGAAGATATACAAATCAACATTCTATAGAGAAACTTACTTTTGAAATCTAACGACATCTTCAACAGTAGTGTTTGTTTAGAACAGATTACTAAAAAATGAAAACAAAAATTTAATTTTAGTATTTATAAATATATAACAGTTCTCAGTTTAAAATGGGTTTAGTAATCGTTTTTATCGATCATTCTTTTTTTTTGTCTGAAGACCGTCGTTTGATTCATCATTGAACTGTTAAACAATAAACTTACGAGAATGAGTTAATGCCGTGATCGATGTGTTAATCATTTATAACGAATACGACTTATATTCTCAATATCTAAAGAACAAAAAAATTTATCGATAACTATTCAATATTAGAAAATAATTGGATTTTGCAGGCTTTTAAAACAGATATAAGCAATTGTTATTTTCGCATTCAATTTCTTTAACACTCTCTAAGCTTCAATCAAACTCAACGTTACTTCTGTTAGTTGGTTATCTAGCACTTAGCATTCTTGACTGATAACACGATGTTTTTTCTAAGAGATAGTACGTACTTGTCTCGTTGATTTCATTCATATTTTCATTACATGTTCATTTGTTAATCAATACCTTTTTTTTTGTTGAACTAAAATTTTGTAAAAAAAGTCAAAAAAAGAATTGTTGAACTGAAAAAACAAATTTTGAAAAGAAATAGAATATTCATTTCGATGTTTCTTTTCAGACCAAAAAACTTTTTTTCTTGCACATTTATCCACATCTGACATACATAAAAGAAGTATGACAAATTCTACTACATGTGCTTAATAATTAAAAATTTTTCATATTCAGTCTCAATTAATTGTATCAGATGATCATTTCATCAAGTAATTCGATTTTATAGTGAATCAATATTTGGAAAATTTTATTTTGCTTCGCATCCTTTCAACACGCCAACAAGTCTAGGAATGTTCGGCAAAAATAAAATCTCTCGAAGAATGGATATCTTCCAACTAATAAATCACTTTTGACTTGCGACTATGTGCATTATGTAGGCCCAAATTAGTTATTAATACTATGAAAAACATTGATGCCCATAGCTTATCGCTGCGATGATACTGCACTTTTACGGTATTTTTTTGAATGAAAGCCGCGAAAAATAAAAAACTGATTTTTGAATTTGACTTGAAACTTTGCACAGAGACAAGTCTCAACCAAAGTAGCTTTTTGAGAATGTTTTAGATGTAGTTGCGGGTCGTATCCTCAGATATAACTGAAGTAATAGCGTGTGTGTTACGCCGCTTGTATAAACAGGCAGATTTGAGATTCATATTTCAGAATACAAACAAATCAAAATAACTCAAACTTTTACAATAAATTTCCCTCTTTAAGGTCTGTCTATAGTCTGAAGTCGAACTTCGAAAATCAGTTTCTCGATGATAACGACATTCATGGGACTAGTGGACACTTTCCACTTTTCGGAAATTTTAGCTTATTTCTGTAAGAATTGTACTTTTTATTTAAAAAACGATCGCAACATGAAAAAAAAAAGTTTAGTCCTCATATCGTACTTCTTTTAAAATATTGTGTGCGCATCTTGTCAGCTTTCGAAAAATTTCCTTGTATCCCTCTACTTATTTCTCTGCGCCACATCACTAAATATTCCTGCACTGGCAAAAAGTTCGAACTCTTTTCAAGGTATTCATAGCTCATTTGGGTCTACATAATGCACATTCGTTCTGAATAATAATATGTAAGACGATCCTATTGCTATAGATATTCAAATTGTTAACAGTTCTCAGTTGAAATGGGTTTAGTAATCGTTTTTTTTCGATCATTCTTTATCTGAAGACCGTCGTTGGATTCATCATAGAACTGTTTGTTTTCAAAGAAAAATAAAATAAAATATCTTCTGTCTTCAGATTTATTATGGAAATAAATCATCCTCATATCTGATCATGATCAGAGTGGTGCATGTAGAATCATCATTATAACAGAAGAAAAATGTTATACTTTTTCCAAGAAAAACACTCTTACCAATATTTATCGTAATATCAAAGTTTCATATATCGGCATATATCGAATGTAAATTTTATGAATACTTTATGGAAATAGAAAACTTAATTTTCTCTCTATTTAACCGTTACCGTTAGAGGCGAAACTATTATAATCTAAACGACTCATCATGAAAACAAAAAATGAATCGAACGTGAACTTTATCGCAGGAGGAGGACAATAAACATTATTTTAAAAAGTAAACCAATCCGGGGTTATTGGATATAATGCCTCCTTCCTCCATTTCAATTCAGCGACCTCTTAAAAAACCAAAATAGTTTTATTAAGTTTTTTTTATAAATGTTTATTTTGGTCGTATTATTTAATGAGCTTAAAACTTGAATGTTCAATTTTCTTTCGAATTATTATAGAAAACAAATTAGTAAAAGAATTTGTCATGACAATCGACATTTCTAATGGCGAAGGTCATTTAGAGCAAAACACAACAATTATGTCATTATAACCGGTGAACGAAAAACAATATGGGCGATAAACCTCGGTTATCGGTAGCTTCATCAACTGGTTTAAAAGGCGCAGCTGCCGCTACTCAATTTAAACGATTATTTAATCAACCGAGTATAAGTTCTTTGTCAAAGTACAGAATAAAAATTAATTATATATATATATATATGTATTAATTAAAAATTTGAACTTTATCTAGTCATGAAGATTCAAGAGAAGAACGAATTGAATTAGAAAATTTATTAGGAACAGAAGATCTTGAAAAATTACGCTCACAAGGATTTGTATGTAGAATTTACATTAAAAAATCGACAAAAGTATTAAGTTTTATTTATTTAGTCGGAAGATAAAGTTCTTGATAAAGAAGAATTTATTGAATTTTTACGACATACATTAAATCGTGGAAGTGATAAAGATGTATGTTTATTTTGGTTTCGCTTTAAGTATTGAAATTTAAAATATTGTTTTATTTTTTTAGTATGATGAATTATTTGAATGTGTTGATGTAACCAAGGAAGGTTTTATTTCATGGTTAGGATATAGTTTTATATTAGGGAATTTCGGTTTTTAAATAGAATATATTTTTTGTATAGGGATAAATTAGCGACATATTTAATGTTAAAATTATACGATAATGATGATCGTGAAAAGGCATCATCAGTACCGAATTGGAAAAGTGGAAAGAATTTATTGAAGTAATTCAAAATTTTGATTGTTTTTTTTTTGTTTTCTATAATTTGTTCGCTTAGTGCTCATCGAGATTCGATTAAACGTATTCAACATATGGATAGTTTTAGTCGATATATATCAATTAGTAAAGTATGTACAAATAGCAAAAAAAAAGAACAAATAATTCTATGAATAAAATAAATTATATAGGAAGGAACTGTTTGCATTTATAATGATGAAATGCAATTATATAAAACATTTAAAGCAGCAACAGAAAGTTGTAAAATGCGTGATTTATGGATAACTGATTTTGTATTAATGACAAATGTTAATAAAGTGGCTATTGCTTATACATCAAAAGAATTAAGTAAACAGTTCTTTTTTTTTCTTCTTTTATTCAAATGATTTATTATTTTAATTTTAAGTTATTTATGATATGACATCAAAACTCGAATTAAGTTTAGCTTATCGAATTGTTGGCATTGATGCTACGCCTTATTGTTTGGATTATTGGTGAGCAAAAAAAAAACATTAATTTCCTGATAGTTAAGTTTAAAATAGACAGTAAGCTCACAAAAAAAAAAGATTTCAGGCTTGATTACAGTAGAATAAATGATCCAAAAATCGAAGGTCTCTATAGGCATCCTGAAAAAAAAAGTCAATAATGTTCAGAACTGCTCGAATCTGAACATCAAACAAGAATTTGGGTTTCATGCATGTCCAGTTCGAGATTTTGATTTAGGTCTGATTCAGAAAATCCAAATGATGCGATATTGAGTTGGGGAGATGTAAAAGGTAATGTTCATGCAATCTTATTCAATTCAGCTATAATTGCACTATTTGAACGACCACCACAACAAACAAATAATGCCGGTAGGTTTAGTTGTTTGTCTTAATATTTATTTTATTGATGAAATTTTGCTTTATTTAAGCATACACAAGAGTTCAATTAGAAGATATAGCAAATGGAAATTATAAAAATGCATCTTATTTGACATATCATGCACATACTGAATGGACTCGACAAGGTTTTATTTAAATAAATTAAAGCTGAGATTTCCTTTTTTTTCCCGTTTTAGTTAAATATGTAGATCATCTTGAATGTTTTATATCATGTTCAACAAATACTAAAACAGCATTAGTATTTGGTTGGATGGACAAATCTGGATTAACAGTACGAGTGTAAGTTAATATTATGCTTTTTTTTAAAGAAAAATGAAGAAAATTTACTGTGAATATTTCAATAAAAATTAATTGATATAATACATCAATTATTTTAGTTCTGAATTTGGCCGTGATCGGAGGTATATAAATGGAAACAAAAACAAAGATGATATATTTTGTGCACTGTCAATTATCGATAGTCACATTCACTAACTAAAAAACTTTCTTTTTTGTTTCAAATCAATCTAACAATATGAGATTTTTTTTCGTTCTGTTATTTTTTATTTTTTGTTTTCAAAGAGTCTTAATATTTGATATTTGTTTTTAGTAATTATTCAGTTCGTATTCGACAGTTACGTGAAGCAAGGTATGTTTTTAAAATTAGATTATAGAATTTATATGATTTATATTGTAGGAGTGTGGTTGAAATTAGTCAAGGACTTAATTCATTTGATTATTCAAGAAATTTTAATTTGATTGGTAAAAGAAATATTAAATTCTTTTGACAAAGAACTGAACCAAATAGGCTAGAAAAGTTTCACAAATTGGAAATACATATATTATATTCAACCTATTTAGGAACGATAATAGTCTAGTTTATCAAATTTTAAACTGAGTATTTTGTCTTTCTAAGGAGATGAAATTCTGGAACTGCTAATTTCATGTTTAAATGAAAATTTAACGGGTAGTAAGATATTTTCGAAAAACTCCAAACAAGAAGTTTTGACTTAAAATTTTGCCAATAGACCAGTTGAAACTTTGAGAACTATCGGATAATGACTACCAGTCGTACCTGTAAACAAAATTTTAGATGGAAACTGCTTATTTTTGATTTTTTGAAAATGCCGTGTTTCCAGTTAAAATTTCATTAAAACAGCCATAAACTCTTCATCAGCAGCTCATGGTCTCGAAGCCATAACATGTAATTTGACGACATGCGACGCTTGGATATGTTCCATTGGGCAACTTTTCTATACTGTTATAAATTTGATTAATAGATTTCATTTGTGTTCGTGCTTCGATTATTATATACTCACATGTTTACCGAAATTAGACTCTAAATTTTGATTTTCAGTTTCTATCATGTTTTTACAATTCATTAGAAAAAATTTAAGTTCGATAAGCAATTGACTCGATCGATAAGCATTAACGAAATGATACAGTCAATTAGTAGTACGGTGCTAAGATTATTGATTTGTTCATCAATAATATAGAAGTAATGTTCAGGCAAGATATCAAAACCCTAGACTGGCTCAATAGCTACGAGACGATACTATTTTATCAGCCTGGACTGATAGACATTATGTCTGTTACTGGATTTACTAGAAAATGAAACTTTTGAAAAAGTTCTAATGAAGAAACCTCTTCAGATGTCAAATTACTCTTCGAATGAGACGGTGTTCATTTAATGAACATCGTCTCGGTCGAAAAGCGATCTGATGCCTGGAGAGGTTCCGTCGTAAGATTGTATCAAAATTCCATTGAATTGAGACTTGACTAAATTTTTATTTTTATTTTAGCAACTGCAGGTGTAAACTATCAAGTTAGTCTATGGAATCCATTTGTTTTATCAAAACCAAATGGAGTAATAAAAATCTAATTTTCAAAACTAACAATAATAAATGAAATATCTTTTTAAAGATTCTTCGTGGACATATGCGTTCTGTACTCTATGTTCAATTTATTCCCAGTCGTGGTCAATTATTAAGTTTTTCTAAAGATAAAATATTACGTATATGGGATGTTCAATTACAAATATGTCTTCAACGTTTATCAAATATATTTCCACGTGGACCCGAAGGTAAAAGAGGCAAAAGAAAAACAATTCCACTTTTTATTTTATTTTTCGGATTACAAGAAAAAATTAAAATCGAAACCTTTTAAATAGCTTCACATATAAATCGATAATTTCTTTGACAATCATCTGTATATAAACCACATGATGTAATACTAACACATAATTCATCATGATTTATTGTTGTTAAATGCATATAATCAGTTTGTGAACACCAAATATCATGAAAATTAATTTGTGCTATTTCATGATTATCATACCAACGAAATACCGTTGTCGATATTTGTCGTTTAATTCGATAGTTATATTGATATAAATTTTTTTGATTAAAATCACTTATTGCACCAATCCAATACATATAATCAATTTCTTCATGATTATGATTATGTAAAAATTCTTTTTTTAAATATTGAATATCTGTTTGATTAAGATTTGATACTAATTTCATCGTATATTCTTGTTCATCATCAATTATATTATCATTTTGACAATAATCATTTGCTTCATGCCATGTTGATTTATGATTTGATAAACGAAAACAACGATTACCTATTAATAAATCATGACATATTATACAACGATGTAATTGTGTAGACCAAAATAAACGTTTTGGACAAATACAATGATTTGATTGACATGTCATTGAAGATTTATTTTTATCACAATTTTCATCTGTAGAACATAATTTATCATATTCGAGCAGGTCATTTGATACAGATGATGTTTCAATAGTCGGATTTGATGGAAGTATTTTAAAACTTCCAAAACCATCTATTAAAGGAATATTAATAGCAGATATAGTTTGCGTTGTTGTTGCTAATAAGGAAGAAGTTTTTGTATGAATTTTATCATTTTGATAATTATTAGTTGAACTATCAAGATTATTAACAAGAACATCTAGAGCATTGGCGAATTTTCTAGAAAAAAAATATAATCTTATGTTGTAATATGCACAGCATTGATTAAAAATATGAAACCAATATATTTTTGATTTTTTTTCTACGATACCAAGTATTTAAAATGATAGTTTGAATAGCTAATGAAGGTTTCTGAAAAATCAGATGCGATAGTGTTCAACACTTGGAAGACTGCAAAAAAAATATAATTTTAAAGAGTACCATCGTAAAGAAGACAATGTTTTGAATAAAATAATGCATAGCTGTACTTCCTACAGCCTTTCGTTAAAAGGTTATAAGCATCACAAGAAAGGTGTTTTCCAGCAATATTGTGATCAATTTTGCTTTGTAGCGCTTATAACTTTGTAACAAAAGGCTGTAAGAAATGCAGCTATTCATTATTTTATTTGGAACTTTGTCTTCTTTACGATGATACTCTTTACAACTAATTTTCTCAGTCTTCTAGGACTTGAAAACTACCGCATTTAGTTTTTTAGAAATCTTCATTAGCTATTCAAACCATTATTTTAAATGCTTGATATTCTAGAAAAAGCATTTTTACTGCAGCCATTTTGGGGTTGAAATATAGAACTCACACATGTTCTTTAGTCTCATCATACTAAAATAAAATACTTGAAATGAAAAATTTCTCACAGCTTGTCGTTCTTCTCCCAAAAAATCGATCACTAGAGAATCAATTCGTCTTATGCATTTTTCCATGTGGAACAGAAATCTTTGCTTTTCCTTGTTGCTATTTGCTCTGTATTTTTCATATTAGTCTCTAGGAGAAGAGTCTGATACCAATTGTTCTCGGTAGCTAAGATTTGTAATGAAAGAACCGTAAAACTTCGACTTAGAACTTACGCTCACTAAGTTCTTCGAAAATATATGTGAATTCTACAAAAAAATCAAAAATATATTGATCTTATATTTTTCCAATCACTATTGTATATTTGAATAGAGATGATTAACCTTAAAGCATATTTATCTGGTAATAAATCTTGATTTTTTTTGTCTAATTTTAAACAAAAAAACATTTCTGCTATTTGATCAATTGTTTTATTAAATAAAATTAATGTTGACTGACGATTATATTCATATTGATTATTATTCATGATTTGTCGAATTATATTCTCTATATAAAATGTATCAATAATAAATTCTTGATCAATTAATTCGCAATTAATATAACATTGTATCATTGTTGATGTTATATGTAAAAAAATAACAAGATTATTATTCAATGATAATATACGATCAGTTGATTTATCAGCATATAATATAAATTCAGTACGATTTTCATTATTAAATCGAATATTAAAAAGATGTTCATTTGGGTAATATTGAATATAAAATTTTAATTCTGATATATTGAAAATAGTATGAAAATTTGTATCATTGATATTGATTTTATCAATATTAGGTTTATAGATAATTGTAAATGAATTAGATGAAAGTGTAAGAGCCATACGTTGATCATTTTGACGTCTAAACAATAAGAAATAACGCGTATTCCAGAATAAATTACACAATCTTAATGCCTTTTTCTTTTACTCACTAAGCATGAAAAGTTTTGTTTATATGCTAAACGATTGAGAACTTCAAACTGTACAAAACTGTCAAATTTGTTTTTCAAATAAGTTATATTTTGTCGCTCCCAAATTAAAAAGATTCACATCTATTCAGTTCTTCAATTCCAACGTCCTATTCTCTGTTGGTGCTTATTAATTTTTGCAAAGTCGATGCTAAAAGTAGACTATTTAATAACACCAAATAGAGAATTTTATCTACTACGGTCTTTTCAAGGTTTTCGACGCTGACCTTTAAGAGAAAAATACTTGAAACTGACAACAGTCAGTATTTTTGAGTTATGCCATCAGATATAAAACTTAATTCTGAACAAAATTATGTAAAGCAGACCTTTACCGAAGTCGAGCCTGCACCGAGCAGGCCAAACTCAAGGTTGTTCTGTCTCGATTTTAAAAACTTTGTCTTTTCACACGCATTTTTTGTTTACTCTTTTTGTCATGTATCAATCGCGCTGTGTTATTCATACTTGAAATTCCTTCTTGTAAAATAATAGATGTATTCAAAGTAAGTACAATTCAAGATTCTGTTTGCATATAAGATAGTTTATATACATCAGCGACAGAAGTATGTTGAGTTTTAACATGGAAATCAGCTGTTGTCTTTACGGATATTTTTTTATTTTTAAGAAATATTTATTAGTTAGGAAACATCATGCCTTGAAAGTATTTCTGTAAAGAAAGAGAGTGTAAACAGATATATCTACCATTTGATTGAATGAAACTAAAAAAAACATTTGAAGAGAATGTCTTCGAGTTACAACAGATCGAATTACATACTTTAGACTCGAGGATATGATCGAGTGTGACCGAGTGCGAGCTATTCGAGCCTCGGTATAAGTTTTATGTAAAGATTAAATTGAACCGTAAAAATATTTAAGTTGTTTTGAATCAGAAAATAACAATCGCATATGTCGTCTATCAGGAAAAGAACTTTTCTGATGTTTTCACTTTTTTTTTATTTCAATATTGTTGCTTCCAAATAGGTCTTCTAAAATTCTGAAACATGCATCTATATATAAAAAGCTACAAGGAGAATTTCATGAGATAGTTGAAAGTTCACCAGAACCTTGATTTTAAAAAAATAGTCATCAACTTTTTATAATTAGGAGGCAAGAGAAAAGTGTACTGAGATTTAGTGCAATTTTTGCTTGTATACCCCGTTAAAAATGAGAAACAAATATTTTTGCTTATGCATTTTACCTTGATCGTAATTTACGTCGTTGAACTTTTTCAATGACATTTTGCATTTTACGAATTAATGGTCGTTCGATTTTGGTTGTTGTTTTACTATCAGAAGATGTGGTTATATTAGTTTGTTTACAAGAAAATATATCAAATATTTCTTGTTGAGTATATCCATTAGTTGACGTTATTTCAAAATGTTCAATATTTTTTGTAATATTTTTTATTTCATAATATAAATTTTCATTATTATATTCATTGATTAGATTTGATGAATAAAATAAATATGAATCAATTAATTTACAATTAACATAAGTTTCAAGTTTAGTTTGATCTCGGAGAACAATAAAAATCATATGATTTAAGGTATTAAATACTACATCAGCACGTTCAATATTTAATTTAATTATTGATTCTTGTTGTTTTATTGTTCCATCAGAATTTCGAATATTAATATCAACAACAATAGAACGATCGTATGTAGATAAAGTAAATGAAAGATATTTTTGTTCTTGTTGATTGTTTAATGAAGAGGTTAGAGTAAAAAGTGATGTATAAAATCCTGGAAATTGATATTGATCAAATATAAACCAATGTTCAGTTGTTGATGAAAATCCAACAAACATAAAAAAGATAAGAATTCGCATCATTATCTATGTTTTTACTTTGAATTGTTTGATCGAAATGTATATGATGAATGAAAACAAAAGCGAAACTGATAAAAATGAATTGGGATTCATTATAAATGTACTCATGATTTCTATAAATAAATGAAATCAAATGAAACTTGATATGCACAAAGCACATCAACAATTAAAGTAATTACGCATAGTAGAAAGAAGAAGAATAGAAGTTAATCGATAGATGAAGTGAATCTGTCGTTTTAAATTTGTTCATACAAATAATCAAAGAATACAAAGTATCCATTTGTGTTTCTTAAAACAGTTGTTATGATTATGGGCAATGTTGAATATTACTATTTTAACAGTCGTTATACTTTTCGTAGATTTAATGTTGTTTTTGATGAAAATATCTTTGTATTATATTTATTTTCTGTCCCGTACGAGACAACGTACCTAATTGTTGGACGTTGCTCGAGTTCATACGATGACTAGAAGAAGACGTCGATGATATTAAGACAAGCTTTAAAATATTCGAGTCCATGGTCTATTGACAAAGAGCCATGGACATTTTAATGAAATTTTAGCTGAGAACAAGGTATTGCCGAAAAATCCAAAACAAAAAAGTTTCGACCTGAAATTTGACCCAGAAGCACATTTGATAGTCATTAGATTGTTCTGAAAGTTTCAATAAAAACGAGCAAGTCTTTCTCGAGATATTCAATTTCTAAAAAAGCAACGACTTACTATAGGAGGATACAATAATCGAGTCTACTTTGAAATCGAATATCTCGAGAAAGACATGTTTATTTTCGTTGAAACTTTCAGAACAATATAATGACTATCAAATGTGCTTATCGGTCAATTTTCAAGTTGAAACTGTTCGTTTCGAATTTTCCGACAATGTGTTGCTCCCAGTCAAAATTGCATTAGACATCCGTAACAACATTTGGGTATGTTTCTTCTTTAGGCAAGTACCGATAGGCATACCTTTTAAGACTAGATCCATGAACGATTTCACCATATTGCATATCATAGACAGTTGAGAAATTGAATGTAACGAAAAACATTACAGACATTGGATCTATGCAAAGAATAGCCAGTATTTTATTCCGATTATCTTTTTCGAAAGGGCGAATACTATTTTTTGCAAGCACGAATTCATGACAACCGTTCCCGATACTGAAAAATAAAAATGGTAAAAAAAACTGCTTAGCATTATGAAGAAATAATTCAGGAAGATCCAAAAAAATATTAATAATCTATTCAAGAACAAGAAATATTAATTGCGAATAGAAATACAAATGTTTGGCGAACTCTTCTAATTGAGTATGAAGTCTTACACGAGAGTAAATAGTAGTGAATTTAAATATTCCCATAATCTTATATAATTTTTCTTATTTTGGAGCTTCTGTCTACTGTAGTTTTCATGTTTTCGTTACGTTGCGATAAACTCAAAATATGAATGTAAACATTCTATTACCGTTTATCAGCAAGACCATCTATGGAATATATTTCATGAAATAAATCTTTATTTTTCACATGTAACCTGATCCTCGAGCGGCATTGTAAAATTCTATATTGTGACTAATTGTTGCTTTCTTCGCCGCATAGTCACGTCTTATTTTCAGATGGTCTACTAACAACGATACCATATTTCTTAAAGGATATGATTGTTTGCAAACTTTATTTTTCTGTTTAGTGGATATCTTTTGTTGGTTCGATGATCAACGCAGTCGTTTATTTGCATCATTTCGTACGAATATATCTATGTTGGAAATTAAACCTGAAATAAAAAATCGTATTATGACTCATGATCGATCAATTGTTGCTGCACGATATATTATTAAACAAAAACAAGTATTTATTAATTTTTATATAAAAGACCACTTTTTTAAACAAATTAAATATATTATTAAAGGTGATGATTGTTTGTCAAGGTGGTGATGTTAGTTTTTGGTCATTAGAGGGACAAAAAACTAAACGATTTAGTGAACAAAAAGCTGGAGAACATTTTGATACAACTTGTTTAGGTTTTGATGAATTTGGTGAAAAATTTTATACTGGTGGAAGTGATGGAAAAATTCGCGTAAGTATTATTCTTTGTCGAAATCAATGATATATTCAATTTAAATATAGATTTGGAATTATAATGGTCGAGTTTTGCAAACATTAGATGCCGGTAAAGGTACGGCAGTAGAAATAACACAAATAGAAGCATTAAAACGACGTATTGTTGCTGTTGGATGGAGCAAGTAAGACGATAAAACAAACAAAATTAGTTGAATTCTACAATAAAACTGATTGTAGATATTTGACTGTTTTTCGTGATTTACAACAAGTTGAAGGACGACCAAGTATTCCAACAGAATGGAAAGGTGAAAAAGATAAAACAGAAGTAAATATTTATTTTTTTTTATACATCAAATTATTAATATTCGACATTCTTAAAATAGGGGCATGATGATGATATAGTATGCATGGCTGTAACATCACTTTTTCCTCAATTACTTGCATCGGGCAGTACTGATGGTGATATATGTATATGGAATACATCATCAGAATTATTTGTTCGTCGTCTTGATCAACGAAAACGCCATCCAAATAATACTCAAGCAAAAGTAGGCAAAGATTTTATTAATTTCTTTTTGCTCTTACTGCTTCATGCTATTTCTTATGCTTTATTAATCAGTTACAAGATAATGCAGCTGATTTTGCTATTACAATGTTAAGATTTCTTGATAAACGCATGGCTATGAGCACAAATAATAATTTAACAGGTGCTAATTTATTATCATGTGGTGGTATAGGCTTTGTTCGCTTTTGGAATGTGCATACAGGAAAGATTTTAAGCGAATTTCAAGCACATACTGATGGTATATCAATGATTGATTTTTATTGATTTTATCTTTTGATTTTTATATTTTATCATAGTTTCAAGTGTTATAATGGAAATTGACATACATAATAAATATTTAGGAACAGGTGATGTTAATGGTCTTGTTAAACTATGGGATATAGAACAATATTGTCTTCAAGTTGATTCAACAACGGTTGGGAAAAGTTTACCACGTATGTAGATTTTTAAATTTTGCTTCAATTTTTTTTGTCTCAACTTATATTATGTTTTTTCTTTATTATTTTATTAGCTTTACTTGCACAATTTACTTCACATTCAGATTCTATTACATGTATTGATTTCTTAGAAAAAGATGAACGCATATTTGTATTAACATCATCATCGGATTGTAGTGTTGTTTTATCAGATATAAATGGAAATCCCTATGGTACATTTGGACAACCAAATCAATGGCGTTTAGATATGGATTTATCAAAAACACACGATGAAAACTCACAAACAGATCGAAATAAAGGTGATGATGAATCTCAAGAAAATTCTAGGCAAAACGGTGAAGAATCTCGATCAGTATTAAGTCAAGATATTGATGATATGCCGTCAGTAACAGATGAAAACATGTTAACAAGACGATCAAATGTTTGGGAATCAACTTCAATTGGTAAATTAAATTTATTAAGCCCCTCATACATTAAATTAGATCGAACTTTCGATTGATTTATAGTTTTTTATGGTCCTTAGGAGAAGCCCTATAACTTCATCACTGTAGCAATTACAGAACTCGAAGTAGTTTCAAAGTAAAGTCAATACCTATGTGCAGTCTTTTGTTCGAATAGAATTTTGAAATTTGATTCCATTCATTTTTATTGGTTATAATGTTTCTGATTGAGGATTATGTTCTGAAAAAAAACGCCATTAAAATGATATATTCATACTATATTTCAGTGAAATTTTTTCAAAACACGTAACAGATGACGACGTAAGCTAGCACTATCTGTCATATTTAAATTGTATATGAATGTTTATTGAATGCTGATGTAAATAAAAATGCAGCCTTTCCAAAACTAAAAAGCTTTAAAACCTTGGAAAAAGGACCTCGTTGGATACGATGACCACCCTTCACTTGAAAAGCCACCTATACCTTTTCGTAGAACAACTCATGGCTCATCAAATGGTATATAGGAAACTATTTTTTCATCAAGCTTTAGCGATCTGAGAAGCCATATATCAGTTAACGAATATTAGTGCAATTGTGGGTGATATAACCCAATATTAGAACTTAGCTAGTCTCCAAACTAGCCTATATCAAATTTTTTTTTCAAGTTACTTCAATAGAGTTTTGTCTTCATGCCCAAAATCTTAGCATTTTTTTTAGCTTCTGTCATTGTTGTCTTTTATAATATTTTAAATTCTTTTCTATTAATTGATTGTCCTCTGAAATGTTTTTTGCCATTATCAAATCGGGAACTCAATGTCTAAAAGAGGCCAATTGTGCGGTAAATATTTTTTAAGTGAAAATGTGTCTATCTAGTAATAATTAATTCATCATGCACTATCATTTGACATATATGGTTCTTTCGAAAATGGTGAAAAACACGTTTCGATCTTAAACCTCTGAAGCAGGATATGGATATAGGCTATTACAAGGATTAGTTTATAATTTATTTTGTTCCTTACGAATTTAGATTCTGAGTAGCTGGATGTATTTAGAATATGAAGCACTATCAAATTCAATATACTTTTACGAGAACTAAAAATCTCACACGTCTGTATATCCCTTCCAGGTATTTAAACGAGAAAAATTTTCTACTTTTTTTCGAAAGATCCATATATGTCAAATGATAGGGGGCATAGTGAAGTTATTATTAATAGATAGAAAATTTTTCATTCAAAAATGTATTTATCGCAGAATTGACCTTTTTTTTGGACATTGATTTCTCGATTTTATCATCATGTACAACATTTTGGAGGATAATCGATTGGTATACTTATAGAGCTCGATGGTACACAATTTCTGAGAAAGGTGCACGGCTAGTTGCCTTTGCCATCAGAAACACTAGAGAACAATGCTTCGATTTCTTTTTCGTAAAAATAGATTTTTGAAAGAGAAGAACTCCGTTAAAGAAAAATAAATCTTTTTGTTATTTTGAAAAAACTTTTATTTAAGGTGTAACCTATCAAGAAAAACGAACCAATCGAAGACAACGTAATCAACCAAGTTTAATTACGAAAAAAGATTACTTATTATGGGAAAAAACAGGTTTAGCACCCGGTGGAGCATACGGTGTAAGTCGAGTTTCTTTCTCTTTGGTTTGATTGTTTATCTCTTTTAAAATTATTTTTATTTGAAAAGGCTCTTGATACATTTGAACTACCAGCAATACCTGACCAGAAAAAGGCTGCTTATCTTGATACGACTTATTTATGGCAGGCAAGTCATTTAGGCGATAGTATTCGACGACGTCCATTACCATCAATGATTGGCGAAAGTAAAAGAAAAAAAAATACATACATATTCTTTCAAATCATATATATATATATAATTTCTTGTCGTTTTTAGATTTAAAATCAGCTTTTGATGAACGTTCAATATTTCCAAAATATATTTTGGATTATGAAGCGAAACAAAAACAATTATTTGAATCAGGAAATCAACAACAAATTACAAATATGACATCAATAAGTGGAATTAATACAAATTCTCAACCACTTGTACGTCAAACAGGTGACGCCGCATTAAAATTTAAACGGCAAAGTTCATCATCAACTCTTCTCAGTGATCAAAAAGCCCAGTGATTATTAACAGAATTTTGATCCGGTCAACTCTTTTTTCCTTCTTAAAAAAAAATATATATACATATAGACGATTCCGGTGACGTCAGATTTATTGGAAAGAAAATGAAAGAGAGAAGAGTGCATTTATTTTATTTTATTTTTTCATTTCAATAAAAATGTTCATAGTGAATCGTTTGTTTTTCTTTTATTCTATCATAAAAAAAATTTCAATTGTTTAAAATCCTTCGATTTGATTTTGTTAATATTCTTTTCTGTTCTTGAGCAATGACTATCATATTAATACTATTATGAATAAGGGAAATACTGAATGTAATCAGAAGAATCACTTTTAAATTAATTGCTAAACTATCATCACAATATAGTGACGATATTGAAGTACATCGAGTTGATAGTGAATAATCAACAATAGAAAAAGCAAGTCCGAATGTAGAAAAGGCCAAAGTAAACATATACATTTGCACTAAACGAAACAACGGAAAAGATGGTCGAAATCCAATAATTATCATAATACTTCCTCCAAAAATAAGAAAAATGCCTGCCCAAAAACCATTATAATATGATGAATACAAATTCACAACAATGGCAAGTTGTAAACTGAAAGCTACTATGCCCCATAGAGCATAAATCAAACCAGAAATACATAAAAATATCCCTAGATTACTTCTAATTGGTATTAATAAATTATTATTCGAAAATCGTCGATGGACACGTGTAACAGCAATACCCTGTTGTTGATGCACTGCTGTTTGACCAACATTTGATTTGTCTGATGCTACATTACTGATTCCATTACCAGATTGTTGAGGATATGGTAAATAAGGTGGTGGTGATTCTTGATGGGATCTTTAGGAAAAGAGAATTATCATTGAACAAAAAAAAATGTCATTTCTATTGCAAGAAGGTTATTTACTGATAGAGGCCTTCGGAATTATAATTGTTGTCTTGTTGGATATAATATTGCCTGTTCGAATTAGATTGCATTGTTATAATATTTAATGATGAATAAATTGTATTATTTGTTCTGTACTTGTAGTTGGTATCAATGTAAAAGTCTATGGTCGGCCTTTTTATATTCCATTTTCAACATTTGCTACAATGATATAAATTTTAAAAAAAACGTATGATACATGTATTTGTCGCACTTACTACTCATTAAAATAACAATGATACAAGATAACACGTTTATTATCTTTTTGTTTGACATTGCAAGTTTTGAATAGATGAATGTCCTTTAATCGCAGGTATAGCGAGAGTACTTCATAAGTCAATTAATAAATTCAATAAATTTTAAACAGATTAATATTAAAATAATCGTAATGTCGTATCTGTAGTGAGTTATGATTAATTAAATACTCTTCATTTGTCAACATTTTACAAATAAGATATAGCGTCATTGCTGATTGTTATGGCTATTCTTTTTTCCATACTATTGAAAAGTAGTGTATTAATCTAAAGGTAATATTCATATGAGTTGTGGTCATTTAAGTGTTGTTATGGTTTTTAAATTGTTTCGCAAGTATATACAAAAATGACTTTTAATTAACTTGTTTTAATTTGTTTTCAATGACATAATCACAAAAATCAAAAGATTTTCAATGGTCATAATGAATTTCTTTTACTTGAAATACACTAAAGAGTGTCATTGAATAGCTTGTAATTTGAATAAACGAATGCATAAAAAAAGAGTTTTGGATTTTTAAAAATCAGAAAAATATTTTTTTAACACTATATAGTTGAAGGAAAAAATCTACATCATCCGGCACAAGAGTGTTTATAGGCGTGTGTTCATAAAAAGAACAATGGTATTGGTTTTTAATATAGATTATATCATTAATTACAGAGGAGCAAAATAGTCACTTTTAAATCGTTTACTAATACGTCATCCCAATACCATAATGATAATGAAAAATATGGAATTGATCGAAAAATAGATGACATTTGAGCTCAGCTCAGAGCGAGAGAAGTGTGCGAAGCATTTCGAATTTCGATCTTAGTTTTTCGACATCGTAAAGATAACAAAAACTCTTAGTACCTATTGAGTCAACGAAAATTTACTATTATTACTGAGAATTGTTGTTGAGTTTACAATTTATTTTGCTCTGATTATCATGGACAAATACACATGATACAAACGTTTTTGAGTGTCCAATATGAGTTTCCATTCATCTTCAGCAAATTCTGCAAAACAGTGAGTTTGACGATTTGTCCTTCATCTATTATCCAAAAGAGTTAAAATTAGTGACTTAATCTCCTATCAGCTGTTGTGAATGAGAGAAATAATGAAAACCTTGAATAAGGTAGGATCGAATCTAGATGAAATTATTTATCGTTCTGATGTTAATTGAATTCGATGTATGAATAAAATATTAGAACAGAGTCAATCTGCTATCGAAGCATACATAGAAGACGACGAAATCAATTCTCCTGCATGAAATGATCTGAAATGTCTATAATATTTAACCATTTTTCACTTGGTGTAATAATATAAGAATATCGATCAAAACTGTTTACCTTTGATTTAGATAGATACATAAAACTTTCACTTCTACATATAAACTTCATACTGTACTATGTATTCAAGCGAGTGTTATTTATCGTAAAATATATTTTGTTTTTCACGTCCACCTTTTAAAACAGTTCAAGAATGATCTTGAATGGTTTCATGAAGGTCGCAAAAGACGTTGAAGATGAACTAGCCGTAATCTTCATGAGTTTACGACGTTATCACTAATAAACCAATCAATCTATTCGACATTTTCGGATGATACTTGATGATAGATACGCCTGATCGTGCTCCGTCTTAAACATCTTCTCAATTTCCACGAACTCATTCATATCGTTTTTTTCAACTGTTCTGAAAGGTGGAGACTGGTTACCGAAAATAAAATACAGTGCAAGTCCTTATTTTCATTTATGTCAATATTCACCTCTTTGTCTAACAATAATACAAGAACTATACGATCGTTATCATCATAGCAAAAAATCTCAAGAATTATCTCCTAACCATCATGATACTCAATCAAAATTGATTTCACCATATTCATTCATTATCAAATAATAATTATTTATTCATGTCAGAGAAATGAAGAGTAACAATACTATGTTGTTTGCCTTATTATTTGCATCAATTAACAACTAGTAAACTTTCGCTATCTGAATTACGCATATTGAAGAAGGATCTGCCGACAATATGTAGTTCTAACTCGTCATTATCTCTTAATCGACAACAACGTCGAATTGAAGAGGTAGCTCCATATCTATAAAAGAAAAGTCTTTTTTCTCAATTATCTTTTCCTCCCCATTATCCTCAACATTTCTTCATGAATGAAATGAACAATAAAGCAAATATTGATTATTTAATACCACCTATTGTTACAAGAATTAATGATGCATGTTCATGATTAAGAAATGACAAATATAAAACCGTTAGATATGACACATACAATTATTGATATCAGAGAATATGATCCGAATATATAATGTTTTAGAAAAGTTATCAGAAATATCAAGAATCATAATTAGTGATATATTGATTTGTCATAGTTGTCATGGAATTAACACAAAAAACATGAACTGATCAAGTTCTAATTTATGAAAAGAATCACCATCAATATGTCAAAGTTTATCAAGCTGTAAAATAAGATGTTGATAAGAGTAATAATAATAATCGAATAGAAAATAAATAATGAAGGAATAGTAATAAGTCAAATAAGAACTAGTGCTCTAGGAAAGAAGAGAACAAAATTCTGTTTGAAATACCGAAATAAATAAGAATTCCCCTGTTAATCTGTTTTGTATTAATATTTAAATTCGTTTTTTCTACTTGTTCCATCGCCACCCGTTGGTTCTATCAGTATATCCGCATAAGCATACACCAGGTTTACTCAAGATGTTGCAAATCATTTTCACGTATATGCAGGATATGGGTGTCATGCAAAGAGAATAAGTATAGATACATCCACATCCCAAACTTTTTACAAAAAAAAGACGAAAAAAAATGAAACGAAAAATAAACATGAATATTTAAGAATACGTTAAACGAATAGCGATGAATTGAACGTCGACGAAAATGATTATTTCATCAATTATTGATTTGATGAGAGTCAATTATACTTTTTGTCAAGAGAGATACAACGTAGTCTTGTACTCCCATACTTCGCAAAGCCCATGTATTCCGACTGGATCCCATGGGCTTTGTGGCCTCCCGGAGTCCGCGAAGTGCAAAGAAAAACAAGATATTCGTGTACTCCCTGGACTTCCACTGTACTTCGGGGGTCCACGGAGGGTAGATATGGAGTGTTGGAGTACATGTGGACATGGGTGCTGGTAACGAGAAGATCTCACCCACATTCATGTTACCAAGAACCACACCCACACACCAATCCACACCACACATATCCATGTCCTATCCTGTATTACTCGCTAGATATCACTACAAGTTACGGAACAGACAGAATTCCATTTAGCACATGGTTATTTAGTAATGAATAATGAAAGTTGAGGCATTTGAGCGCTACCGAAGGTGAGTTTTGAACCGTTCTCTTACGCACACACCAACCAGTTCACTCTCAGTTGATATATTATTAAATACGCTCAGAATCTGAACCGAATGTTCATGCCGTAAGGAGATACGTTTTCTGGCGTGACGTCAATACGAGTAGCTCTGACGTCTGGAGTCCTGCATAACAAAGATCGGATTCATACGAAAATTAGGGAATAAAACTCAAGATTCTTACCGCGAATTAACAATGCTCAACAGCTTTTATCAGTCAGAAAGCAAATTAAATCAATTAATATTCATGTGTAGTGTAGTCATAACAATCTAAATTTGACTTTAAATACGAAGCTGACGAATACATTTTTAACTTCACTATCGATCGTTGATACAACATCAACTTCAACAGATGACAGCAACATTCGATTTAATCACTACTGCTTCTGAAATTCGTTTCCACAATCTCGAAAAACAAACACAGTTCTTACTTGAAAATGGTCATTTTGTGGAGAAAACAGAAAACGAACGGAAACTTCATATCGAAGTTTCAAAAATCACTACACAAAATAGTGATGTCGAGTTTAAGTTGAGAAAGCATAAAAACTCGAGAACGATTGCTATACAAAGCTACGCACCGTAATCATCAATGTTAGAGAAGATGAATTCGAGCGCCTATATACCTAAATGAACGCAGTGTATTCGTGTCAAAAAACAACAATCAAATAAATATTACCTAAAATAACGTCAAATGCTCTACCTAACTTATTCGAAATAATTAAACTAACATAAGCCAAATGGTCTGTACCCCAATCTGCTTAGAGAAATCATATAGCTTAAGAGTTTCTTTGGAACTGCGAAGTTTGATGCAAAGACGCCTGTTGTGTCATTTATCGATAATTCGTAGAAAAACGAATGGTCATTTTTATATTTGATTACGTTATGTTTTGTATCTTGAACATAATTATAGTTTATTGCAATCTTTTTTCAATCAATCTAATGAGAAAAGTAATATTTCGATCGATTGATCGAATTAAAAAGTAGGCATTACGATATTTGTTACTAAGAAAATTCTACCAAGCCATATCAACATATTTCTAAAGACTGCTGTTGATTGATAATTTAATTATCTATGTAATTCATTATCTATCACCAGCTTTTCTCAGCGCTGTAATCTACCATCTCAATTGTTCAATCAAAATAACAACTAGTTTTTTTTTAATACTCTTGCCATTTCAAGCATCTCGAATGCAGAAAACAAAGAAGTTGCTTACAGGTGTTTTTTAGGAGCCTCATGTTGATATATGTCGATGTATCTTGTTTTCAATTTTCATTGAAAATTCGATCAACTTTTTGACAGTAATATTATGAGCAGTCAACAAATTTGAATCAAACAATAGCGGCTTTTCGTTTCAAGGCACCTCTTAAGAAAATAGTCGGAAAAAATTATTTTGAAGAATTAATTATTGTTTATTTTTGTTTCAATGCGTCTATAATATACAATAAACAAAGTACCTGAAAAGAGACTCTCCCTATTTAATAAAACAACAAAAAAAAATATACAGATTTCTTCTTTTTCATCTAATTACACCATCTAAGCGTCTCTCATGTTTAATTTTTTTAAGTAAAAAGCCAATTGATTTTTTTTCTTTCCTGTTATTGTGACAAGTTGTGTATTTTTTGTCCATTTCAATCATCGAGCGGTGAATGTCGTGTAGAAGCACCACGATTTGTTGCTTGTTTACCTTTCTTCGCTCCACCAGCGCGAGCAGCTAATAAAAAAAATTTGATTTAAATAACAGGAATTTTATGAGAGGAGTCCTCTAATAGATAAGTTGCTTTTGAGTCGAAATCATGTAGAATCTAATGAGTTATGAATACCTTCCAAAGAGTTGGTACTCTTACTTTATCCCTGCTAAGATACTACACTTTTGAAGTCACAGTCGTGGTAGCGAAAGCTTTATGTCTTTTGATTTACTTCCATCTTAAAATAAGAAAGTGAAACCAACTGCTCTATATGAGTGACGTAAAAAACACACTATTCCTATAGTTGTATCTTGGAATAGTAACAATGAAAAGATCTGAAACTTTAACAAGAAACTATTGCAGTTAAGTCCTTTCTCTATGCAAGTTTTTCTGATATTCATAGCTTATTTGGATCTACATAATTCACATAGTCGTGATTAGAGATATGCGAGACCAATGGTGGCTCCAGTTTCGGTCTCTGAGATCACAAAGAAAAAAATTGACGAAATTGGAATACATCTGTGGCAAGCGCCCCTTCTAAAAGCGCGTTCTCTTTTGAGAACTAATTAGATATGTAGTGATCTGTTCTTTTTTTAACAACTGGCAGTTGTTAAATAGAATTGTTGCATTACTATTATCAGTCGATCTAGTTCGTAAGAAAAGAGCCGGTTCAAAGAACTGTGACAAATGCAAAAACTGGATTTTCGAAACGAGAAGCTCCTGAGATCGAGCAGGATCAGGATTAGGAGAAAAAAATTGTTCCATTCAAAAGAAATGACTAAAAACGAACTAGTCATCAACTAAATAAATAAAAAAGATGAGACACGAAGCAACTTTGGAATAGTTTCATCTAGATTGCGACCGGAGCCCGAAATTAAAAATACTGAACCCCAAATCCTCTCTAGCCTTCACTTAGAAGTAATTTATCGATTGGAGAACTTCTTTCGTTAGTTTTTTTATTAAGACTTGTTACTTTTTGGTTGCTGTTTCGTTTTTTGTTGTGCTTGTTGTACAGCAATTAAAATTCCATTTGACGATCTTGCTTGATCGATACGAGTTGATAATTCATCAAGTACAACCTTTCATAAACAAATCGAATCATTTTCAATCAATAAAGACAAAATATTCTTTTGATTCTTACTTGTAAATCAGGTTTAATTCCTAAGTTCTTTTTCGCATTATTAAGAATTGTTAAAAATGATTCATAAACAGCATCTTCAACTAATTTATCTGCATAATAATTATAATGATCAAGTAAACCTTTTAATGATCGTTCATTATATGTTAATTTTGACATGATATAAGCAAGATCACGCCATAAACGGGGATTATTACTAAATTAAAACAACATCAACAACAAAATAAACTAAAAAAATAAAATAATTGTTTCTTTACTCAGCCAGATGAAATCGTTGCATTAATTTTTCTGATAAACTTTCTGTTTGTTTTTCTTTACTAACATATTTAAATAAAAATTCCATAATACATTTAAAATCATCTTCGTCTAATTGACGTTCTTTATCTAATCCACCGCCAACTAAATTCGAAAAAATATCTGGTAAAATATTAAATAATGCTTCACCATGTTGTCGTTTAGCTAATTCACTAAAAAATGATGTGGCTAATGTAGCTATTTGAGAATGTTTATCAATAATACATAATGCTATTTCACTTATTTGACCTTTTGGCTAAAGAAATAAATTTTGTATAATTATATGTTCTTTTTTTAAATTTATATATATGTTAAACTAACTTTAACCATTTCTTTGAGAATTAAATTTGAAATTGTTTTTAATGCAGCTAAACGTACATTATCTGATTGATCACGTAAACAACCATAAACATCATTTGAATAAGCAGCAAATGCTAATGGATATCTTAAAGCAAAAATCTTTTTTTTTCTAGAAATTAAAGTTTTTCGAAAGAAATTTACTTTAAATAAAAATCATTCATTAAAACCATAATAGCAACACGAACACTTTCGAATGTTGAATTTTTTAATAAATCAAATAACATTTTTGCATGTGTTTCACATAATTCAACTGATAATAACATAAATTTACATAAACAAATTGTAGCACTTAATTGTAATGCTTCTTCACGATAATCATTTGGATGAAGAAGAATCTAGAGAAGAAAAACTAGATGAAAGTTTGTTTTCTTATAAGGCCTGAGCTATTTTTCACTTTTTAACATTAACTTTCTTTAAATACAAAATATTCATCAAAGTATCATATGTTACAGGAAATAGGCAGTACTTAAATTTTTATATCTCGAGAATAAAACCGTTTTCGAATAGCTTTATTTTATCTATATATAGTTATTCTATCAACCCTTAATCTAGGGTCAAAACCAAACACGAAAAAAATAGTCAAAAATTGTGGTTTTTACATGGATATTTATTATGGATAGTCTCTACTCATAGTAACTAACAGTTTCAGTCAAATCTATGATCATAACCGTCATTTCTGAATTGCTATATAAAAATAACCGTCATTATTATAGATTGATCGCCTACGAAATGTCAATATGTTCCAAATAGTGTGTTGATTAGGATCGTGATGAACTGTAGTTTTTTTTCAGTTACTTCATTTCATAAGAAAGTCTAAATTTACTTGTTCAAGTATATTTTTATATTGCATTAACAATGAATTTTTTTCACACAATGATTGAATATATAAACCAATTTCATTATCAACTGGATCTTCAGCTTCAGCACCACCAAACACCTGACACATCTCATCATCTTGTTCATCATCAACAGTTCGATTATTTGTTGAATTTAACTTAAATAATCAAAATAATAACAAATTATAATAAAAAAATCGACATGAATTCTTTCTTCGTACCGTACGATTTGATGCACTATTCGTTGTATCATTCATTGATGTTGATTGATTTTCATCATCTTCATCTGGTGTTTTACGTTTTGCTCGTTTTTTTGAATTTCTCGTTTTTTTCTGCATCTTTTTATTAACTACAGCTGATTGTTTAGCTTCTTTCCGACGAAGAAGTTCATCTTTAACTGTACAATCAACATAATAAACAATTCCAACAGCTGCTTTTCCTAAACAATTTAAAAATCGAACTAATAATAATGCTGAATTTGCATTTGTTTGAGAATGATGATGATGTTGTTGTTGTAGTTGAGATAATTGATTTTGATTACTTTCATTACCAGCATCTAACGAAATCAATTAAATCGAAAATTAAAAAAAAATGTATATAAAATTTTTACTTTCAAAATCCATTGATTCAATAGATAAAGGTTGTGATTGAGATGATAGTGGGACTTTGAATAAGCCGCCAAGTTTAACGCCTGTTTTAACAGCAAGTTTTTTTATTATATTTTCAATATGTTTTATTGGTCCATCAGCTAACTTAAAAATAACATCAAATGCTGATTCCATCATCGGTGTCCATTGTCGATCAGAAACATCATGAAAAGCTAAAAAGAATCTATAAGATTTAAAACGAAACAATAATTTTTATATTACTTGAAACAATAATATTGCCAAGAATTTCAAAGAGACGATGAGTTTTTGGTAAACGAAATTGTTTCGGTCGAACACCATTTTCCATCTATGTTTAATATTAAATCAATAAATATTTCAATTAGACAATAATCTTTCTGAAACCTTTTTTGGTGTAGCCGCTAACTGTAAAAGTAAACAAGATATATGTACAAAACGACGATTTTTTTCTTTAGCTTGAATAAGATCGGTTATATCATTTAGTTTTGTATTGACTTCATTTCTATTTGAATAGAAAAAAAATTAAATGGTTAAATAACTAAATAGTAAAAAAAATTTTTACCCCACAATAAATGTAAGAATTTTTCCAGCTATAACATCAGTATGATCATCCGATGGAGCTTTATAAAATTTCCATAAAGCTTCAGTGATTGATTCAGTTGCAATTTTTTTCCCTTTGATCAATTGTTTAAGAATTTCTTCAAAACATAATTCTTCAGAAAATGTTGCACCTTTAAGAGCACGAATTATTGCACGAGCCTGATGAAGAGGAGCATGTCTAAAAATTAATTAATTGATATTTTTATAAAAAATTTAAGTTTATTGATGTACTGTTCATTTCAAAATAGAAATGTACTACTCTATTGTTTCTTGATTAACTTTTCCATAGGAACATCATAGAGACCTGCAGCTGTCATGATTTAAGCGATAAGACCCGGAATCATCAACAGATATTAAAACTTCAATGGTCAGCAATTATTCAAATCGGGCGAGTTCTTAGACAAGATTTTCGAAAACGATATTCTGAAGATATTTCCATTTTAATCTACAGAAGTTCGGCATTTCTAGCTTGTTTTGTTTCATAGTTATAAGAGTTTTCCTTAAACCTCCGATTTTAGCCAATTGACCTGTACAAATCATGTCGAATATAAAAACAAATATTACAATTCGACTTAGCTTTTTCAAGTGATTACAGGTCAATTAGTGAAATCAGATACGCAAGAAAAACTTTTACAGCTCGTGAACAGAACAAGCTAGGAATGTCGATTTTGTGTAGATTGAAATAGAAATATTTTCAGAAGATCATTCTTGCAAATCTTCGCTAAGTACTCACCTCATTGGTGTTGAGTGTAGAGGTAAAAGAAGATCTAGATCATACCCCCTTTCCTTTTATTTTTTTCTGCCGCTTAAAAGTACATGTTCTGAAAAATAGTTGATGTTCAACTTTACTTTTATTTAATACTACAACACAAATTGGATGGGCTACGAGTACTTTTTGAACTGATATTCTTTATTTTTTTACACCTGCAAGGTTTTGTTCTTTTATTATAAATTTCTCGACTACTTTTTGCATTGATCAATTGTCGTAGATCTGGATAGTAAATAACAACTTTCAGCTTTTTTTTTACAGTTATACTAATAATCTTTTGTTTCCTTCATTTTAAATATTAATCTTATAGTAAAAAGACATACGCTGAAGGAATTGTTGGTCCAACATCGAAATAAATTTTAACAAAAGCTTGTGTAATCGCTTCACATATTGATTTATCAACAGACCAAATAAGACTAAACATTAAACGTAAACTTTGTTCAATATTTGGCAAAACAAGACGATAATGACGAAGATTAACAAAAAAATCGACTGCTTGTTTACAATCAGCTAATGTTGGAGAATTAAATAAATTTACAACATGTCGATTTGCTTGTTCAATTAAATCCATAAATCGAAGACCATCCTAAAAATAAAACTAATTCATAAAATTTTATAACTAAAGAAATATTTACTTTATACAAAGCAACAATTTCTTCTACACGCATTATTTGTTCTTCAATTTTAACACGAGTTAAAGTTTCTTGTAGAGATTGATCTTCATTTGATTCTTCATTTGGTTCTGTTTCTTTTTTCTATTTAACAAAAAAATAATTTTATTTAAAATTTTTTTAATTTTAAATATTTACTTGATTATTATCAACATTCATTTCATCATCTTCATCAATACTTTTATCTTCTGCTCCACTATCTTCATCATCTGATTCAGACTTTTTTTCTTCTATTTTTTTATTTTCTTTTATATTTTTATTTAATTTTTCAAGTTCTTGACGAAGTTCAGCTAATTTTGTTTCAGCATCATTTTGTCTTTCTTCAAATTGAACTCGAGTTGAATCCTATAAAGAAAAATTTATTGTCAAAACATAAAAAATCTTATTTCAAACAACTTACAACAACAAAATAAGGATTATTAAGAACCATATGCATAACAAGTGTTACCGCATCTTTTCGAACAGCACAAGCTGAATCTCTTAAACGATCAAGTCCAAGTTCAAATGCTCGAATATATTGTCGAACAGGAACTTTTTTTTGTATTACAAGTGATGTCCATAATTGTAAACAATGTTGACGAACAAATGCTGTTACATCAGATACATGTTCCTAATTTAATGTTTGAAACAAAGAGACAATAATTTATTGAAATAAAAATCAAATGAACATACACGTAATATTTGTAAAAGATCATCACGCATTTTTCTTTGTCCATCATCTAATTCATCGGATGAAAGAAGTTTTTCAATGACAGAACATAATGCTGTTAAAGCACCAACACGAATATGATGACTCTGAAATAATGAAATAGTTTACAATGATTCTTAAGATGTATGATGTAAGTAAAATCAGAGAACACAGAACATGACCATCTTCAATTCTGTTCAGAGATTACTTTGCCAAGCTCCGATCATTACTCGGAAGTTTTCAGAATTGAAGCAGCCCATATTTCTTTACCTGGGAATAGACTCTAAACCGCAAGCCATATCTACAGAAAAATGATTAGAATGATCGGACCCTAAAGCCAATTTTCTAGAGATCTCTTTATGTTCCAGAACCAGTATGTTGTGTTATCATCGTGATATTTTCAATAAAGATTTTTCGTTTCTGTATTCGTACTAACTTATATCGTTAACAATGAATAAACTCTATTCTTGTCAAAAGCATGAGCATGTTCAGAAAAAACTTTGAATAGAAATTTTGTCGCCTGAAAAGTTCTCTGCAAAATGCACTGTTTAGTTTTCAAAAACGCTCTTCAATATTGAAGTATTTCTGAATGAAAACGCAAACAATGAAAACCTTTCTTATATTTGCGCTACGCCGCTAATTAATAGCTCGATCGAATAAAACTATAAAGTATTAACTTTTTCAGAGTCTACAAAGTAACTCAAAATACATCTGTTTCATAATATTGGCTAAAAGAAAGTTCAGAGTTCAGATATAAGAAACATTTTTATTTTGTGAAATCACGTCACTACTAAATGAAATTATATTTTTATTCATGAAATGAAAATGAGTATAAGACACTTGGTTGAGTCTGGTTTTGGGAATAATTTGCATATATTTCTGTCAAAGACTTCAGATAGTTTCAACTACGTTTGCCATCAATCTTTACGTTGCCTTGTATCTAAGGCAAAGGCAGTGGACCTGAATAGTGATAGTGTAATAGTTCAGTGATATTTCTTGTCTAACGAACTGTCTATTACTTTACCAGAGTTATCTCAGATGGCGAACTATAACTTTTTCAGAACTACTTGCAAGGCATACTCGTAAGTTTCGCGCTCTACCTTACACTTCAAAACGTTGAATATAGCATTCCGACAAAGGCACAACTACAAAATCTTTGATTCTTGAAATCTTTACAATTTTTTAAAGGTTCACAAAATCTTGAAACTAGCATTTGGACTTTTGACATATAGATGACTTGTTAACTTTGGAACGATCAAATCCTTTTAGAACACTATTCAAACAGTTCATCTCTTACAAAACCGATTGTTTCAACTGTCTTCGGAAGTCGGCTAAAATTTCTTTGAAGTAGCCAAATTAATTAGTTCAAATTTATAACTCTATTCATTCCTGAACTCTCCCAAAATAGCGTAAGTTCTTTTAATAAAATTCATCTTCGAGAACTAGATACTTGAGGCTACACTGTTCTTAGGGCAGTTGTTATTCCGCATTCTTTTCAAGTCATCAGGAACTCTCACAGAACAAAATTAACTATAAAGTCCAAACAAATAGTATCTCTCTAAGATCATAAACTATTAATCAAAATGTTCACTTCAAATATTCAGAACGATAGATATCTATCTTTAATTTGCTCGATATAGGATAGTAACTGTTATTTTCTTTTGAAAATTACTTCAGCTGTTAATAAATCAGTTATTTGATCAATATGTGTTCGAATAATATGTGGATCAAGTCTGGCCGTATCAATAATAAATGTTGCCATTGTTTTAGCAGATGCATTATCAGCTTGTGCAGCAACAAAATTAGTTTCACAAATTTCTCTAAATAAATCAAAAACCGTTATTCAAAACAAAAGAGAAATAAATGAACAAACTTTAATAATTCAATAGCTAACGATGTATCTTGATAATCAATTAAAAGTGAATTAAGAACAGTAACCAATAAACTTGAATTACTATCATAAAGTTTAACTGCTTGAATAAATTGAATAGAAGCTTCTGAAATGTAAAAAAAAAACAAAATCATATTATTCAATTGATTTTCTTATTTTTAAATATATACCTCGTGCATGTTCAAATTTATTAATCATAATCGTAAGTATTAATGGAAGATTTTCTTTTACAATTGGATTCTTTGCAATATCCGGTCGACGTATTAAATGATAACATGGTTTAGTTACACATCTTTCAAAGAATGATTTCAATAATTAAAAAAAATTATGATTTGCTATTTTATTACTTAACAAATTGTTCATCAATTATTGATGAATCCCATAATGGTTTAATATGTGATCGAAGAATATCACAAAGACCTTTTAAACATTTATCTCTCAATGAATCAGATGTCAATATTGCTTTTCCACCATTTTCAGCTTCTTTAGTTTTTTTACCTTTCTTTAACGAAAAAAAAAAAAAAGGAAAATTATTTTGATAAAATAGATCAGCAACTCTGTTGGATTAGCTCGTTATTCAGAATTTATAAACCAAATATGCTATATTATAGAGTAAGTAGAGAGATGTCGAATGGTATATAGCAAATCTTATCTTCACAAAACTTTGAAGGAACTAAAGTCAATTTACTTATAGATGACTATACACCCAAATCAGGATCATTGTGGTCCTTGGTATTAGTCTAAAGTGTTTCTAAGAATTTTTTCTTATGCCCAACTTTGTAAAATTTTCCACGGACTATACACTCATATACTGAACACCTCCGATCCTGCAATCTATTTGATAGAAAAAAATGCGGGTTTTCAATTATTTACTATTGTGGTTTTGCTAATGATAAGTCTCCAGATCGACAGAAGATGTGACCAGGCGTCAAGTGTTCTTAGAAGCTGTCTACGATGTAGCACAGCGAAACAGTATTTGTAAGTTCTCCAGAATGAGTGCACGATGCTCAAAATAACCTTACATTGATAAGCCCTAAATAATTTTTCTCTTTTGATACTGTATTTCAATATCTTGACTATTAAAAGTGGGTTCTTGTGCGAAATAAACATGATATTCGAAATTACCATAACAAACTCCATTGAATAGTTTATTTTTTAAATATTTTTTTTTCATCAAATTTCGACGCCTCAGGGAGCCAAAGTCGAAGTTCAAAAAAAATTATGGACGGAGAGTACACGACAAATTTCGATGGAAAACATATTTTGTTAAAGCATAAATGGTGTATTGTGTAGTGCTACATCATGGACAATTTTTAAGAAAGTTTGACATCTTGCCGCATCTTCTGTTGTCGACCAGAAGCTCTATCGTTAGCGAAAAACGATGATAACTCATTGAAAAGCCATATTTTTTTCTATCCAAGATAAGATACCGCTTTCGACTAGTACCAAGGACCACAATGACAATACTTTGAATGAACAGTCGTCTATCAGTAAATTGACTCTAGCTCCTTCAAAATCTTATAAAAATAAATGTTCTATATACCATTAGACGCGTCTTGACTTACTCTACAACATAGTATGTTTCGTTTCTCAATTCTGAAAACATCACCTAATCCAATAGAGTCCTTTATTTCTTTTACTTTTGGTGCTGGCATATCAAAATCGGATGATTTATTAGTTTGATCATTATCAAATCGAATAATATATTCAGCAAGTAAACATGAAAGCATTTTAACAATATTTAAATGAAAACGCCGATCATCAGCTGAAAGACCAATATGAATTCGTCGCTGAGCTTCAGACATTTCACTCGCCGTTACTATTTTAATAAGAATTCTTATAAAAAAAAAAGATATATATTTGAAAAAAAATCTTACATCGAAGTAATACTTCAACTGCTTGTGAACGACCGGTAATCGATACTTTATCAAAATGACTATATAAAAAAGCAATAATCTTAATGAAAAAAAGCAAAAAAACAAAAGACGAATTTATACATAGCAATACTGTAGAATAATGAAAATATATCAAGCAGTTCTTTTGGTTCTCGAATTCGTGAAAGATCTGTATTGAAAAAAAAAACAAAAATGAATAAATAAATCTCATTTAGATAATATTTATTAGTACTTTGCAAGCGTGTATTAATATCACCAATATCAAGCACATTTTGTACATAATAAGAACCAGTAGCGAGTTGCTTTTGTAGATCTTCAAATTGATTAGGCACATCAAATGTCGTCCAACCATTGATGTCTACTTCACTATTTCGTGTAGACGTCCTCATTTTGTTCCTCTTCTAGAACAAAAAATCAAATGACAAGTTAAAACAAACCAATAATATTTAATAAAATAGATATTGAAGTCAGTAACTAACCGAGTCAAACACAATAACAAATGTCTTATTGGTTATTTGTTCTTTGTTCTCAAAAGAAGAAAGAACAAATTTTCGATGGAAAGAAAAAAGGATTCACCTACTCTTTAGTACGATAGAAAATTATAAAAATAACTAAATAATTTTTTACAAATTTGAATACTATTAAATAAAGATTCGTTAGCTATGTTAGTCGGCTTGAAATATAGAAAAAAAAACGAACAAATTTAATAAGATGTCGCTCACGTACATAAATAGATAAAAGTTATAATTAACACTCAACGTCGATACAAATGTCGTATTCTAAGTATGTCCTAATTATGATCAGAATTGAAGGAGACAGTCGATGACTCTCAAGAAGTTCATTGAAAGATTTTTGCTAAAGTTACCCGAGTTTTGGAAGAGTGGGGCGGTCAATCATTTTTTGAGGATCGGTGAGCAAAGTAAACAGTGAAACGCTGAAGTAAACGAACATTTTTCAAGATTCTCTTTGTTTAGTTTAAGTAAAAGACTGACAAAGTGCACAATCAATTCAAATTTATAATCTTGATCAGAGTTGAGATAGACCAGTATAGTTTATCCTTTTTCCTGACTCTATTAGGAATATTTGTCAAACTTGAATCAATCAATTTGTATAAAATCTGTATGAATTGAAACATCTTTTACCGATATTTATTGAATATTAGTGAATAATAGAAGAGTCTAGAATGGTTTGCTTTTCTAGGTCTTTGTTTTTGCAATATCGAAATTTTAATGAGTTTTTCCACAAAAAACTGTTGTATCCTTCAAGTCATGTAGAAAAGACAAATTTCATGTTTCAAGTTTTTCATGAACAAAGTTATTAATGAGATTAGATTAGTGGATAAGTTGTAGCTTTTCTAGTATCTAGTATCCTGAAGTATTCAATATTTAAAATCTTCTCATGTATACAAGCAAATTTGCATTTCCAGAAATGAAATACTAGAAAAGAAAAAACTTTCACAATCAGCTAATCTCATAAAGAACTTTGTTCGTGCAAATTTTGAAGCCGAAACTCAAAACGCAACGTTCCACATGACTTCAGGGAAAGCACAGCTTTTTATTGAAAAACCCAGTAAAGTTTCGACGTCTCAAGAACAAAGATCCAGAAAAGCAAACCATTCTATAGTTTTTTATGACTCACTAGTCCTTATCAAATGAACATCACTTCGGAGAAAAAGTGATTTGACGCCTGGAGAGGTTCCTTCGTAACTAGTTATTAAGATGCTGGTTCGGATTTAAGATCGATTGAATTAGTATGCCAATTGATTCTATTCGGTCGAACTTAGCCAGATTTGTCACATCTATAGTATTGGCATAAATTGTTATGCATACAAATCAAGAATATTATCATGACTCAAATGGCACCTAACAACATTGCGCAAACTAGCACAAAGCATGTGCTACGTCATCGTATGGTTTGTGGCATCCTAGAAGAACATTCAATGAATGCATTAAAACTTACGAAACGTGTTCATAGAGCAAAAAAGAGAACGAGGCGTGTAGTGTAGTTAAGCGATGATGTACGACAATACCCCGCGGAGTTCAAATCCTAGTCACAATATTATTTTAACCTATTTGGTATTCACATAATAATACGCTACTATTAAATGACTTGCTTTATTTGTTTTCTTTGGTGCTTCTAATTTTGTTATTCATCAAGATCAATATTTATCATGCAATCTGGGTCGATAATAATATTGATAGTACTATCGAAGGTTATGCAATATGCGATTAATAATACATTGAATACTCTACATGATTGACTGAATTATAACAAATTAATCAATCATCTGAAAAGATTTTTCCCGACATAATACAGAAGTCTCGAATAACGACAGCATATTTTTCATTTTACTAATGTCCATGTTCTAACATGAATTTTATTTCCTGTGATATAAAAAAAAAGCTTCGAGTGAGACAATGAAATTCATCTGTTGATTTAGTAATTATGAAAAATTCTTTTATACTTATGGCATACCAAAAGTTGTGATTTTGACTGATAAATCCCATAGGAAATAGTTAATCAAGTATTTGATCTAGCAGCTAAGTAAGAAAAAAGTTTGTCATCTACTATTACTTCATGGCTTCACTGTATTTCTTTAGTCAGCCATGACCGACAAAATTTGATTGATCAAAATAGTTGCTAATAGCTATGATAAATTTTTTAATCAAAGATTATTTAAAAAATATTTTCAACAAATAGATTAAATGTAATTAAGCATGACTACGGACTCAAATATCAGCTGAAACAAAGCTTGATTAATTCTTTCTTGTAGATTTTTATCTACTAAAATCATTACTTTTGCTATACTCTAAGTAATAATGTTTTAAGGGTATATTTTATCACATGTTGATCATTATAAGAAATAAGTACTTCAAAATTTGTATGTGCAATTATTATAAGGTTGTCACCTTCACGATATACGCTACAATTAAAAGTCAAGGATATGATTGTAATGAATAGAATCTATTTTCAATAACAAATCCTCATAATTTAGAATATTCAAATCAACATAAATTTGTAAGCTGCTTATTACGTAATGCAATGCGGCAGGTATTCAGAACATAAATTTGTTTGAAATTCATTGAAGAATTGTCAGTAAATATATGAAATATGTAAAGATATATTGAGACATTCATGATGTATGTAATTAAGTTTTATTTTTTAAATATATTTCAAAACATATATTTGTGATTTGATGTAGTTAAAAATTATAAAGAAACTTTAAAAATTAATTGCAAAGGTATACAAATATAGCCTGTTCTATCACATTAATAATTATGATAGATGTTTCGAACGATTTATCTTATTTCAATCGAAAATACAATACATCCGTTTGTGTTATAATTAACTATAGCATACACTCGAATTATATATTAATTATCTTACATGACATGACATCTTGCTGTCCATAGCATAGAGAATTAAATATCTCTAATTATATTCCTTGTTGCCAATAGTACATAGTTGATATAATATTAAAACGATAGATTTTTTTAAAGAAAAATAATTAATATATAAAATGTAAAATTCATGAATGGTTGTAAACAAATGATAATATGTTTACATAAACATGACTAAATATGCATAGAATATAAGATTTACATAAATAGACTAGTCCACATGATGTAACGATAAACTAATGATGCAGAACAAAGCATAAGGGCGAAAAGAAAATAACATGACGATTGTTTTTCTCTTCGAACTATACATATATATGAATCAGAGAATATATAAACACATTTGTTCGGTTAACTCTGCATCATTGAGTGAAACATTTTTACATCATCGTTACTATCAAACGAACCCACTATTTAACTACTAATCATAACTAGTAGTGATAAATTATTTTTTTCTTCTATCTCGATAGAGACTTCAATTGAATATGGCTCGTTATTATAACATTCCGAACAAAGTTAATTTGCCTCTTATGTCACCTCCAAGAGATGTTGATCCAGTGTTTACCTGTAAATCCAAATCATCTATTATTATTGAAACTGAAAACAAAACACCACGATCAATAAAACATCGTCATCCACATATAAGTACTTCAAAAGAAAATACACCTCCAAGGCGCATTGCTACACATCATAAACTTCATAAACCAAGCCAAACAGTGATTAAACCAATTTTACCAAAACCAAGTTTGTTTGAAATATCTAATTTATGATTAAAAATCTTTACTTTTTAAAACATTTAGATCCTCGGCGTGTCTTTAATTTTATTGATGTTAATACTGATTCCCGCCTTAGCTATCTTGAATTTCGTTCTTGGATGCTTCTAATTGATCAAACGTTAGCTGAACATGAATTATTTCAAATATTTAATGTGATCGATCGAAATGGTACGACGTGTTTTTCTTTGTTTTTTTTTAATATTCTTTTCATTGATTATTATTGTTTTAGGCGATGGCTTTATTCAATATAAAGAATTTCGAGATTATTTTGGTGATGATCTGTTAACAAGTGAAGCAAATGTTATTGAATTAACTACATTATTTAATGAAATCAATACTGATCAATCGGAGACTATAACACTTGATCAACTTTTAGCATTTTTTAATCGATATTCAACAATGATAACAAAAGAAGAGGCACAACTTTTTTTTGGTATGGTTTCCGATGTTGGAAATGAGAACACTATTACACTTAAAGGTACATAATACAGAAAAAAGACTTCAACAATTGAAACATATATTTCACTTTTTTTTAGAATTTTTAAAAGCAATGCGTGAATGGAAAGTGTGAATGAAATATTTGAAAATTTGTCTGTTGATAATTATTATTATTATTATTTTTTCCTAATTTAAATTTTTACTCGTTGTAATTTTTCTTCTTTTTCGCTTTATTTTAAATAAATATACTAAACAAAAAACGAACAACAATGAAAAAAAAAACAAATTTTGATTTAAAGTAACTGAATAAAACAATAAAAACTAGATGGTATTCGAGTTTCACTCGACTGCGAAAGGCGGTGCGAAGCACAGCATATCGATTTTGGAAAAATTGATTTCACATGAAAAACGGATGATTGATTGTGCTGTTTAACATTAGTTATGATTGTATACATAAAAAAAAGACTGTTGTAGGCTGATGTTTTTGGTTTTGAATATTAATCGAAAAATTTATGTTTTGATGAATGAAATTGATTGAACTTAAAATCAATTTGAATTGAATGTTTGGCGGTTTTGTTTTATTATTTCTGTTGATCATTGTTTTCTATGTAATCAAGAGCAGGTAGCAATATCATAAGGTGTTATGTTAATTTTGATTATTATTGAAAATACGAAAATCTGAATTTATAAATTAGAGTTTGATTTGATGTATTTGTAATTAAATGACAGTTTATCCAAAATATGATATACTTAAAACGTATTAGATTGATATCAATATGTTGATGTTTAATTTTAACCAATGTTGGATGACCTAGTTTTTTTAAGATAAATATGATAACTTTCTGGAAATGTTTTCTTTTGATTTAAGATATTTGACAAAGAGAAAAATAATAAATTTCATAAAGATTCGTTTGACTTGAGTCTCATTTTAAAAAATAAGCAGGTAATTAGGAAGATCAGAGAAAGTATTGTTTTGTTGTAGACATTTTTAACTGATATTAGAATCGAAGTTTTCTGAGTTTAAATGTTTATGATTATAACTATTTTTAATGAAAATTTTTCTATTGGATGTTCGGAAAATGAAAGTTTAAATGATCTTTATTCTCCTGTTTTTCAACTTTGTAATTTTGTTCTAATTGTATGGAATATGAAATTGTTTTCAATGTTATATAAAATTTTAACGTCTATGCACGTAGGATATCTAAGGTCAGGATTCGAGTTTTTCTCGGAAGGATTCGCTTTGAAGCTGGCTCCAACTACGACGATGCTGTCTCCAAGTAGATCTCGATGAGTTCTATCGAATGAACTGATTTTCTTCCCGAAAAAAATCTTTCTTTCGAATAAAAACATCTTTTTACTACTAAAAAACACGCCAAAAAACTGAAAACAAAAGTAAAACTCATTGAAAAGATGAAGTATTTAAATAGAGTGACACTACAATTCAATCAACATCTAAATTAGAGCAAAATCCTACAGTTTTGAAAGGTACTGTCGTGAAATATATATCACATCAAAAATTTGGTTTTTACCAAAACATAAGATATTGCTCACAATAACGATCTTTTTCCAGTTTCGTTAAGTTAAAGGTTGCATAGATCAGATGAAAGAAATGAAATGTTTTTTCATGAAACGTCTATTGACCAATTCCATGGGGTCTTTCCCATAAAAAACACAAGTGTCTTCGAAATTGACCGAGTGTATTGTTATTTTGTAGAACTCGATGAGTTATGACTATGGTAAAAAAGTCAGCTTAGACAAATGTTCTGTTAAAGCGATATGAGCGTCGCAAATTTGGCTGAATTGTTAAACATTGTTTACTTCACTTTTCAAGCTTTATATGAACGAAAATTAATTCTGACTATATATTCTTATTCGCTAAAGTGTGGCGGATGTTTCCATATATCAATCATTATATTTCGTTTCGCTGAAAAAAGTTTTTTTTTGTCCAATACTAGAGCCGATGACAAATATGATAGTGCTCAAACTTAGTCCTTAGAAACTAGCTAGATGCTAGTCGAGCTTAACTCGACTACGAAATACAGTGCGAAGCATGAATCTAGAGTTTTGGAAAAAACAACAGTTTGAAAAAAACCGAATGAACGATTTTAGAATCAATCTCGAGTAACGTCTTTCGTCATGTTGTTCATGTTTTACCGATAGTAGGTCTTTTTCGTGATCGTTGTGAATCGAAAAAGTTCGTTTCCGTCAGTCTGCTGATCAAAATCTAGCGCGAGCTGAAAAACTAACCATTTATATATAGCGTTTGCAATCACAATATATAATTGATAGAATTTTTACATTCATAGAAATGTTCAGACTACATTAAAAAATTTTTCAAATAAGAACATTTTCATCATATCTAAATAGCAGTACTTTTTACAGACATTTGATGATGCATGCTATCATCGTTCAGCATGGTGACGAAATTTTATATAAATATGTAATTAATTAAAATAAGTTTATTATGTTTAGTAGGACGGTTTCATCGTCATCATTTTGTAATATGAAAAATTGTTGTCAAATATTGTTCATCTAAAAGAAACTTTTGTTTAATATAATTATTGTTTGCAATTATTAACTTACTGTTATATACAAAAACGAATAGATATAAGAAATAATGGATGTTGAACCTTTAATAAAAATTGCAACTTAAACGAATGTATTCCATTACTTGGATCAGTTTGTCGTCCGTCGTTGAAATTGTTGTAAGAGATCATCGTAAGCTATTGTTTATCTAAAAGAAAATTTGACGTGTATTTATTATGTAAAAAGATTAACTTACTATTATACTGCAAAAAGAAACATAAAAACAATAGATGATGAAGATTCATTGAAAATGCATTTAATGAAAATAATTTTATTATATCCAGTAAAATAAGTTCATCATCTTCATTTTTCTTATATGAAATTGGTGTAAACTATGAATGATAAAAAAGAAAAGTTTTATTTGGAAATATTGTTTGAAATTATTAACTTACTATTATAATACAAAAAAGAAGTAGATTCAAGAAACAATAAGATTTGTTTTGGTACCTGTTATAATATTAAATATCAGTATATTGGACTCATCGTACAAATTTTGTTGTCATAGAATAATATTGTACTATAATTTTAGAATAATATAAATGTTATTTAGTAAATATGTTAGGATAAAGTTTGTAGACTTTGTTTGAGTTTGTAGTTTATGAAATTGACATTGACTTGGAGCAATAAAGCTTCGCTTTTTAACAGTAATGTTGGTCATAATAATTAATAATTAAAAAATAATTTTTAGTAAGCATGTATAAAATCATAAAATAATAAGTATAAAACTAATACGACAATATTGAAGATAAAATGTAGAAATAAAAATTTGAATAAAAATAACAAAACAAAATAATAAGGTACAACTCAAAGACAGTTAGTAAAGGAAACAATAATGTAGAAGATAATAAAAATAAAAATCTCACAACATAAAAAAAGTCATAAAGAATTTTTGGAATAATGGAAAATAAAAAAGAATAAAATAAATTAATTTTAGGTTAGTTGTAAATCATCGAAGGAAAAAATAGGAATAGTTCCATCAAAATGTGTGACACTTTCATAATGTTGATTGTTTGGATTATATGAAATGTGAAGTTGTCGATCAATATAATCGGATCTACTTATTAGTAATGGATTTTTACCATATTCATGAACGATTATATTTTGATACAAAATTGATGCTGTGGCCATAATAATAAAATGATCTGCATATGCATAATTTTTCTTCATACGAAAAATATAATCATAAATAGTATCGTCTTCATCACTGACAAAGAATTCAAGTGCAGAACTATTTAGTGTAATATACGTAATCGCATCAGATCTTAATCTACGATGATGAGTTTGATTACCAAAAACCTGATGAGATATAGCCCGAAAGAAACAATTACCATCACCGATAATTTTTATCGTATGAAGATTTAAAACTCTTAATTGCTCAGTTAATGAATGAAATGTGAAATCACTGATCGATAATTCGCTGAGAGGTATTGCTTCTTTTAGATTTGAGAGAAACTTCAACTCTCGTGTGCTTGAATATTTGTTTACCTCAGTTATTTTGCTAAAATCAGGATTTCTTTGATCATGACTCGCATTACGATTATTGTTATTCGTAGTTGGTTCAAGAGTTTTTCTGTTAAATCTTTTGTTATTAGTTTTTTTCAGTTGAAGTACTTTTACGTTTATTTGAAGCATGAGAAATTGTGGTAACTGATGATATTGTGTTTGAAGTAAAGTTTATTTCCATTCTCTCATTGTCTTCGTATTTAGTTTCAATATAATTATATATATTATCTTGGTTAATATTGGCTGATAAAGCTAATCTTGATGGAAGCTATAAAAAGTTCCCTTGGCTTGCTGACATGCTTTTTCGTATGGAGTAAAATTTAAATATACACAATCGAGACTTGTCAAGCTGTTAGTCGGCGGGAAATGTCTAAATATATTTACAAAGTTTAGCTTCTCCAATATTTTCTCAATGCTTTTTGAATTAGTTTGAAAACTGTCTTCATTCAGATCACCAATAATCAATATACGCTCATTACTATGAAAATATTTTAAATGGCGTATAAAATTTTCTATGAAATCTACTTTTCTTTGCTGAGATGACCGACAGCAAACTATTATGATGAGTTTTTCTTTCCCTAATTTCAAGTAATATGTTCAAGATCTAAATATTCAGATGAATCAATTTTCTTGATAGAAATATCTTCTCGAAAATAGACAGCAATACCCCCTCCTTTCTGAGAATGAAGTGAATGATTTATAGAAAATGAACTTGATCTTGATTTATGAATAAGATTATATAACCATTAATTCGAAAGTTATTGATTTCATTATTATCATTTAACCATGTTTCTGCTAGACAAATCAAATTAGCTTTCTGTGTTAAATGATGATTTCGAAATGAATTAAGATTACATTTCAATCCTTCAATATAATGAAATAATATATTTAAAAATCTTGCAAGTTTTTGAAATATTAATTTCTTGTTTTCTCATTTCTTTCATTTGAGAAAGAATTTTATGAACATTTTGATTACTATAGAATTTATCAAAATGCAAATCAATAATAAATAAACCTTCCAGAGTACAAACACGAGACAAAGCTGTATAGCCCATTCCATTTCCAAACAAGTCTTTTGTACCAATGACTATTTGATCAACTGTAATTCATTGAGCTTTATGTATAGTCATTGCCCAACTAAGGCGTAAAGGAAATTATTTTATTGCTTTCTTTGATTGTAAGTCAAAATCTTGTCTATCGGTAATATCACTTTCTCGTGTTACACATATTGTATCTCGTCCATGGCAATGTGGACAACTAACTCGATGAAGTCGTTCAATTGTAGGCGAGTCACATTTGATTATTATATGAGAAACTTCTTTATTATTATTTTCGACAAAACCCACAATACGACCTGTCACACCATTTGCTAATCCATCATTTACACAAATATTTTTGGTTATCATTACTCGAGCATTTTAGCAAGTGGTAGTGGCTTATTTATTTTTCTTGTATTTTTAGATTCGTTCGGTCTTATTTCTTTATCATTGCCACGAACTTCATAAAATGTTCGAATATCGGTACATATTTTTTCAATCAATTCCTCATTATGCGCATCGATCTGAGCATTTTTAGCAAATAAATGCAATGCTTCTGAATGATATTCTTTTTTTAAATAGCGTTGATGACATTTTTCAAGTACATCATGATCTTCTTTATTGATGACCTCTTTCTTTTTAAGTTTTCGGATCCAGTTCAACATATATGAAAATGAAAAGTTTGTTTTTTGTCTTTCATTGACTTTAAGTTCAGTATATTCAAAATGATCAGACCAAAGTAAAGAAGAATAAATACTTGACGATGCTACTGGTGAGCATTGTTAGAAATCACCAAAAGCAATTATTCCAACATTACCAAAAATAGCTGTATTCGAATGTATACCCATAATTTGAGTTAAACGAGAGTGCATTGCACACCCCAAAGACTTGCTTGTATGAGATAAACCTCATCGATAAAGAGCAACTGAAGAGAATGCAATTTACAACGATAACTATTTAATTTATCACAAGATAAATGATCATTTAAACTACTAGAGTGAGTACTACTTAATGCCGAATGCACTATGAATAGTAACTCCATCAACATTGACAGCTGCTGTACCTGTGCAAGCTGTGATCAATGTATGAATCTCATGGATATTTTCATCTGGTTCTAAGTGTTTTTTTCGAGAAAAAGTTTTTTTGCTTCGTAATGAAGACATTTTAGAAGATGGGTTTTACCTGTACCTGCTCCTCCTGTAGTAAATAAACGAAGAGGTTCAGTATCAGGATTATGTAAACGATTTATACACCATTCTCGAATATGATAAAATATTTCTTGTTGTTCCTTGTTCATGGATTCTAGCAATGGTCTCGTTTCATCTGTGGTAAAATAAGTTTGCTATAAATCAATAAACGTATTTTTCTTTTTACTTTTATGAATTACATTGAAATTAGAATTATCTTCTTCTTCGACTTCTCTTGACCATGCATATATTATTTTTTTCTTTATTAGCAACNACCAACTCAGTTGGTAATTAATGAGTTTGTTAATAAACTTATTAAATTGGAAAAAACTCTTAATATAGAATGATTCATATTTGACTTGGTAATTTTCGGTCAAAAAAAATTAGTCGGCGATATTGGAATCGGCGAAAATGGACTTCGGCGAAAATGGACTTCGGTGAAAGTGGAATCGGCGAAAGTGGACGTCGGCGAAAATGGAAGTTACCCGTAATGAAGACATTTTAGAAGATGGCTTTTACCTGTACCTGTTCCTCCTGTAGTAAATAAACGAAGGTGTTCAGCATCAGGATTATGTAAACGATTTATACACCATTCTCGAACATGATAAAATATTTCTTGTTGTTCCTTGTTCATGGATTCTAGCAATGGTCTCGTTTCATCTGTGGTAAAATAAGTTTGTTTTAAATCAATAAACGTATTTTTCTTTTTACTTTTATGAATTACATTGAGATTGGGATTATCTTCTTCTTCGACTTCTCTTGACCATATATTATTTTTTTCTTTATTAGCAACAATTTCAGCCCATTCGTTGTCTTTCATATTCAATGATAACTCATTGAATAATGATTCTGTTTCTCCTGTTTCTTTGACATGAGCTTCATATTTTCTTTGATTTTCATGCACAATATCTTTTACTTTTCTTACGCATTGCTGTCGAGTAACAAAAACTTCACCTATTTGATAAAATAATTCACAAGGTTTTTTTGAAATCATCTCGACTTCTTATAGGTAAATATAGAGAAAGTAGATTTTCAGAATAATTTTCTCTATCTGTTTCTCGATTAAAATATGGATACTGTATAATAGCATTTCGATTACAACGCTTCTTAACTGCAAAATTGAGTGTTTGTAATCGTATAATTGGTGTTCTTGGATTTCTTATACTTTTTTTAACGGATACGATGTCGTACTCAGACGCAAAGTCCGCCATACAAATATCAAATTCAGGCTCTTTTGGTCTATCAAAATATTTATCAGCCAAATGAGACATGTATATATTTTCATCATTTGGGTCCATTTCTTGCAAAACATTTTGTGGTTTTAAAAATTTATAACTGTTTGAATGTGCTGGTACAAAAACAAAACCTCGACTTGAATATGTAAGTGGTATGTTAGTAGCACGATATATAGCCTTCTGTACACTAACTTGTCGATGATTAAAAAATATACCTGTTAATTTTTTCATTTCTTCACGTACTGTCATATTTTCTTCACGGCATTCTTTATGATTTGCCTGTAGCAGTAGACTCATTTCTCGTTCTGGTTTCGTTGTATATGACGTAAGGTATTTTGCACAGGCATATGAATCAATTACAAATTGAATATCCATATGAGCATCCCATACTCACAACAATTGCTCATTATATTGATTTACCCATCGTGCATTAGGTTCCCTTTTATGAATCATGATCGTTCTAGTATGAATAACGCGAAGAGCACATTCGTACTCCTCATAGGTCCAATTATACTTTGTTAGAAGATTATCAAAATCCGATCATGTCAACATTTTCTCTTTTTCTAACGTATTCATCGTTGCATTCAATTCAGTAAGAATTTTTTAAACTTTTTTACAACGTTCTTTATCAATATCATTATCAACTTTCATTGGCTCCTATATGAATGTACACGAGCAACTGGTCGTGGAAATCCAAAACGACACAAAGTTTTATGATATTTTAAGCAAGATTTTGAATGATTACCAGAATGAGTTTGTACTTCTTTGATAATATTATGTAATTCGGTATCTTCATGTAATGAAGGAAATCGTGTCGTATAATATTTGTCACAAAATTTAACGATTTCTTCGCGAGTTTTTTCATTTGTTGTAGGTCCGTAATATTTAGATGCACCTTTCACCCAAATTGGTCAATGTGAGTGTGGTGAACCTCGTAGTTGCATTTCAATACAAGCAAACCAATCTTTTACATTTCCTAGACACCATGATTCACCTGTAACAAATAAATTCATAAAAGAAGTAAATCGTGTTTCAAACAAATGAGCAGCTAGAACAGAGTTTGCTCGTATAAGTTTTGTTTTTTTCTTCAAATATATATGATTCCTTAATTGTATATCCACTATGACGCACAAAAGTATCAATAAATTCCTTCCAACGTAGATCCGCACACGACAGTGTTATGAAGAAAGTTGGAAAACCTAATTGACGTGTCATTCCGAATAGATCTTTCAGACGTTGATACCAATACTGTGGACTACCTCGCATGGATTGAAAATGCTGATATATCATATCTTTATTCATTACAAATTTCATTTACATTTCATACGAACTTCGTTTAACACTCATTGGTAATTTTTTTTGGAAAGCATTATTGATTCCGGAGTATACTTGTTTCAAGTCACCTAAATACTGTAGATAAAAGATATAACTTGAATCGGAAGCAAATCGAGAATCTGATGAAAATAACTTGCTTCACAATATTCTTTCCATCTGAGTTTTGTTTCACGATCTTCGTCATATGAGCCTTGCCCATCTGGAAATAAATGAGGGAAGGCTAACGCTTCAATTGCTTTATCCGTCAACAATGAACTCAATTTATTTTTTTCTGCTGGTGCCACTACACATGGTTCTTTATCAAAAACTAGAAAATCATTAAAATCACATGGTTGAGTACATGAATCTGTACCAATATTATATTTTGTAAGAATATCTTTATCATCTTCATCGATTTCCTCATCACTATTGGTACTGTTATCAATATCACCTAATGCTAATGCTTTCAAACGATTTTCACTAGCTATTTCTGTTTCTTCAATTAAATTTTCTCTTTCAATAGTGTCAACGTCCATTGTTTCAATTTTTACATCACATATTTTTTTTAAATTTTTTTCTTGATCAGAACTAAGATAATTTTCATCAATTTCATTTATCTTAATATTTTTATATCCGGGATGCATCTTAGTTAAAACAAATAATGCATCTTGTACATCACTCGGATTTATGAGTTGTTCTTTCCAAATAGCTTTATATTTCAATCGTCGTTTCAATTGTAATCGAATCATCATGGATTTATCAACTGGGTGAGATAATATCGTCACAGTATCTTGTACAGCTGATGGTACACAATGAAGTGGTCCTTTAGTACCTTTTTGTGCTAATCTACTTGCTACTTTTCCTGATATTAAATTTACAATTTTCATAAATGGTAATCTTAAAGCAATTAAATGTTTTTCAAGATTATTTAATTTTTTCAATTCAGGTGGAACTTCGCAAACTTTCAACTTATTTAAGATTGCTCGACTCGACATTTGTCGTTTCTTTATTTTATCTGAACATAATTTACAAATCCATTTTGGTTCTGTTGACGATGAATAGTTAAAGAAACATTGAATATGTTTCTTTATTTCATACGACATATTCGGTTTTATATATTTTTCTTCAACGAATGGTATTACTTGATTACGAAAAAGTGCTAATCGACATGATATACAAACATAATCAGGTCCTTCTCGAATTATATGTCGAAATCTATTCAAGTTATTCATGTATAAATTTCTATGTTTAACTGCACATTTATGACTTTGACGAACATAGTATTTTTTCAAAATACGTGTACTTGGATTATAAATTCATCTTAAATTTTGTCTTAATAATGCATTATTATTTCGATGCCAATTCAAAGCACGCTGGATCATTTTCAATCGTATCGAATTATCAGTATAATATCTGTTCAAAACTTGACTTTTCATACGTGCTTTATGCTCATTTCGAAAATCTGAATTACTATGATATTTATTGAAAATATAAATTTTCCACTTTGATTTAGTTACATGACAGAAATTTGTGCCATTATGATATTTATTTAAAATACGTAAGTTCACACGAGCGCTATTTTTAACACAAAATTTTCTGTTATTATGACACTTTACTAAAATATGTGCTTTTATTCGAGTGCCTTGTTTCTGACGAAAAACATTGTTATTCTGGTATTTATTTCGAACGTCTTTTGTTGTACATTCAAGTTGTCGCTTTCAAAATAAAGCATCATAGCAATATTTTTTTCTTGAACCATTTACTTTCTCTAGTAAGCTTTGGAGTTGATATTTTATTACTAAGAGTGCCTTCTGATCTTCTTTTATTCTTTCAAATTTGTAATTGTCTTTTTCGTTCATGGTCTAGAGGAAAAACTTTTGATACAAGTTTTTTAATAATATCCTCGATAATACTTGAATCATTAAACTGCCATTCCATCTCGATTGAATTAGAAAATAAAACTTGTTCATCTTTATTTATAAAATTGGCAAGGTTTAAAGAAATTAAATTTGCTTCTGATGCGTCGAACATTCTCAGCACATATGAAACGACTGAATCATCGTGTTCAAAACATAATTTTTTTTGGCAACTTTTATGTTGAGAATTATAATTTGCCATGAACAACTAACACGTACACGAATTTGTTGTCGTCGTTTGTGGGCTTCTTTTCGTGCTTTAACTTTTGATGAAACTGTTTTTTTTCGAACCATAGCTAACATAATAAAGTCTGATAGAATAATTTTCAATTTGAAACAGATTTTTTCGTTGAATTAAGCACGTGTATAAGCTAAGTACGGCTTAAACTCCTACGTGAGAAACGAGTAATATCTCTTAATTGGGTGAGATAATCAGAAGAAAAGTTTCTTTCGAGCTAAATCTTCTTTACTAATTAGCGAAGATATAGTCGATTCTAAGTAAGAAACTTTAGAAAGGCAAAAATCTTGGTGACTTTCTTTCAATTAAATTTTTAATTTATTTATTTTTATTGTTTAATTATTGTTTTGACGAATGTGATCTAAAATTAAGTGAAAAAAAAACGAATAAAATCGATAAGATAATATGAGATAAAACTTGTTAATATAATAAGTACAACTGTTGAAAAAACTCACAAGAAAATTTTGTTATTTAATTAGATGTAGTACTCATAGAACACGTCATAACTATAGAGCCTCTACGAATACTTAGAGCTAAGCTTTGAAAGTAAGAAATACACATTCTTTTAGAAGACACTGATGTTCTAAAGAACATTGTTGATGGATCGTTTAATTATCTCTATGGTTCATTATCTATTATCATCTGTATTCACAGCTGTTTGACATATGAGCAAAGAGACTAGCGCCTAACTTTTCTTTATTTTAATTATCTGAAAAATAAAAAAAAACAAAGTTCTCAAAATTTTGCCATTTTCGGGATCTATTTGTCAGCAAACCGAACATCATTTGAAGTATTGCTCAAAACAGGTTATCGCTTCGATCTTGATACACTTAAACCTTGCGTTTGAGTGAGTATTTTTGGAGTTTCGATGCAAACGTAAAGAAAGTAAAAGAAAAAGAAAAAGAAAAAAGAGAAAAAACTCGTGACGCACTACATGAACGCTCTGCTTCGCACTGTATTAAAAAAGAAAAAAAAGAAAATTCGCGAAGGACTACATGAATGTTGTACTTCGTGTCGCATTAAATATAGATTAAATAGAAGCGGTACACTCAATTGGTTTATTAGGTCCATTATATCTTGAACAAATGGCTTTGATTAAACTCTTTTCATCACGACCTTCTGAACATCCATACCAAGTACCATCATGCATACACCAAAATTTTCCATTTAAATGTATTGTACAAGATTTTTTAGCGGATGCTGAGCGTGTTTTTTCTAATGATTTACGGAATAATTCATTGGCTGTATTTGATTTAACACATGCATCAATATCTGACCATTTTAATGAGTCACTCGATGCTTCTTTAACACATTGTTCACCGTTATCTGGAATGTTTTCAAGTTGTTTTGATTGACATTGAAGAAATTTGATTAATGTTGCTTGTGAACACATATTTTGTACACATAATTGTTGTTTATTACCAAGGCACTCATTTGGACCATGCATACATGAAATTTCATTTGAATTTGTTTCATATGCAATATAAGACACAGTAAAATTAATAATTGAAGATAATTTCAATAAAGATGGAGCAAATAATAATTCACATTTTCGTGCATCAGGACATTTTGACATAACAAAAAAATCAACACGTACTGGGGTATCCGATATTACTGAATAAGACAAAGAAAAAGAAGAAACAGTAGTTTCTTTATTTGTTTTCGAATATAAAAAGAAATTTTTCTTTGCATCATTACTCGCCACTGCATCATCTGGTTGATAAGAACGATAGAGAATAATCATGCCAAAAAATAAAGCAGCTGCGAGAAGAATAAAAAGAAGTCTTTGATTCATTGGTAAACGTTGAAACCAGATGAACCGACGATAATATTGCCGCTAGATAAGAAAAAAGAAGTTAAATATTATTTCACTTGTTACTCTCAAGAGGGGAGTTGTCCGCCTGATTAGTCACTTTTGAGTTGAGAATTTGAAGAACCAAATGAGCTCTGAATACCCTGAAAAGAGTTTGCATCCTTAGCTTATTGCTACATAGATATTAGACTTTTTAAATGAATACCATGGTCTTCCTCAGGATAACTCATTCTTGAAATTTGACTTGAAATTTTGCATTGAGACAGACCTTAACGAGAATAGATTTTATCCATGTTTCAGATTCTATCGCTATTCCTATTCTAAGATATAACTATCGCAATAGTATGTTTTTTATAACGCACTGACGCAGATTTGCTGTTCTTATTTCAGGATAGACACACATGAAAAGACTTGAAACTTTCAAAATAAAATTCTCTCGTTAAGGTCTATCTCTACTCAAAATTTCAAGTTGAAATTCGAAAAGCAGTTGTTCGGTGGGAAGCTATGATATTGATTTAAAAAATGCAGTATCTCCCCAGCAATAAGCTAAGGATACCTACACTTCTTAGAGTATTCATAGTTCATTTAGTTCCATATAATTTTGACTCAAAAGCGATTTATCAGTTGGAGAACTGTCCTTGCCATAGGTCATTGGGTATGCTCTCATAAAGAGTTTCTTTATATAACAAAATGTGATTGGTAAATAGAACCATAATTGTTTAGTACTATAATAATGATAGACTAAAATTATTCTTTCGATAAAAATAAAGAGTATTCGAGAGTATGACAATGGATGATTTTATCTTTTAAAACTAGTATTTTTTTACAATGTAAACTATTTTAGTTAATTTTCGTTTTTCAAGCTTAGCTCAAATAATATGAAGAAGTCACGCTGTCATAGAGGAAACAAATGACTGAATTTTATTTCATTTTTATTTTCTAAATAGAGTCAATATTATTAAATAGTGAAATCATTTAAATACTTTTCTGTGCTTATTATGAATATAGTAAATAGAATATTTACATATAGTCACTAGTGAAGTATTCAAAACAATGCTAAAAACGATTTGTTTATGGTTTTTATTTTTCTCTTTGGGACAAATGAGAGTGAGTAATCCTTGGCTTGCCTCATGTTATTCAGTTTCTTTCGTCTTTCTAAACACGACGAAAAACCAATCATTTTTTTTCGTTTCTAAATATACGTTAAGTGCTCACATTTGATTCCCTTCCTCAGTATACCTTTCTATCGAAAACTACATGTCACAATAGTTTAGTCTATTTTTTGTAGCTTACCAAGGCAGCTTGCTGTAGTTCGACATATAATGGCATAATTGAATATGACCACAGTAATAAATTTCTACAACTAAAATCTTGTTATTAAAAAAAAAACGTCAAGACATGCAGCTTTATGAAATAAACAATGTTTGGTAAAGTTTCATTTTTTTTTTTTTTTTCTGATCAATAATCAATCGAATAAATACAAGAAAGTAAATCTTATGTATACATAAAAGGTGAACAATAAGTGAAAAAAATTAAATGTTAAAAATCTCACCGTTACATATGATTGAATATGTGAGAAATGACGTAGATATTTTTAAAAAAAAAAGAGTTTTAAAGTGATCAAAACAGCTCAAGGAGGAATATTCATGACTAGAATTGACAAAATGAAAGAAAAAGACATAAAATGGAATGATAAAAATAAATTAAGGTAAAAAAATGATTTATTTATTAGACGATGATTGTTTTTGTAATTGTAATGACATAGCTTCTAAATCTTTTTGTAGATGCATATTTTTTGTTAGAGTTTCTTCTAATAAGCGTTGTAAATTTTTAATAGTATCATCATTTGTTGATTGATTTTTATTGCCACTTAAACTTTCAAACATATGACGAAAGTTTAATGTTGTAGTTGATTGTCGATCTGTTGAAGTATTTTGTCGACGACGAGATGGTGGAGTTGAATAACGAGTATTTGCACCTATGTTCATAATATCATATTTAAATATATCTTTTCAGCAAAAAACAAAAGTATTTACTGGAAACTGATCCACGTTTATCGTTTGAATAATGTTGAATAAGATCATTAGCCATTCCAGAATTTGAAGATTCTAAATGTCGAACTTTTTCTTCAAGTATAGCACGTTCTTCTTGTGTTCGCGCTAATTTTTGTATTAAATCTTTATTTTCTTGTTCTAATGCAGTTGTACTCATTTGAGTTGATGTTACCGAAGTCTTTCATTCGATACAAAGAAAAACAATATTTAAACTTTTCAAAATTCGAATAAAAAATGTAATTACTCGATCCATATATCCTATTCCACTAAATGATGAAACTGATCTACAAAGCAAGATAAATTTATTTTAATATTATAGAAGAAAAAAAAATCTTAAGTTATACATACGCTGTATCACCTTGACGACTACCGTCTGTTTTAGGTATATAAAATAGTTCATCAAGTGCTACGAGAAGGAAAAAAACATTCAATATTTTATTATGCCGACAGAAAAATAACAAACCAGCTTTATCCCCTGAAAGTAATTCTGTCAATTTTTCTTGCATTCGTTCATTTTTCTTTTTTTCGGCATTTAATTGTTTTTGCAAATCTTTCATCTATAAAGAAAAGAAAATCCGTAACATAAACTTTTATTTCGTCAGTATAAATCATAACAAACCAATGTAGCTCCTTTTCGTTCATGTGCTCGTTTTTCATCAATAAATGTTGATGCTTCCTGTAAAAAATTAAATAAATAAAAGGTAAGATTTCAATAAATATATTTATTAACTTGTTTTAAAACATCGATCTGAGCATTTAATTCTTCGATTGTATGAGCTTTTGTACTAAGAATTTCAGTTAAATTCTATACGAAAAAAATTTTTTTTTCATATAAGAGAAGAAAACAGCAAAAAATTTTCACTTGAAAATTTTCTTGATATTTTTGTCTTTCATCATCTAGTTGTTTTTCATGTTGATGTTTTTGTTCGTTGAATTGTTGTTCAAAGTTTTGTTTAAGCTCACTTATTTCCGTCTAAAGAAAATAAAAATTCTCAATGATTTAAGAAGAAGAAAAAACTAACAATGAACATACTTGTAATTTTTCTAAACGAATTGTTAGGACTTGTTTCTTTTCTTCATCGAATTTAATACGGTTTTCTAATTCTATACAACGTGATTGATATTGTTTCAATGTTCGATCTTTGATCTAAATAATATTTATTATATGTTAAAGATTTTCTATTTTAAAATCAATCGTCCTTCATCGTGTTTTCTTTTTCAAGTAGTAATAAATTGTTTTCTTTTTGTTTATCGATCGATTATATTAGTAAAGCAAAACAATATGGTGAAGATGTTAAAAGGTTTGATTTGAGAATTTAAGTCTTCATAACATATTTACAACAACAATGTTTTTTTAAATTTTTATTCAAAATATTCAAACAATATTCTTATTTTTTCTTTAAAAAGATTAATTATTATTGGTAGTCTCTGAAGAATTTTCTATAACAAATAAGAAAACTATTAATTTTATACCTTTAATTCATTATTTTCTTTTTCAAGTCGTTCAATTTCTGCTTGATATTTCTCTTTTTGACTTTGTAAAGTTAATTTAGCTTTTTCTTCAGCCTGTGAACTATTTGTAGCCATTTCATCAATGATAGTTTTACGTTGTTCAGCTAACTATAGAAAAGTATATCTTATGATTTTTTTTCTTTTAAGGCTTATAAAAACAAAACATACGCGTTGTTGAGATTCAAAATCACGTGTTTTATTTGTTAGTTGCTGTTCAAGCGTTTGAACAGTTTGTAATAATGTTTCATAAGCTTCTTTTGATTGCTAAACAAAAACAAAACATCAAAAATATAATTAATCAAATTTTTAATTCAACTGAATTAATTTTTTTTTCTGAGAAACTTCATCACACCTCAGTTTCTGTACGTAATAAATCACGATCAAGAATTGTTTGATTAAGTAACAATTCTTTATCGGCAATAATTCGTTGATGTTCAGCATTAGTAGTGCGTAATTGTTGATTTTGCTCAGCAGCTACTGTACCAATCTTTAATAAAAGCGTTATAAGCAAGCCAATAGCAATTAGATTAGTGTTGTTTTTTTAAAATAGCAAACCTGTGATTCTAATTGATCAATAGTTATTTTTAATTCATTGAGACGTTTTTTATAATTACTTATCTCATCATCTTTTGTCTAGAAAATAATTATTTCGATCAAAAAAAAAAAAGTTTCTTTTAAAGAAAATGACTTTTTTCATTGTTTCAATTTCATCTTGAAGTCGTTTTATTTCTGATTTAAGTACATCGATTTGTAATTCATTTGTTGTTTTTACATTACTATTATCAGTACTAGAATATTGAAAAAAAACAGAACAATAACAAAAAAATTGTTATATTCTATTTTTTGTTACGTAATATCTTGAATACGTTTTTCATAATCACGTTGTAATTGTAAACATGTATTTTGTTTTTCATCAAGTTTTTCTTTTAACTATAAGTAAATAAATATTATTATTTCTTTCTTTTTTTTTCTTATTAAACATTAAATAATATTGTTTTTACATTTTCAATTTGTTTCAAATGTTTTGTATTTGTTTCATTGAATGATATTTCTAGTTGACGAAATTGTTCTTGAAGAAGACGTTTTTCTTCTTGTTCAGTTTCAAGACGAATACTATTAGCTAGATTAAATATAATAAGAATTATTATTCAAATTTAAAGATAATATAAAAAGAAAACTTACTATCGAATAATTTTGTTTCACCGTTTGTTGATTTCGATGAGACAACATGAACCAGACCACCTTCACTACTGATTAAATAAATAGAATATAATAAAGCAAAAAACAATCGAAGAAAAAAACATTCAAAATTATGTATATCATGATACGAACTATAAGTTCATTCTTCCAACTTAAATTCTCTTGAGATATCAAATTTTATTATATAAATGAAAATAGTTTCGTTCATTCTTATTATTCATATTCAATAATAGAATTATTATAAAAGTATATCTCACATCTGAAATATCTACACAAGGGACTCATCTCATTATGGCTTGTACATGTACCGAATTTTAATATGGAATTTGACAATTAATTTTCATCCCATATTTGAAATGAATTTTATCAAAGTAGGAAATCTTTTATTTCGTTTCTTCTTCTTTTTTTTCTCGTTCAAAAGTGCAAGAAATTCCTTAAACAAACACTACTATCAGACCATTTGATAGAAATTTCATTTAAAACTAACATTCTATCTGTTATTCTGAATCATTTCTTCGAACTTCTTGTAAATTTCAATCTCAGAGTGAATAAACTCTTTAAACATAAGTGTGATGATATTTTGTAATCCAAAAATAGTTAATCTAAGCATTTAATGCGGTGTGAAGCACAGCATTAATCTAGTTCTTCACGTGTACATTCGGCCTCCATGCTTTTCATGTTTTTCGCTGAAACAAAAATTTATAGTTTGCGTCTCGATGATCTAGAGAACGGCGAGTCTCTCTAGAAACTTGTTCAAACTTTGTCAGAGAAATCAATATCCCGAGATGATCCAAATAGTTTCAAATCTTCAATATGAGGTTTCGTTCATCTACAGAAGGTTTCAATAAACAGCGATTTTGATGATTTAGTCTCTATCTTTTACCCCAGATAATTGAAGCTAATGAGTTAGTCTCAAGTACTCTTCAAATTTGCCGTTTTGTGTTGCAATGGTCTCCAGAACAGAAGCTCACAGAACACTCGTTCGAACGCGAGGTTGAAGTATCGAGATGAAACCGATAGTGTTTCTTTTCACTCTTCTGTAGAACCTTCCGTTTGCTATCAAATTGCGTCCAAAAAAGACGAATTTATCAGGACTTCTTCATTTTGAGATAATTAAAACAAAATAAAGAAATCAACAAAAGTTAGGCGCCACTCTTTTTTGCTCATATGTCAAACAGTTGTGAATACAGCTGACTATAGATAATGAATCATATAGATAATTAAACCATCAATCAATAGCATTCGTTACGAATAAGTAGATAGGCCTTGATAGAGTTCTCGTAATGATTTATTTTTTGACGTTGTCTTCTCAATACTTTACATCGTTTGATCAGCTGTTTGTGGAAAAGTTGAGTAACCTTATTTATTTACTTTCACACAAAGAGTCATTAGAATGATGTCAAAATTTCTTCTCAGAAAATGTATTAAAATGATATATCGTAGAAACCATTGGTTGTCGGTTTTAAGATTTTGATTTTTCTGGATAATCGATATTCGTGCTTCGCATCATATTTTATATTCGGGATTCTCTCGAATACCACCTAGTTTGTTTTAGTTTACTATGTTACAATAAAAATCCAGTGCAATTATCAATACAATTAACAAGGGAATTCTAATGAGATTTTCTCATTATACAAACAAAATAGATCTAGACAGAAGTTTTTTGCAATTATTTCTGATATGATATATTAGTACACAATATAAACAAAAATGTATGATGTTTGATCGAAAGACCATAATTATACATAACATGTCTCTTAGTAAAAACCTTGATATAAAACATGTGCGCATAAAAAGAAAAGAAGCAAGAAAATCGAACTTTTGTCCTGGCATGTAATTGATCATGATTTATATGAATTATAGTCTCAATTGCCAAAGCGAAGCAAGATACATACCGGTTATCATCACATTCTACTTCTACATCTTCTTTTTGAAATGATTCATTACTTGAACTTGCTGTTGATATTGATTCGACAGTTTTCGCAGATAATTCTTTTAAAAAGGATTTAGTTTTGTCTTACTTGTAAAAATAAAATATTTTCTCTACCGGAAAGCTTTTTTTGTAAAACATTATTTTCTGCTTTTAAACGTCGATTTTCTTCATGAATTAAATTAATCGTATCTGTATTATCATGAGAATTATTTAGATTTGCATGACGACCTTCTTTATATAATTTAAGTTCATTTTCGAGTTGTTCAACTTTGATAGTATACTAAAATAAAATAGAAAAAAAAACATAAATAAATCAACGTATACTAACTGTGCTAATTCATTTTTGGAGGCTTTTTCTCTCTCTCTCTCTCTCTGTTAGTGTGAATATATAAATAAGAAAACTATTTGCCTTCGAGTAATGAGAATAATATCTCACTTGGTAATACAAATAGAAAAATTATTGACGTAAGTGAAATGATCATATTTCTTATTAGGAAAAAAAGTCTAGTTTTCTTTGTTTTTCTACCTAAAGATTTCACCTAAATAAGCATTTTTCTATATATATTTATTGGTTTTGTTCATTAGCTGATTACTGTTGTTGTTACTCATTTTCTTTTATTTTGTTTGAGAAAAATATAATCTTCTGTTCTACATTATTATTATTATTCTTTTTTCTTGCAACTTTTTTCTTTTTTTGTATCGTTCTATCAATCAAGAGAAAAATCGAAACCTTACTATTTCATTCATTATAAACTATCATGAAGATTATCTATTCATTTGTTAGTATGAATGTAAATTATTATCAGATCATAATTCATTTATCTGAGTAAGTTTTTAATTAAAAGTCTATTATTTATTTTCAATAGATTCTTTTTAATATATCTGTGACCTATCTATAAGCAGCCATAGCATATATTTTTTTTAAATACATTTTCAGTTTTTTTTATCAATAACGAACACAAAAAAGAAACCTTAGTATCAATTAAAAATGAAATATGTTATTTACTGTTTGTATCATCAACGTAGATCTTTAATAAAATATTAATGAGTCCACAGCCTTTGCATTTTTCTCTCCGATATTACTAATTCACTTAATCATATATCTATTAATCAATTATCGAACATTATCTACCCTTCTTGTATTCTTCTAACAATATTTGAAAAAAGTGTATATTTTTCATTATGGTATGAATTAGTGAAAATTAAAAAAGTCTGTCCTTGAGAAAACAATTAAACGATATGGAACCGTAATTTTTCTTTTTAGCAAATTAAAATAAAAGCTTTTAACAAAAAGAAAAAAATATTTTTATGTCTTTAGTTATAACAAATACCAATCAGACAAACGAACGAAGATAAATAATTTTCTTCAATGAAATTAAATTTTTTATTATTTATCAATATTTTCGATATTTTTCTCTTAATTCATGGTAATGGACCATTTTATTTTGGTATTATTAATCATAATACACAATGGCATTTTCATTGTCCACAAAATCATACAAAAATATTAAATCCACCATTAAATGAACAACCATTAATATCCTATGAATGTCCGCATCCATCATCAACAATGGAAATTTTACCATTAGAAATTGATTTTACATTTTTATGTCGTTTACAGTCACGTTTAATATGGATTATAATTGATCTATATCAATATAATACATTTCTATGGTTAATTAATCGAAATGATATTGATATAAAAATAGAATTAAATAATCAACTTGGAATAAATAATTCGAAAATTGAATCAAAAAATTATACAAATCGTTTAATTTTAATCGATGCATTTTATATTCCATTTGAATCCATAGATATATTATTAAATAAAAAAATTGAAATCAATATTCAAATCAAAAATTTAAATCAACTAAATCAATGTCAATTTTTTATTAAAGATAATTATTTATGGAAAACATTTATGAACAATCATTGTGATGCAATTCACTCGAAAACACTTTTTATTCAATATGCTAAATGTGATTTCTATTTAAATAAGTTCGTTTTACAGCTACAAAACAAAAATTCTCAAAAATTATTTGTTTTCTTCTATTTAGACTAATATCTATCGATACAAATATTCATGAAAAGCATACTTTTCAAACAATTACAAGTAGTCAGATACTTGATTTTAATGTTAATTTATCTGTTGATACAGAAAAATTAACAACAACAACAACAACAACAACAACAACAACAATAACAACAACAACAACAATAACAACAACAACAACAACAACGACAACTATTCAACTTTATAATATTGAACAAAATACAAGTTTTATTTCAACAATAAATTCAATGCTTTATAATAATTATTATTTATTAATAGAAGAAAATTATCGCCAAATTTTAAACTTATTAACTCGTTCAACAATAAATTCAACATTATTAAAATTCGCATGTATTATTTTAATAATTATTCTTATTCTATTAATTATATTTTTTCTCTATATGTCTTATTATCATTATCATCTTCGACTAAAATCATCATCAGCTAGAAGACCTTCATCATTAATATAACGAAAAAAAGAACAAATCACTTTTATTTACTTCATTTAATTCACGCATCATTGTTTCATTTTGTAGTTTGAATTCTTCTTCTTGCGTGTGAACTTTACGTGTAAGTGCATCATTTTCACGTTGAACTTCATCAATATCTCGTCCAGCCACACGACGAATTTTCCATGGTAACTAAAATATATATATAAATATATATTTTTTTTACAATGATTCTTTTTTTTTGTTTATAATGAATAACATACCACTTTAGTTGGTAATCGAAAATTAATACTATCTTTGTCAAAATTTTCAATTTGCGTTTTTAATTGCACATTTTCTAATATGACAAAACGAAAAAAAAAGATATTTTATTTTTAATTATAAAGATTTTGTAAATAAATATTAAACAAGAATATCTATACAAAATCATATACACTAAAAGTCTATGTTTAGAAAACAAATGATAAATCTTTAGTGCAAAAGTCTTGGGACAAAACGTTCGCTCATTTTTTCGACTACTCAAAGATAACTAGTTAGAATCAGAATTTTCTGTTATTTCCGAATCTATGTTCAGATTTTCCTTCTAAGCTAAGACTAAACGATTGTCAGAAAGTTTCATGAAAAAGTTCAAAATTGTGTCTTTACGGTTTTTGACATAGTCTTTAATTTGTGTATTGGAACAGCTTCAATTCAATATTATTGTAGAGCAGTGAGTTCTCTATAAAATGAAATATTATAATAAGCAAAAATCTCATGTGTACGTTTCTAGTGAAGAACTAGTTTCTATAAAAACCGATATTGGTCAGAAAATTGCTTTTAAAAATGCAAAAGTAAAAAGCATTCTTTGTAGAGCAACGTTTGCTCTACGAAATAGAGATATGCGGAGTTATTCTACCCTATTCTGAAGAGTAGAATAATAGCGTAACATTAAAAAAAATTTCTCAGTTGAGATACAAGATATGAGAAAAGTTTACCGTATACATCTTTAGGAGAAAATTGAAAGACGAAACTGACTGAAATAATATCCTGTATAACGACAATTTTGTACTTTTGGAAACAATCTTATGATGGTTGTCCAACTTTGAATAACGGTTACTGACTATAACTAGGTCTCTTTTAGTAGCCGAAGAGTGAATGAGTATTTTGAGCCAAAATTTTCGGCACCATATGCTATATGATTTGATTAAAACTGGTTGAAAGATGTTGGTGAGAATAATTTTTTGTATATGCTAATAACTTTGTGAAATTCTCAAATGATTTGTCCTATATTAGAAATTACCATAGCTTCTCATTTGTGAACATATTATCAGTATACAAATACTTTTCAACTGAGTTTCAATAATTTCGGATATTTAATTAATTTAAAAATAAAAACATGAAATTTGAAATCTTCCTCATATTAATATTAAGAAAGCTTAGATATTCAGCTTTACTTTTGATGAACTACAATTTGTACAGCACGTTAAAGGTCATTGTGATGATCTATTACATGACCATAATGAATTACGATGAAGGTTTTATAAATTCTGCCCTGAACTTTGATTAAAATAATTCTTAGCTATGTTCAAATCTATGACCCTTATTAGTACATTATGAAACTTATATTTATCAATAATAAAGAAAAAAAAGTCATTTTCTTTCGTCAAAACATTTATTTCTCTTTCAAAAAGCTGATACTGCGTACAACCGATAGTAATAGTTTGCTTAAGTTACTTTCAAGATCGATTTGCAAACACTGATGATGCCATCTCACATAACCCCTTGATAATAACTATATAAAAGAAAAATAATTATCATACGCTTTCCTTGACATCAAGTATAACTGAGTGCAACTTATCGCAATTCATTTTAGATAAAAAAAAAACCATATTCTCTACAAATTGCAATAGCTTTTCTTTCCATGACGATCATTCTGATCATCAGAAACAGCGTATTACTGTATTAATTTTTGTCGTGACCTATCAGCTTGTTCTTTCTCTAGCAAACAATCATTATTTCTCCTACTCTTTGTACCGTCGTACGAGAGTACGAGAAACGGCAACGTAATAACGCTGATTTTCATGGGCTTGAATTAGAACAAATTTTTTTTCTAAACAGAAACTCAGTCTCTATGCATTCTAGAAATTCGACTTAATTCAAAAAAATTACTTTAAATGATAATTTATATCTTCTAAAAAATGCAGCTTAACTTTCTTACAAAAAATATTATTTTGCTATATGCCTTCTTATTAATCCAAATCTTTGAAAACCATTGTTGTATTTGAGAAATTCAATTGTCTTATTTAAAAACTTCTAAATTCATTAACTTTATAATCAATTAAAAATTGAAAAACAGTTTTACTATCAGAGGTGCAGAATCTACCCGTGTGCGCGTACGGCCGTGTGGGGACAATTTTCGATTCATAGGAGAATTTTGGGGAAATAGCTGGGGAAAGACACCATCGTGCGGGGAAATTTTTTAAAATCACGACAGATTCTGCACCTCTGTTTACTATGCTCGTAAATGAAAAATAGACTAGTTAACTCGATTTCGTTAAGTCTCTTATAATATTGTTGCAACCTTCGTATGAATGCTATCCATGGATCTGCTAGTTTTGATATAATATATCTACTTAGGGTGTACCAAAAGTTCTGATCACGGCGTTACTTAGCCATATAGTAAGCTTTAAAAATCTTTCTTTCTATATAAGCCTGATAGAGAAAAGAATGCTCTATTTTTNGATTGGATACTGCAATCCAAAACTTACTAGACCACAGACGATAACGGAAAAAGTCTTATCCAAAATTTATTATCATAATATTAGTTGAAGTATGATCAAATAGCATAGAAAAATAGAGCATTCTTTTCTCTATCAGGCTTATATAGAAAGAAAGATTTTTAAAGCTTACTATATGGCTAAGTAACGCCGTGATCAGAACTTTTGGTACACCCTAAGTATTTACTTTCATTATAACAAAAATTTAATTTTCAAAATTCTACAGATTTTAAGAAGAAAAGTTTATTATCCTAATTTCAGACCTTTTGATTTGCTTCTATCTTGAAATAAGAACATCAAATCTGTCTGTTTATCTCAATAATGTAAAACACAAACTGATACCATAGTTATATTTTAAGATGGAAACAACGACAAGATCTACAGAATTCATAGAAAACCGCTTCTCCTTAACGACTATCTATATGCAAAATTTCAAGTCAAAACTCGAAAATCAGTTCTTCTGCTGTACCAATTAAATTTGTAATCTAATAATTATTCTTATTTCATCATTTCAAATATACTACGTACAAAATAAAAAATCTCTATCTGATTTCATCTGTTTTATTCATTTACGAAGGAATACTTTCAATAGATATTCCATCGTAATAAACATCTTTAGGTAGTCAAAAATCAATAATATTTCTATAAATAATTTTTCATGTTTTTATTCAGTTTACCTGTTGTTAATCTTTTATTTTGTTCTTCCAATTGATAGTTTCGCGTTTTAATTTCAACCAATTGATTTTGAAAACGTTGAAATTCTTCGTCGGATACCGACATAATCTAGAATAAACTGATTCATAAAAAAAATTCATTTTCTTATTTAGTTTTTTTTTTTTTCATAGTATATTCAAGTTTTGCATTTTGATATACAAAACAAAAACACAAAGAGGTAAAAACTACACTCAATTCGAACAAAATGTGTATTTATGATGACCACAGCTAAGTTTGATGAAGTATAGAAAATGACAAAAAAAAAAAGAAAATGTTATGCGCACGTACAAGCATAATAAATGAAATGAAAAAAAAACGAAACAAATTACATATTTAGCAAATGGATATGACATAAAGTAAACGAGAGAGAAAAGAAACACCACAAATTAAGAACTATGGTCACTAATTGTTGCGGTGTGTTGTTCCTAATATGATAAAAAATAGAAAAAGGTTTATAGAGAATAGAGACTTACGTGATGATTTCGAATTCTTATGTTGAAATAAATGAGAACGAAGATCATCGCTTTCCTGACGCTGAAAAAGAATTATAAAAATCAAAACTTCTCGAATTGTCTACATGGATGAATAAAATTAAGATAATCTCAATGCTGGACAAGTCAAGTTTTGATGACTGATCGGAGTAATTCTTTTTGACAACGGTACTTTTACTTAAAAATGTTCTCAAAACACATCATATCTGATAAGAAATTTTCGTTTATTTGAGGCATTTTATAACCATGAAGCAAATTTCTCAGACTATAAAAACTATTTCCACACTCAAACTATACCGAAAAATTTTCTGTTCTATCTAATTTTCAATCTGACATGCCCAACTTGGAATGATCGTCATCATGAATTTACTATGCACTTACCAGTTCCACTGTAAGTCATGTCATTGCATGATCACTCCTAATTAATCTAGACATTAAGATTGAAAACCCAGAAAATAGTTTTATAAAAAAAAAAACAGGCTCTAACATAATGGAATTCTCTATTTCAACTCTGATTATTTATATTTTAGCAATTTTTTTTTCTACTTTAAATGATCAATTATAGTTAAATAATTTTTATGTCGAAGTCGACAAATGACAAAAATAAGAATCATGAGATATTGTCGTTATTGAAATGAATGTTTTATTGACTGTATTAACATAAAATTATTAGATGAAATTAGAATGAAACAGAAATGATGCTGATGTTATAGACGAAGAAGAAAAAAAAAGAAAATAATATTTAATGTAATAAAAAAAAAACCTAGTATTGCTTTTAATCTGAATAAATTATTCAGTTTTCTCTGTAGACTTTCATTTATTTTACATGTTCTCTACATACAAGATATCTAACTAGGAAACTATTTAATATGATTCGTCACTTTTGAAAATATGCTTTGAGTATATATAGAGAAAGTTAAGATAAGAATAAATCTGACAGAATTCTTGATTAGGAAGGCTATTTATTCTCCCGATAAGGCCAGACTTTCTGTTAGTATTGTACAGTCAGATGGTAACTTTGCCCAGAAATTGAAAATACTATTTACCTTTCTCTAGCAGAAAGTGAAATCAAAGTAAGCAGACAATATCGTTGTGAGATGAATAGGCGTAATGAAGGAACCGGGGTCCCAGTAGATTCCGTTCTACTTCCTCCTCTCAGTCACCACTTATAGCACTCCGAGAATGAAAGCACTTTCCGCCGAACTTTTAGCTTCTTCAGTTGCTGAAAAATATCGACAACCGTATTCAGGTTCATAGTGTATTGTGATCCAGATATTGAATAGTTAACAAATCGTACATGTAAAGCTTTGATTTCACAAAAAATATCATCCTTTTTTCGAATTTCGACATGAAATTTAATATAAATGAAGGTCTTAATTAGAGTAACTTGTATAAGAAATTCGTAAAGTTTTTAAACATTGTATTTACAAAATACTAACTGCAAAATGTATCAGTACATTCGATTAGATAACAGATGATACGTGAATATTTTGAAAAATTAATTTATCGTAAATTCAATGTCTGAAAATTCTTATACAAGTTATTCTAATTAAGACTTCGTCACTTTTACTATGTTCCACGTCAAAATTTTGAAAATTTGAGTTTTTTATGAAGTCATAGATCTATATATAAGATTCACTAACAATTCAATATTTTCATCATAAATATACTATGAACTTGAATACTGCTAGATTTATCCTTATCTCTGTTCTATATATGTCCAAAATGTTACTTCACAGACAATGTCGGACGGTTTCGTTCTAAGCTGATCAACGAAGCACACTGGTTTATTTGACAGAGGAAATTCGAACAACAGCTGTATTCGTACCAGTAGAAAATCATTAATTCAACTTATGTTAAATCTATGGATTACATTAACAATATGTGATGACCTTCAATACTTACCTTTTGATTTGATCCATATTTTGATGTTGATTGCGATGTTGATTCTAAAGAAAATAACAAGAATAAATTAATTCAACAATCATAAAATAAATTCTACCATAAGTATAAGATCTTTCTTTTGAGTTGCTTGTCGACGATGAAGAATTTTGTTGTTGTCGACCGCTGTTGATTCGTTGTTGTTGATGGCGTCGATTATCTCGTTTATCATTGGCATCGTCGATGATTGTCTCAATCGATGTCGATGTGACACTTCTTTGTTGTTGATAATCAAGACTGCAAAATGGACGAACACATATTGATTTGTGTAAAGCCCATTGTTTTTTTTTTTTATATTTTCATTCACACATGGCCGTTTATGTGAGAATATATAAACTTTTTTTTTAAAGACGGTCTACCTTTGCTGTTTGTCTTCTTTGTTTGAATTGATTTTTGTTGACATTGTTTTGTTGTTGCTTATCGATGATTCATCATCATTGTTTAATTGATTTCCGTTTGTATCATTATCATTATGATTCTTGTTGTGTTCAGTTCGTTTTCTACCCAATGTTAGACGTAAATCATGTGAAGATCCTTTACTTGTCGATGTTTTATCAATAGATCCACTCTGGAATTCAACTTTACGACATGAATTGGAAGAAGTTACTTTTAAATCAGTATCCATAATTGATTTGATAGATTCATTAGGTGCTAAAATTTTTGAAATAGCTGTTTTTTTTAAAGAATTATTTGTATTTATAGATAAAGATAATTGGTTATTGTCATGTTCATCTGAATAAAGATCAATTATTGGAGTTTCTTGTGAAGTCAATATTGATGGATTAACAATAGTCGGTGAAAAACGAGATTTTCCACTTTTCTTACGAATTAAAGATGGTTGATCAGAACCATTTTTATTCGATAAATCTACTTTTGATGTATCAACAGTTGATGGAATCGATTTTACAACAGATTCGTCTTCCGATACCTTTAAACATAAAAAAATGTTTTTTTGTTATATTTCATTTCAAACAAATTTATATCACATATTCAAAAACAAAATCGGAAATTCGTTAGACAAATTGACCGTCAAATTTTAAAAAACTAATTATGATGAAAATAATTAGAACAAAAAGAAAAATACAATCAAAAATAATTATGAAGAATAAAAACGGAATGATACACTATTATCCCGTTTCATCGACAGGTTTTTTCTTCTCCTTTCATCGAAATACTATGGTAGAACTAATTCGAAGACTTGATATATATTAATTTTTATTCCGTAAGTGATAGAACTTCAGACAATAAACTAGAAGATTGGCGTCATCAGTTCATCAATTCAAATGTTGCTATAACACACTGGAACATGTATGTCGTCTTCGAACAATTAAAAAAAAGATGATACTTTTCATTCAGCTACTGTGAAACAAGCTCAGAACGTATAAAATAAAAATTTATGCCAGAAATAATATCTTCTTTGAAATACAAGAATTATAAATTTGATGAATAGTTATGTCAATGGTTTGTTGACATTGAATGACTATTTTACAAAGACTAGAAAATAATGGTAAAAAAATTATGATTGATTCCGTTTTTAGTCATATCCAGGTCAACAAGTATGGGCTGTTTCCGCTCGAAAAAATAATAGATACTTGGAAATAATAATCCAGTGGCTGACTCTACCAAGAAACAACTAGAACTAGAGAAGTCCTACTGGGAGCGGCGTCTTTATAGCAAAAAACTACCGGAAATCCACAGATCCGAGAATCTGATTCATTGATCTGAGGACTCAAAGCATGTCTTCATTAATTTTTTATATTATCATGTTTCTCTTTGTTTTACCATATTTGATCTGCTTTTTGTCAAATGCTATTTATCATAATTCTGGATTAGTTTTAATTAACAATTAGTAATTAATAGTATTCCTTCTTGATCACGCTATTATTTGGCGACAAAACGAAGACGAAAAATTCCTGTCGATCCTGTAGGAAAAACGTTTTTCTCGCCGAAACGGGATTTAACTCATTATAATATTAAGGCTGATGTTGAATAAACAAAAAACAATAAAGGAGACCGCTTACTGATCAATTGACTGTATAAATTCTGTGACTAAAATATTTGTCTATAGAAATAATTTTAAACAAATACTAAAATCTAAAATCACTTCTTCCTTCCATATTTACAATTTTCTGAATATGTGATAATATTGATTGTAATGATAAGAAAATTAAACAACATACGTCTTTCATAACTTGATCAGTAATTATTTCTGTTTTTTGTTGAGGTTTTTCTTCAATAATTGTTGATTTAATTACTACAAGAGGTTCACTATTAACTGAAGTCATACTCGTTGTATCATTTGATCTTTCATTAAAACGTTTTTCACGTTCAGCAAGTTCACGTTCACGTAATTTTATTTCTCTTTCACGATAATTAAGTTCAATTTTTTGTATTTCAATTTGTTTTTGTATAAGCGTTAAAATTTCTCTATTTTAGATTTGATATTTAAATATTTAAAAAAAAATTCTTTTTTCTTCTATATCATTTTTTACTTTGAACAAGCTTCAATTTGTGGATTATTATATGGCATGGCTTGCATCATTTTATATTTACTAATAAGATCAATTGTTTGTACGAAATCATTTGTAGGATGAGTGGACGTTGTTAAAATTGAATTTGTATTCGTATTTGAAAGAACTGATTTAGCAAAAAGAGAAAGTTCACATTCTTGAGGAATATTACTCATTTCTAGAAGACTTTCATTCGAAGTTGGTTCAAGAACAGGAACAGATGGAGTTGAATGAAGTTTATTACTAAATGCGAAAAAAAAATTCATTTCGTTAAATTCATAATAGAACAATTTACTTTGTTGTTACAGATGATGATTCATTTGTTGTTACACTATTGGACTGTATGAACGATTAATCTAAATAAATAAAATAATAGAAAGAACAAAGATTAACTTACTCGAATATCGTGCGATTTTGTTAATTCATCTTCGGATACAAAACTTAAATCAGTCGTTTCTTGATTGGGAGTTATTCGTTTCGATGGTGTTTGTTCATCGGTTGATGAAATTGATTTAAGTAGATCATTAGTAGTACGTTCTTTTGATATTTCACGACGAGAACGATTTGTTGGTGGACGTCGGTCATATGGTGATCGAGATTTAGAATGTGGTCGTTTTACAGAAGCAACCAATCGATGATGTCGTGATGATGATTGTGTTGGTGGTGGCGATGGTGACGGAGATGAAACTCGATGATATCTTTGAGACTGATAATGATGATGAGAACGTGATGTCAATGATGCTGATGCTGCTGAAGTAGACCGGGGACTTGCATGACGTTTACGAGTAGCAGATGATGGAGAATGACGAGTTGATCGATGAACTAAACTTTCATTTGAACGTTTTGATGTTGGATCTCGTCGTGAACTACTTGATCCTCTTCATTAAGAAAACAAAAAGAAAATTAATTTCTCTCTTTTTCAAATAAATCTTTTAATCAAACCTTTGTCGTTCATGCTCTTTATTGAGTACTTCATTTTCTAATGCAAGATCATTCGTATTAACAATACAGTCAATTGCATCAAAATTACTTGTAGTACGAGATGATTGCCGATTTGTATTGTCAAAATTTTTATTGTCCATTATTTTAATTTCCAGTAAACATTCAATGTAATCAATACCAAAAAAACAAGGTTTTTATCTAAAAAGAAAAACAAAAAAAATGAACAAAAAAAACAAAAATCAATTTTTTTTCGTTGTTGGTTCATTTTCAAGTTCCCATAATGTTATTTTATGTTCTCTAATTGCTTCCTATTTAAATAGAGAGAAAGACAAAATGGCAATAAAAAATATTATTTTAATCCCTATTACTTTAATACAAGCTTGATATTTTTTAAAAAGATTTGTACACATATCAACTGTTGTATCACCTTTTAAGTAATGTTCACTAAACCATGAATTAAAACATGCATCGTATTCATCTTTTAATGTTTGACACGATGGACTGATGCTACTCATCTAAATTATAATAAAAATAAAACAAATGAATTAATGCACTATGTCATTATTTTAGTAATGACATCTAGAATAGAAATAAAATATGAAATGAATAGCAATGAACTATTGAAAAATAAAATTGGGCATGAATCTTATTCAATGGACATTATCAAACAAAGATGTCGTTAGAATACAAAAATTACTTTGTCTTGCTGTTAATCAATGCTTTAGACAAAAAATCTCAGGTCATCTATTTATTTTTTATGCGTTATCAGACCCTGGATAGTTCAAACTTTGTTAGAAGATTCTATTTCTGCCATGTGTCATTGATTCATGGTTTTGAAGTAGTGAGTCCAATCGGATAATTAAAACATGAAAAAAATTTCTAAATTTAGTTTACAATCACATGAGACACTTCCGATGATGAGCTAGCTCCACTAAACATATACTATAGATTGAAAACTCTTTGCTTGTGCTGCTCTCTATAATTTTTATAAAAATGGCTCCAAGCTAAATGACAAAAATATGTCTATACCTCTAATGAGAATATTATATTTATGTTTCTTTTTCAATTTTCGACTATATCATGGAAAAGTAACCAAGATGTATTTTTTGCTTCAAAACTTCATATAGATATCGCTGGTGAGAAGTGTATCTGTTAATAATTGCAAGGAAAAAAACATCTTTTAATTCTTATCATACTTTATCTTTGCTGTCTTATCTCAAAGTATTCAAAATGGTTACATAGTTTGAATTTGTTGTAATTATTAATGATTATGTTATTTTATGAAAGAAGAAAAAAATGTTGAACAATATACATTCATTTAATTCTTACTGTATTGAAAACTATTTTTTCATTTAATTAAAAACTGTTGAGTGAAGTCTCTTGATTGTGTAAAATTTTCTGCGAAGACGGATGTGATATTGTAGACTCAAGTTGTCGTGGTGAGAATCTCGAGAACTAAAAGAAAAAAACAGACTAATAACTCTTAATTTATGATGACAGATTCTCTCAAAAAAAAATTCAATTCGACATAATAACATTTGTAGAAGATTAAATGGTCAATAGGAAGCTTGTATCCAGGGCTGCCAACTGTACCCCATTTTGAGGTACAATATCCCACTTTGACCTTTTGTACTCCACAAAAATCTGTACCTCTGGGGTACGCACTTTGTATCCCATTTGGACTTTTTTCTACTACACTGTAGATGAATCATCTTGGAGCAGAAATGAATGAAATGTTCTCTTTTAGCTAGCACCATTTTTGCAGAGATACGAAGTGTAAAGGATATTGGCTAGCTCGTGATTAGTCAATGTGGGCAACCGTTGCATCTGCTTAGACTTGTCTTTTCTGTTCTATCTGGCTTCTCAGTTTCACACTCAAAGTCAAATTGAATTCTTGATGGATTTTTGCAAGGGGAAAAAGCGGATTTTAATCCACAAAAATCCATTCTGAAATCTATGCAAATTCGTGCAAATTGAAAAAATCAAACGCAAAAATTATCCAGAAAAAGGAAGGCTCTCGTTACTACCAGACTAATTGAAGTCACAGAGCAGTCATGAGAATCAACCTTAAATTTCTAGGACTAGTCATTCCTCGATCGATATATCGTTTTTGACACTATTTTTTCACTTCTTTGATTAGCATATGACTTTCGCGATGGGTTTCCTATTTTTCCGATCGAAAAATGACTTTCGAGATCATTTTCAAATTTGTCAATCGATATGTTGTTTTTAAGATAGCGTTTTCGAGATGGTTTTCGACTCAGTCGATTCAAAATCATGTTGAAAGTTCAATCTCAATCATCTAAGTCAAAAATTATCTCGAAAATCACAGATCGATCATGGAAGTCGATAATAATCTAAACAAACCACATCTCAAAAGCTAGACGTTGGTCTAGAAAATCAAAAAGCATTTTCAAAGTTATACATTGATCGAAATACTCTAAAGTTAACTGGATAACCATATTTTGATCAAGAAAAGCGAAACTCATGTGAAAAACAATATCTCGATCGATAAATTCGAAAATTGAGTCGAAAATTTTACCTTCATCGAGAAAACCAAAAATAATCTCGAAAAATATCGCGATCGAACATGTCGGAAACGTGCTCAAATTGATGCTAACTGCAATAATATTATGGAAGATACCTCTGAATATAATATTCAGATACTATTCGTTATGCAAAAATTTCTTTTGAAATCCAGCAAAATTCACTTAAATAAAAAGCACCCCGCTGGACATTTGAAAATCCAAAATCTGCTTTCTTCCCCTTGGAGTTTTGGCTACTTCTCTTATTTTCGAACAGTTCTGTTTATTCATCTTTGTTTGTCTTCGAACGACTGAAAAATCATTTTAGATTGTAATTTTGACCAAATGAACAACGACGACCCTATACACTCACATATCAAGATCGTAGAAGAAACCAAAGCAGCAACTGAGAAGGGATCAGAAAACACAACAACATCATCGGAACATGTCTCGCACAGGGAAAGTTGAATATGGTCTCTCATCTGCTAAAAAAGGCGTTTTTTCTAGTCGATTTTTCGCGCCATATCCTTGAATTTTGAAAAACATATGTACCCCACGGAATTGCCCCATTTGAAACCTTTTGTACCCCATTCGACACCTTCAGAGTTGGTAGCCCTGCTTGTATCTCTACATCATATGTATTTCGAACTAAATTCCATTAAAAAGAAAAGATTATTAAATTTCTCTGTAGAAGATCCAGCCACTTTCCTCAATTGCTAATAGAACAATATCTCGTTGATCTTGTCATATGCTTATTTTTTTATTACAAACGTTTCGTTAACCATTCAATTAAGTATTCTCAACACTCACATGTTTCTTCAATAAAACTAACAATATGAACAAGATGTTACAAGCATCTATGCCCAAAGTCTACATGTATACCTCTTACAATAGAACTACTCTTGAATGAACACCGTCGAGATTTTTGAAAAATATTCATTGTTGAGAGATTTTCATCGATGAAAAATCATATATATTTTGCTAGAAAATGAAAACCACAACATCTTAGAATATGAATTACTTTACTCAGTAGTTTTGAAGTAATTAGAAACTATGCCTCGTGTTGTTTATTGTCCTTCATTTTAATATTTAAGAATCTAAAGAATATTTAACAGAATACAATATTTTACTGTGTTTGATTAAGTCATGTATTATTGTTTTGGTCTTGATACATGTGATTTTGATCAACGTTGCTGTACAATCCATTCAAATATATATTCATCAAGTTTTACTTTGATTTTGGTTTGTTTGATAATCATTTAAATATTTCAAACGATGAACAGTAAGCAGTTTTAGTCTCATTTGCCAGAAATGATGAAGAGGAGGGAAACAAAAAAAATTACACGTATGTTCCATTTAAAAGGGGTTACAATAACGATTAAAATTATAAAAACAATATATAAGTATGGAGTACGGAGGTGTTCACCTACGATATGTGTTCACTAAAAGAAGTTACACTCTCTATATATGTAATATATTATAGGTTACTCTTTGACTTTTTGTTCTATATTTTTTCAGATGAACATCTGTGCTCATAAACATTAAAATACAATTAATGAAATTATAAGTCTATGAAAATATCAAAATTCATCTCCAAAACTAAAAGAATTCTTCGTAATTACAGCAATTGTCGAAATCTCTTAATAATTTCTGAAAATTCACGCGACTTGGGTGTAAAAGCCTCCAATAGTTCCAATAATATAGTATGAAATCTTTATCATTTTGTATATGGACAGTTAAGTAATTTGGAACAATAGCAAGTAAATATCGAAATTACTGGGTAATTTCTGAAATTTACTTTTTCAGAAAATCTGAACATATCTCAACATCTCTCTAATAATACGAAAAAAAAACTAAAAACTTCCGGATAGACGCTATGGCATAAATTTCATCTATGGCGAAATTTTCACCAATATCGAACTCCAAAAAGCTTTCTCTTAAAAACCAATTTTCCAGAGATTCTATCAAATCTCGACACAAATATTTTTGTCTCATCATCATCTAACGATTCTCAAGAAGGACTTGTAATATTTCGAATCGGTTTCGAATTTCTCATTTGGTTATAAAAGTGTTTTTTTTTGTTTAATTCTTCGTATTCTGTCAGATCGCTAACGAAAAGTAAATTGATTTTTTTGAAACATCTAGGAACTCTCACAAAAAACTTTGCATAAAGATTTCGTAGCTTCAGGAATTGTCTACCGAATGTACTGTTTAGTTTTTGAAATGCTGCTCCAATTCAGAATTTTGTAACACTAAAATGTATGAAGTGAAAGTCGATGTCTTGTTTTGTGTCGGGTCGCTCACATTAATCTTTTACTAATAACTCATGCGAACAAAGTTCTCTACAGCTAATTTCTTCATGATATCTAGAATAACTTAACATACATGTAACAAAAAAAAATCAACTCTAAGAAAGTTCATTATTTTCAGATACACATGTTTTAGTTTTACGTAGTCACATTGCTAACGAATGAATTAGTCTATATACAGATTCAGTTGAAATCAAAGTAAAAACTGATAATGGAAATAAATTATTTCGAAAATGAATATTTCATGTAGTATTTTTTCTTTTTGGAAATATTTAGAAAAAGATGAATTTATATATTTAAGTTGAT